TCCGGGGCGGATACTAGCGAGGGGGGGAGGCGCATTGTGCGCCCCGATACTCCCCACTGTGGCGGGCGCTGTACTGGCTGTGACGTCGCATGGGGGCGGTGCGTGCGTTAGTCACGCACTGTCCCGACGTCACCTTCCCGCCCGCCCGCTACATTGTAAGGGGCATGTACGCTGGTCACTGCATTGAAAGGTGGCATGTACACTGGTCACTGTTTTGAAGGGGAGTGAAGAACACACACACACAAAAAGGTAACTTGTTATTTTAACGTTTATTTCTATGAGGAGGAATAATTCTGAGGGGTCAAACAAAGAAATAAAAAAAAAAAGTGACAAAAAAGTTATTTTTATAATGACGAGTTTTGCGGCTCCCAGTTTTTTTTTCTTTGGAAACGGGTCCAAGTGGCTCTTTTTGTCTTAAAGGTTGCAGACCCCTGACATACAGCAATACCCTTACTGGTTTCAGTAAGGCACATAAGCATATTAATTGACCCTGTTCACCATACAGCTTTACATGTGCAGTTTGTCCAGTGAACATAGTCTTTTAAATATGCTGGGCACTTGGAAACCCTGCTGGATTGCCGAGGGCCAGTACCAGAGTCCAGGTGGCCACCCAATTCTGTCTGCGACTGTGGTGCGACCAAATGTGGCGTTGAGCCCGAGTTCCCTGGCTCCGCTGCTGTCAAAGGAACCGCTGCGAGTGGACTCAGCGGATGGTCGGGCATGGCGATGGTCACCGAAATGGCTCGGCTTGACTCCATGCCCTCAGTTTGTGAGGAAGATGTAGGTGGAGCCTCACCTTCCATTAACGACTGCTCCGGAGCTGGGGCCACAGCTGGGGGCACAACGGTAGTGTCCTAATCCCCAACCCTGTGCCTTAGCTGGTCTATGTGCCGGCGCCAGAAGTGTCCGTTCTCGAGTGCCACCTGGTACGAACGGGGCCCTCTGACTCCCACTACCATGGCTGGCACCCAAGGAATGTCCCCCACAAAGTTCCGGGCAAAAACCTGATTCCCCCGGAATAAAGGAACGTGGCGTGTTAGTATAGCCCGGGGGCTCGGCCACATCAAAGTCTGGGTGTAGCCAGTCAAGCCAGTCAGGGCTCCACCCTGTGGCTGCATGAGAGGTGATGTGCTGCACGAGCAAGTATTCAGTGACCCACTTGTGCCAGTCCCTCTGTTCCAGGCACACCAGTGCCTCTTTTGCTGAGCGCACCAGTCTTTCTGCCTGCCCGTTGCTGGCCGGGTGAAATGGTGCTGTTAGGGCATGGCGGATGCCCAGCCCCAAGAGGTACCTTTCAAAGGTGCCCGATGTGAACTGAGGTCCGTTGTCTGAGACGAGGACATCAGGACACCTATGAGTTGCAAACAGGCCCCGCAGCACCCAGATGACGGCTTCAGTATTGGTGGAGGGCATCAGGGCCACCTCCAGCCATTTGGAATAGGTGTCCACCACTACCATAAAGGTCCAGCCATGAAAGGGGCCGGCAAGATCGATGTGTACCCTCAACCAGGGTGCCTTGGGCATCTCCCAGGTGTTACCCTTAGCTGCCAGCGGTGCAGGTCTCGACTCTTGGCGTGCTTGACAGGAGGCAACCCACGAAGTGATGGCATCGTCCATGTTAGGCCACCAGATGTAACACCGAGCCAACGCCTTCATTTTGACGATCCCTGAGTGGCCGATGTGCAGAGCCTCGAGGACGCGTTGGCGGAGTCTTTGTGGAACCATGACTCGGTCTCCCCACAGTAGGCAGCCGTGATGAGCTGAGAGCTCGTGCTGTCTGGTTGCAAATGGCTGGAATTCTGGTGCGAAAGACCCTTCCAGCCACCCCTTCCACACCCAGTTGAGTACTCGTTTGACGGTGCGGTCCTGGGCAGATGCGGAGGCTACATAGGTAGCCGATACTGGCGCTGCTGGAAGGTCCTCAGTTAGGAGGAGTGATGAAGCAGGAGCCAGGTCTTCCACAAGCACTGGAAGAAGGCAACGACTGAGAGCGTCGGCATGGCCCATCGATTTTCCAGGGCGATGGACGAGCTGGTAGCTGTAAGCTGCCAGAAAGACAGTCCATCGCAGCATGTGTGGTGAGAGGACTGGTGGAGTTGGTCGATCACCAGGGAGGAGGCCCAGGAGCAACCTGTGGTCAGTAATGAGATCGAAGGTTCTCCCATAGAGGTATTTGTGGAACCTCTTTACTCCAGCCACAAGTGCCAGTGCCTCCTTGTTGAGCTGGCTGTAATTCCATTCAGCTGGAGACAGTGTCCAGGAGAAATAGGCAAGCGGTGCTTCCCTACCATCTGGAAACCGGTGACTGAGGACGGTGCCGATGCCAAAGGGCGAGGCGTCACAGGCGAGGACAAGCAGCCTGGCTTCACTGTACTGTCCCAGCACACTGTCCGATGAGAGGAGGGCTTTGACTGCGTTGAAAGCCGCCGTTTCCCGATGACCCCAGGACCACGGTACCTATGTGCTGAGGAGGCGGTGTAGAGGCTCGGCTAGTGTTGCTTTGTGGTGCAGGAACATGTTGTAGAAGTTCAGCAGCCCCAGGAACACCTGCAACTCCACCTTGCTTTTTGGAATCGGGGCCTGCTGAATGGCCAAGATCTTGGATGCCATCAGGTGAAGACTGGAGGCGTCGATAAGGTAGCCCAGCTCTGGAACGGCTCTGGCACCTTTCTTTTTTCACCTTGAGCCTGGCCTCCTGGAACCTGGTCAGCGCAGCGCGGATGCGCTCGAACAGCTGCTGATTTGAGTCTGCAGATACCAAGACGTCAGCAAAATATGGCACCACGCCCGGAAGCCACTGCAGGAGACGGTCCATGAGGCTTTGAAAGATGCCAGGAGCCACACTCACTCCGAACTGCAAACAGCGGCACCAGAACGCCCCTCGGTGGGTGACGATCGTCTCAGCTTCAGCAGTGGCGTCATCGACAGGCAGTTGTTGATAGGCTTGAGCAAGGCCAGTTTAGTGAAGACCTTACCCTCACTTAGGGAATGCAGCAGGTGGTGGACAACGGGAACTGGGTAAGCGTGCTGCTGAAGTGCCTTGTTGATCATGCACTTGTAGTTGGCGCAGATTCGTACCGACCCGTCTTGCTTGACGGGCATGACGATGGGGGTTTCCCACTTGGCGTGGTCAACCAGCTCCTAAACTCCTTGGGTGATCAGCTTATCAAGTTGTTCGTCCACCTTAGCCTTGAGAGCAAACGGGACCCGGCGTGGCTTTAGTTTGATGGGGGCAACTTGTGGAACTAGGCTGAAGGAGATGGGCGTGCCTGTATATTGACCCAAAGTGCTGTCGAAAACCTCACCAAAGTCTTTGATTAGGCCATCAACCTCTGCGTCGGAGATGCAGTTGATGCTGGTAACTTCCAGGCCAAGGGCATCAAACCAGTCTAGCCCTAGGAGGCTAGGCTGCTGGCCTTCAACCACCACCAGTCGGAGCAGGCCTGAAAAATTCTTGAAAGCGACCCGGAACCGGCCAGCACCTACCACAGGGATGTCGTTTCCCTGGTAGTCTCTCAAATGTATGTGGTTTGGGCCAAGTTGCCTCTTGGACAGCTTGGGCATGAGTCTTTTGATGGTGCTCCAGGATATGACGGACAAGGCAGATCTCCATGTCCTTTGATGAGCACGGTGACGTGTAGTTTGTGACGCATAGGCGAATCGGTTTGGCCAATCATGGTTCCGGATGGGCAATGGCAGTTGGTGAGGGCGAAACAGCTTCCCTTGGCAGACCGGGGGGAAGACTTGGACTTACGAGATGGTGAAGGGGGGGTGTTGGACGGAGCCGATCGACAGACCTTAGCGATGTGGCCCCTCCTGGAGCATCGTCGACAGATGGCGTCTCTGAACCGACACTTGGCACGAGAATGGTTGCCTCCACAGCTGGCACATTCTGATTGGGTTGTGGACTTCTGTTTGAACTTCCCTCGCTCCCGCTTTGTCTGGTGCACGTCATCGTCTTCACTGGAGGATGCCTCGACACTGCTGGCCTCTTCGTGATGCACTGGAACTGGCTTCCTAGCAAGGCTGCTGGCCTTGTGGATCTCCTGGGCGGAGCGTTCATCAGCTTCCGAGGCCACGGCCCCCTCAATGGCTTTCTGCAGTGTGAGGTTTGGCAAGGAGACGCCGTTGCAGACGGATGTCCTGGACCCCACAGACGATTCGATCCATCAGGGCATTGTCTAAGTCTCGGAACTCACAGTGCATTGCAGCCTGTCGGAGGGCGGTGGTGTAGTTGTTAATTGACTCCCCCTCTGCCTGGTTCCGGTGGTAGAACGCATGGTGGGCAGCAATCTTGGACGGCTTTGGCGCGTAGTGGTTGCGGAGCTTCTCTTGGATCGTGTCCCACGGCTCTGCCTGGACTGCTAGAGGTGCAACCAATGCTTGGGCCGTCTCAAACACCTCAAGCCCCCAGAGACTGAGGAATAGGCCCCGCTTCCGCTCCTTTGATACTTCTGTCAGCTTGTTGGCTTGGAGGTAGCAGTCGAACTGAGCGAGGTAGGAGTCCCATGATTCAGAGGCTGGGGCAAACGGCGGTAGAGGCACAAGTGAAGCCATGGTTCCAATGCCGACGTGGAGGCGATGGATGGAACACCGTGCTCTAGCCGGAACGGTCAGCTCTGAATTGGTTCTGTTCAGTGATTTTGCTCAGTGATTCAGCTCAGTTCAGAGGGTGGCCGCATCTGGCTGTGCTCTGATGTGCATCAATCCCACCTTTGTCACCAGGGTTAAGTTGTGGGTGAACATAGCAGACGACACAGCAATTCTTCAAAGCAGCTCTTTATTTGTAAGCTGGAACAGAACTGAACAGCAAACAGCTCAGCCGGCCTGCTTTTATAGGCAGCCGGCTGTCAACATTGTAGCAACTACAACCCAGGGTTTCCTGCCTAAATTAACTGATGTGGACCTGAGTGAAAACTATATACAGGATACTCCTGTTGGGCAGGGTGAGAACTTCAATACATAACCTGCAGCCTGATCCTAGACAGGCTGTCTTGGAAATGAGACTGTTCCAAGCAAGTATGGCCAGGACTTCAGCCTTATGAGCTGCAATTTTACTTACCTCTTGCATTTCTAACCCATCTTAGAGGGAGCTCAAGGTGACCTCCTGCCCTTGCTTCTCCCTGCTCCTTTTGTCCTCTCAGCCACCTCGGGAGGTCGGCTGGGCTGAGCGCGACTGGCCCAAGGCGCGCTTGAGGGCGCGGGAGCCTCGCTCTCCTGCTTCTCCGTCCCAGCGCTAGACTGAGCGGTCTTGGGGGGGGGGGGGGAGGGAGATCGGAAGGCGGCTTCCCTTCCTTCGGAAGCTGCTCCGGGGGCCGAGGGGTCCCTGCTCTCCTGCCCCAAGTCCAGCCCAGAGGGAACAGTGACGCTTGGCAGTCAGACCGGCGCCGATTCGGGGGCTTCTAGGGGACTTCGGCCGGCCTAGGAGACGGACGCGCCTCTCCTCGCTACTCAGCGGTAAGTCCTCCTGGAGCCCCCGGGGTTTACTCCCCGGTAAGTGGGGGGAGCCTCGCGGCCAGGCTGGGGAGCGGCGCCGGAGGGGCGGCGGGCGGGGGGGCGGGGCGGGGCGGGGGCGGAGCGAGGCTCCCTCGCGGCTCCGGCGCGGCGCTGCGGGAGCCACTCTCCGCCTGGGCTCCGGCTGCCTCAGCGAGAAGCCGCCGCCGCCGCCGCCGCCGCCGCCAGCTCGTGGCCCGCCGGGAGGAGGCAGCCCTTGGCCCGCCAGCCGGGACGGCCAGGCCAGGCGAGGAGAGCCGCCCAGCCGCCCATTGTTTCCCGGGGCCCGCGCGGCCCTGCCGGGCTCCCGCTCCGCCGCCCGGCCCAGGAGGGACCCAGCCCAGCGGTAAGTCGCTCCAACGCGGCGGCGGCGGAAACTTTCCCGGCCAACTTGGCGCTGGGCCGCCGGGGCCTCCCGGAGACGCGGATCGAGCGCGGGGGCAGCGGCGGGGCTCGGCCAGAAGCTGGCCAACTTCCCGCGGCTCGGCGGCTGGAGGCGGGTCCGCCATCGCCCCCGGCGTCGGGCTCCCGGCGGTGCAGCGCGGGCGGCGGGGGGCTGGGGCGAGCAGCCCGGCCTGGCGGGATGGGAGGAAGGGGCGGCGGGGGGAGCGCGGCGGGGCCCCGCGAGGGAGCGGAGCAGGCTTGGCCGCCTCGCCGTCGCGCTGGACTGAGCTGCGAGCTGCGCGGCCGCGTCCTGCTGGCTGGGAATCGCCGCTGGCGGCGGACCAGCGCCCGACGGGGCCGGGGAGGCAAGGGCGCTCTTGGCACGCTCAGTCGACCTGCGTTTAGCGGCTAAGCCGGTTCAGGGGATCGACTTGGTGCGTTGTGGTTTTTAGGCAAACCCCTTTATGGGCGACCTGGGAATCGGGGCGCCTGCCCGCTGAAGCCTTTGCTTTAACCCCCGAATCCCGACCCCTCGCGAAAGCGAAGCCTTGGCTCCGGTCTCAGCTTGAATTGCCGGCCTTCTCTCTCCGCTCTCAGAATGAAGATTGTGAGCTCCTTGAGGGCAGAGAGGGTCATCAGGCAGCGGATGGGTAGTTGCTTCTGAGTGGTAGTTATTCTGAAATAACTCCTGTCTGCGCCAGAGCAAGGTGTGATCTTTCTGTGGCTTGTGCTTGGGTTGCCTAAGGCAAAGGATCAGCAGCAGGTGGGGGCCCCAGCGCTGCCACCCCCACATCTAGGAATATCAGCTGCCCTCCCAGTCGCCAAACTGGAGAGCTGCAGGGTCTGTGGAGCTGGGACCTGGGGGCAGACCCTGAGGACTCTGCCCATCCTCCTGGGAAGCCAGGAGCTGAGCTTGCTTGTCCCTGTTGCTCAATGTGACTGTTGGTGCACCTTTTACACAGACCTAAGAAATGCTGTAAGCTGCCTCCTGTTAAAGTTTGAAATCTATTTGCTCTGAAAGGTTGGGACAAAGGGTGAGATGTGTGAGCCAGCAGGCATCCAGAATCCCTCTGAGATGCCTGTTTCTTACTGGGTTCCTGGAAAAAAACCAACCCCACACCCAGCTTGGCTTGAAGGGGAGGGAAGACTGCTGTTGAGAGCCTCCTGGCATCTTAAATACTAAGAGATTTACTTGTGCTGTGATCTTTTGTGGACTCCAGAGCTGCCTCCATTAGCTGCATGAGGCCTTCTCCTCCATTGGCAGCAGTGGGCTCCGTGGTGGGGGGAGCCCAAAGCCCCTAAATGTAGTAGCTACAGTAAGTCTGCGACATTTCTGTGCAATGCCCAAATGTGTTCAAGGAAAGTGCAGGGTCACCTCTTCTTATCTTGTGCACAGGTTTGGCTCTCATCCCAGGAGCTTAAGTTACAGTAAATCTGCTGAGGTACCCCTGGACTCTTAGCTGCCTGCGAGAGACTCAGCGCAGTGATTCTTATGGAATTTGTTGACACAAACAGACTGAAGAGTGCCTGCTTTGGAGAGCTGACGAAACTGTATGTTGTGCAAATGAAAGCACATCTAGTCAAAAGTAAATCCTATTTAGTTCAGTGGGGCTTACTCTCTAGTTACAGGGCTGGGGAACCTTGGTCCCAAGCCAGATGTGGCCCTCCAGGTCTCTGTTTGGCCCTTACAATTCTTCCCAGGTCACACGCCTCCTCCAGCCATATTCCACACCCTCCTTGAATGTTTTCCCCAGGCTAGAATGTGTCCTTGACCTCTGGTGGGTGCATAGAAACTCGGCTAGCCTACAGAGTTAGATTTTTCTTCCCGTTTTTGCCTCTGACTCTGCCCACCACTGCCATGTGGCCCCTAGAAGGCTGACCAGGAGTGAGTGTGGCCCTGCAGCTGTAAAAGATTCTCTTCCCTTGCTTTTCTATCATGTCCAGGAATTCAGCTGCAAGCTGACTTCCACTGCTATGGAAAGCAAAAAAGATGAGCCTTCAGAGCACATCCTGGGACAGCCATAGTGCAATATAACAACTATGATTGTTCTTCTTTGAACGTTTATTTCTTGCCAACTGTGTGTTATGAGCTGGCCAGAATGTTGATACAATGGAATTCATGCCCAGAAGGACTTAAGAGATGGCAAATGCCTAGCAATTGAGAGGCAGCAGGGTAAAGCCTTTTGGGACCCTGGCACACATTTGCAAAACTGAGCAACTGCTGAAACAGCCCACCACCGTCTGTTTTATTGGCTACAATGAATGCTGCTTTTAAGGGTGACCTTGTGGGTGCACCTCCACCTGCAGGTGACTCATAGGCAACCCCTAAGACAAGTTTGTTTTGTGGAATGCTCTCCAGAGGTTGGCCTGGCACCTTCATTTTATATTTTAGGTGCCAGGCAAAAATGTTCCTCTTCAACCAGGCCTATCCTACAGCTTTTCAAAGGTGGGCTTTTTGTTTTGGTTTAATTATTCACTTGTGTTTTATGTTGCATTTTATTCTTTGAACCAGCCGCGGATCTCTTGATGAAGGGCAGTATAGAAATGTAATAATAAAAAAATTCTGTCTCCAAATGGTGGTGCAGGGAAGAGCCAGTCACTAAATGGTGGCAGGTGGAAGCAACCTTTGGCACAACTGATTGGCAAGTCCTGCCATCTCTTTATGCTCTGTTAACCTGTGGATTGTTAGAAAGTGCTAAATTCCTTGCCGTAACATTTTCCTTATGGCAAGGTGTTCCAAAGCTCAGCTTTCATCAAGTTAAAGATAGACATTTATTTTGGAGGTATTGTGACGTACGTAGCCTCCTTATTGTAGGCAGAAGCTCTTGATGCAGAAGCTCAGCGTGAAGGAGTCTGTTCCTTTCTATTTTCCGCTTCCCAGCCCCACTTGCCTTGTGCCTAATTCCATCTCCTCAACCACCAGATCCTGTCATCTCTTGTCCTCTGAAAGCACCCTTTCTTTCCTACCCCAGTTTATTTAATATGAAACAATAACAACAGCAACAACCTGTTGTCTTGCTCTCTAATTCCCTTCTGACTCTTCCCCTCATGGCATGGCTATGGGGAAGGGCAGGCGGGGGGGGGGGGGCTATGGCCCCAAGGCCTACCTAAAATTGGTCCCAAGCCCACTCTTAGGGAAACACTGGCCAGGGACGCATTTTCACAGCTGTGACAGCCAAGTTCCCAAGTGATGCTAAATTTATTACAGAACTATATGCATCTGGGAAAGGGGTCGGATAATTCTGGTCACCTGACTGGTGTCCCAAGAACAAAGTCCCCCTTTGGGGATAATTAGGAAAGGTTGATGAATCTGAAAGGAAATATATTGGAGAAATAGAAAAAAGTAGCTGAAATGATCATGAGGCTGGAGCAATTCCACTTTGAGGAAAGGTTGCAATGTGTGGGTCGTTTTAGCTTTGGGGGGCAGAAAGATGAAAGGGAGTGGGAAGACTTCAGTGCCAGATAAAACCCTGTGGAGACCCCATGACAGTCAAAATCTTGGGTGGGGGGGACTCTCTAGTGGGATAACACTGAACTAAGAAAGCTTGATTGTAATTTTCTTTCAATATCAAATCAATATTATTTTGATCTGTTGTCATGGGGCCCCTAAAAGGTTTGGGGCCCATAGGCCAGTGCCTACTCTGCCTATTTGGTAATCCAGCTCGGGGAGACACAGCTCAAGGGTCCTTGCACCAGGTGCCATGGTGGGCACCAACTTAGATGGCTTTTATGCAGGATTAGACAGATGCATAGAGGAAAGGGCTGTCAGTGGCTGCTGGTCCTAATGGCTACTTTTGCCTCCAGGATCAGCATCCCTGAGTAACGGCTTACTAGAGGAGAGGAATATCAGGAGAGGCCTGGGGCTCCCCATGGGCCGTGGGGTAAGGGGGACTAGGGAGGCCTTTGGTGTGTGAGAGCCGAGCTCTTGCTATGCTCTGAAAGGAGTTGGCTGTTCCTGGCGAAACTGCTTGGCGTTGTCGGGGGTGGGGGATTGTTCTCTCCTAGACAGGATGGCACTTTTGGCTTGATGGGAATTTTCAGTTCCTACTGTTTCTGAGCTGCTTTTCTTTGTGAGCTTCTCACTTGATGATTCAGAACGGTGACTTGTGTGTGAATGAGCTATCACAGATCAAGCATCCCAAGAAAAAGTTTAATGGCTTTATGCATGGCCTCAAAAGCAGGGCTTTTCAATGGAATCATTTCACATGTTCGGCATGAGTGGATCAGTGGTCCTGCACCTTGACTAAGCAGGAAGTGACTCTTGCACGACAAATAAGGTTAAGTGTGAGTTAAATACTTGGCAGAGATTTTTCTCAAGTTGTGTTGGGCTTGAATTCAAGAGTTTGAGAACCAGGACTGTTTTACAGTGAGGGATAGCTAAAACTGGTATATGTTTCAAACCTGCAAGCTTCCATCCTTTGTCAATGTGCAATTTAATTTTTATTCACTGCACATATCCCTCCAGCCCCAAATGGCTATTATACAATCCTGGGAACTCTTAAGGAAAGATTCCAAATACCACCAGATCCTAACCAGATCATAAATACACTCCCTAGAATTTTATCCCATTGATACTTCTATCTTGAAAAGGTGGGAACAGACCAAATGATAATTGGCACTTCTTTTGAAGTTTGGCATTCTGTAACTGAAGAGTATTTCTTGGAACATATTACAAGACCTATAAAAGACATAATTCTGTTGTTGCATTGTTCAGTCAGTTTTGATTTGTTCACTTCTGTTTAAACTGAACCCATCTAAATCTTAGAACCATGGAATTACAGAGTTGGATGGGACCACAAGGATCATCTAGTCCAGCCGCCTGGAATGCAGGAATCTTTTGACCAACGTGGTACTTGAACCCACAGTCCTGAGGTTAAGAGTCTCATTCTCTACCGACTGAACTTGCTTGACCAGTGTTCAGATTTTCCTGGGTTTTCTTTGACTTATCCAGCATGGCTTAAGGGATGAAAGTTCAGCCACTGGGAATTGAGGGTTGTAGGTTCTTGGCAGATTTGTGAAAAAGGTTTGTGTATTTTATACCTACCTCTGAGTAAGGGATGGGGAATTTGTGGCCCTGCAGATGCACTTGAACTCCCAACTTCAGTTAGCCCCACCCTGTGCCGCAGGAGCAGTCAGTCAACTCTTTATTAGCAAAAGCACAACCTCCACAGAGTTGGTTCAGTGTTAGACCTACTAGGCACACAGTTCACACTCCTTGGGGTCTTACTCCATGAAGATCAGTTGCCTAGACTGAAAGTTCCAACCTCCCCACAGCCAGCTAAGACCCCTCCTCTCCAGGGCTTTCCCCAAGCAATCGGAGACTATGCCTGTGTGTAGCCAACCTCTCCTCCGCACTTTTCATACTTCTTCTGGTTCTGGAAGACAAGGGGGGAGGGGAGCCTGTCGCAGCAGGAGACAGAGACATCCGTGAGTCTTCACCAGCCTGGCTCATCTCTGCCTCTTAGTCTCCCTCTTCCCATGCTTCAGCTTCTGATTCTGGACAGACTCTCCCCACTCACTCAACCCGGTTCCCTCTTCAGCTTCCACCACCTCTTCCTCCCAGTCTTCTTATCCCTCTCACCTCTCATTGTTGCCTTACCCCTACTCCCTGGTCTCTGAGCCGTCTTCCCTTGAGGGTTCCCCAGCTGGTTCCTCCCAGCATTTCTCTGTGTCCAACCTGTCTGTGACAACCAGCATGGCCAGTGGTCACGGATGATGGGAGTTGTTCTCTAGCAACATCTGGAGGGTACCAGATTCCACATCCCTGCTCTAGGACTTCAGCTTCAGTTGTTGTGTAATTGTGCCTTGCGAAAAAGGAGAATATTCAGCTGCTACTTTGCAATCTAGATTATCCCAGGGTGGATGGTGCTCTGAAAGAGCCACAGCTGCCCCAGATGTATCAAGACTATTAGAAGGTAAAGATGAAGAGAGACCTCCTGTGGCAATGAGAGGGGTGGGCACAGAGTGGGTGACCTGCATAGAGAGAGTGTCCTGGGATGGGGAGAGAAAAGGGCTAAAGGTTAACAGATGGTTGGGCAAAGAGAAAAGAGAGAACTAGAGAGGGAAGAGGACGTTAACAGAGTGGGCTGAAACCAAAAACACTGGGTTAAGAATGTGACCAAAATGCCTTTATCTGGCACATTGGTCTAGGAGTGTGGTCCAGGGGTGGTTAGGTGGCTATGCATTTAGATATTGGGGGTAGAATTCTGAGCCATTTTGCTTTGTGTGAATAAGATCCTTTGGATTTCTCTTATTACAATCAACCAAGAGTTTTGTGGCACCTTAAAAACGATAAAATTTATTATGGCATTAGCTTTTGTGGACAAAAGTCCCTTTCATCAGATGCATAAAATTCAAGAATATTGGCGACATCGGAAGAAGTGGACTGTAGTCCTTGAAAACATGTTTGATTTATTTCCTATGCAAATTGGGGTAATTTGTATAGAGTAATCTGCATCCAGGGGAAATTAGTTTGCATTGGAAAATTTTCTGATGCCCTACAGAATTATTTAATTTAGCATGCTCATTTTACTTGTGTTTAACAAACAAAGCCAAAAAAAACCCCTCTTTGAAACTGGCAAGCTTTGCCTATTGTTTGTGATTGTCACCCATTCATTGTTACTAAAGAACTTATAAAAATGACCCCCACACGCCCATTGAGCATTAATTTGCAAACTAGTCTGTTGTGGCAGAAATGTCTGTACCACAAGAAGCAAGAACCAAATGTCTCTCTGATTCTCAAGTTACCCCTTCCTAGAAGAGGCTGCCTGCTCTGTAGGAGCGGCTCTGTCTGCCTCCCTGCCAACCTCTGCGGGAGGCTGGCAATTGTGCCGCTGGTGGTTAGGGTTTGCAGCTCCACCTCAGACAGCCCTGCTCTAACCACTACACTGCTCTCTCCCTTTGTTAGAGACAGGCCTTAGAGGTGGGCATAGCGGCCTCAATAATTTCCTAGCACTTTGTGTGAATGTGAGAGAGATAAAAAGTGGGTGCACATGTCTAGGCTTGGGGCTTGTCAAGAACAACTCAGGGGTCTTTTGGTGTAGAAAAGCAAACCAATAGGGAGTTTTGGAGAAATGTCAATACAGTGGTACCTCGGGTTAAGTACTTAATTCGTTCCGGAGGTCTGTTCTTAACCTGAAACTGTTCTTATCCTGAAGCACCACTTTAGCTAATGGGGCCTCCTGCTGCTGCCACACCGCTGGAGCACGATTTCTGTTCTCATCCTGAAGCAAAGTTCTTAACCTGAAGCACTATTTCTGGGTTAGTGGAGTCTGTAACCTGAAGCGTATGTAACCCGAGGTACCACTGTATTCACACTACAATTCTACTCTGCTCTTAAACCACATTGACTGCTGCGACATTGCCCCCATGGAACTCTGGGAATTTTAATCTTGTAATATTAGTGGAAGTTTGGCACTCCTTGGCAAGCCCATCTGCCAGGAAGCCTTGTTGCCTGAAGTGTGTAGTGCTGGCAACTTTCTTCAGAGAGCTTTACTTTGGGGATGAAGTCCCAGTTGAAAACATTGGCTTCCTTCCCATGTAAATAAGTTTGGGATTATGGTAAAAATGCTTGTTGTGTTTTTAAGTTTTCAAAGCACTTAAGTACAGCAACCCTGCAAAGTAGGCCAATATTATTCTGATATGTGGAAGCTTGCCTAAGCCCACCTATGAGCTGGATTGCAGGTAGGGGACTTCCAAGCTGAGTAATTGCCAGGGAAGCCAAAAAGTTGGGGCAGTAGCTGTCCAACCCCAACCCTTCCACATTGATTTGTCTGCCTTGGACTTTCTGCACATTGAGGGTGACTCTGGGGAGCGATCTCTAAGATGCCCATCACTGTCTGCACCCAAACATATTATGCCTTCGTGAAGCAAACTCCGTGTAGGACAGGACGGGGCAGACTTCAGGCTTGAGGCTTCTACTAGATTTTTTTACAAGAACCCCAAGGCCCAACCAGTTGTAAAATAGTGATTTGTGTGCAGTGCGGAGCATAGAATCGAGGAGCAGAGTGTTCATCCCCGTAAATTTCTTTTAATACCAGAACTCAGCTCAGTTTCTTTCTTGTCTTACTCTGCTTCCAAGAGCCTGATTTAAGAGCCTCAAAAAAGTAGTAGTAGAAAAAGTCATATTTGTTGTTAAACTGCTGGGAGTGAGAAAACCATGGCTGATCTTCTGCAAATCACCCAGAGATCTATCCCCGATCCCTGCCCCCCACCCCGCCCTGGAATGCTCCCACTTTCCTCTGGACCTGTGGATTCCAGGGACCAGCTGTCTTTCAGAGAACCTTGCCTGTCATTATGGATCTGCTCACTGAGAACTGCAAAGCTTCATTAGAACTGGGACGCCAATGAAAAAACAGCTCCACTTGCAAGGGAGCATGGGAAAATAACTCTCCTGGTGGCCGGCAGTCTGCGGCCATTTCGCTCCCAAACGTGATTAAGATGTGAGTGTTGAGCCAAGGGTAGGGAATAAAGAGCTGCATTTCTGGGCTTCAATATTGGAACTCACCTCTGGTGCCTTTGGTCAGAAAGGGGGTCGACCCATAAGTCCCATGGAGAAATTGCTTCTCTCTCTCTCTCTCTCTCTCTCTCTCCATATATATATGCCAGAAGCAGCCCCACAAGGAGAGAAGATTTGAAACACATCGTCTGACTTGAGCAGATGGATTTCTGTGGACCTTTTGCTTCCCTCAGATTTAGTAGATGTAAACGATCAGGGGAAGTAAGAGAGGAATGGGGAGCTTGCCAAGCCTTGGCTGTGTCAAGGTCTCTCACAAACGTCTTTGGCAGGAGGCCATTTCTCTCCCCTGCCCCACATGAGCACTTCGCTTCTGTAACGGGGGGGGGGGGGCTGGCATGCATTGGTGCCCCTACATTGTCGTCTTGAGAGAGGATTAAAATACATCAAGGCAGTCGCTGACTGGAATGGAAAGAAGCCTCCGCTTGGGAACAAGACTGTGGGCTGGGGAAGAGCCCTCCATTACGTGCAATTCCTCTTCCAAGGAGGAGAGGGCCTGGCTCTGCTGAAGAGGCCTTCCTTCCTTTCAGGAGAGACAGGATCTTTATCAGTCTCCCGTAGATCAGGATCATCTGTCCATTTTTTAAAACTGAAGCTGATTCAAAACATCTTTTGAGGATGAACCAAGCAGGTGGCCATTTGGATGGCATTAATGGCAGCAGAGTGGGAGGCGGTCCTGGGACACAATGCTGCTGTGCAAGCCCCTTTGGGATGAGCAGGATGAGCTCTAGAGCACACGGAAGAGGAAGGCTCTGAATTGGGCTTTCCGTTAGGAGGAGGAGAAAGCAGGTGGGTGATGTTTGGGATCCCTCTCCCCAGTCGTCTTCTGTGGCAGCCAGTTGCGTCTGTGGCCTGTGAAGAAGAAGAAGTCCCTCCACTGCAGTGGATGGGCAGTTTTTTGCCCCAGGTGTACCTGAGAGCTGATTCTAACCCCCTGCTTCTCTAGCTTCCCTCTCTTCTCCCACAACTTCCGTTGCACCTGGCCAGCTGGGGAACAGAAGGTGCAATCCTGACGGGATGGGCTTCACTTGTGCAGGCTCGTGGGTATGGGGAAGATAAATATTTGGTCTTCTAGGTCTAGGCCAGGCCTGTCCAGCGCCCAAGAGACTGTGATCTACTTCTATAAGTAAACTGGCAGTGATCTACCCATTGTCATTGAGGATTGACCACAGTTGTTGAGCTTTTTTTAAGGGAGAAAAACGCTCACCTCAAACTACACCACTTACAGACGCACGCAGCAATAAAGGCAATAATCAAATTCACCAACGCAAAGAGAGAATGACAAACTCCGCCCACTTCACACAACGGAGGAAGGGGGGCAGAAACTATCATTTCGCAGTTTTCATCAGCCAACGGTCAATACGGTTCCCACAATCGACCAGGATCAACAGGGGGTCTACCTATTGATCGCAGTCGACCAGTTGAACTTGACTGCTCTAGGCAAGAATTGTCCCCACCCCAGCACATGCGAAGCCACCTCGGCGCCCCCCAAGTGGCCCAGAGGTCTTTAGCTGGCCACATGGCTATACATGGCAGACCCCATGTGCTGCCGCTGCTTTGGGGGAGGTATCTGCTGGTCGTTTTTTTAATATATATATATGATTTTCTTGGTTTACAAAAGTACACGCCTTGTCTCTTTTTTCAGGTTGTACAGTCTTTCTTACAAATCAGTTACATTTGTTGTCAGACATGAGTGCTGAGTACAGTATTCTGCTTGTGCTCTTGGTCTGCCTGCTAGGTGTGAGTCTGCAGCGCTGGGAGGAGGCTGCTGCTTGCTTTTGCATACCTGGATGTTGACTTTTCTGAATCTGCTTTAACCATTAATTTGTGTGTTTCCTTCCTCTGTTCCCAGTGTAATTAAATAGGTTTTATTTAAGCAAATTGTTTCTGGCCTGACATGTAGAGGTGCACAAAGCTCTCAGGGAGGATTTTTTCTGCCTCTAGTTTTTAAGTGATCTTGTTAATTGTTGCATAAATTATTGGGCGTGCAGTCTGGTAAAGGCTTGAGTGGGAAATCTAGTGTGCATGGAATGAATTCAGCAAGTATGTAAATGACTGCTTCTGTGGTCTACTGTTATCATTTCCAGTTGACTAGGAAACCTTTGTTAACTGGTAAGGAGTGGCATATTTTTTCAGGTTCCTAATGAGGATTGGTATAGCATAATTGCTATAAGACTGAGATATGGATCAAGGGCCAATGTTAAAAACTCAGATATATAAGCTAGGCGCCAAATGCCTCCTTAAACCAAGGTTTCAGCTGTCAAAACACAATGTCTTGTTGCCATTTTGGGGCTAGATGGCTCTAAAGTCTTATTTTTCCAATGACGGACTAACTGTGATTGAGTCTCAGTTAAACACCTGGATAGTTCAGATGACTACCTTGAGCTGGGTTAAGCGTTTTGAGAACTTAAAGAAGAAAAGTCCCTTAATCTAGGGGTTGTCCCTGGATGAAGTGATTCAGATGTCACCTCTGTCACAGACTCACTCCCTAGGTGCCCTTAAGTAACCAACTGTCTCTCACTCTCGCTCATCTTAAGACGGGGCAGGGGCGTAGCAAGGGGGTTGTGGTAGCTGCGGTCCGCCCCGGGTGTCCCCACTGAGGGGGGGAGTGACAAAATGGTGGGCGGCACTCACTGCGGGGCCTGCCTGAGCCATGCATCTCTCTTGGGAGTGACGCGGTGGGTTGAGTCCCCGCAGGCTTTGTGCTGCCCAAATGGTCCGCCCGCTGCCTCCCTCTCAGCTGTAGGGCGGCTGAGTGGGAGGAGGCAGGCAGACTCCTTGGAGGTCCTGCGGTGCCCCCTTGGGTGGCTGGCCCCGCCCCCGGCCACAGGGTACGCACGCTGCCCGAGGCGCCCGATCGGCTTGCTTTGCCGCAGGTCAGGGGATGGTGATAACAGTGACCTACCCTACAGGTTTGCTGTAAAGATTACAAGTGGATGCACCCTTCTTCAACCTGGTGCCATCCACGTGTTTTGAACTACAACTCCCATCAACCCCAGCCTGCCTGGAACTTTTTCCAGTCTGGGGTTTTTCATTGCCACAGCAGGGGGTCCCATTCCAGGGGTGGGAAGAAGCAAATGAAAACTTTGCAGAGCAACAAATGCATCTCTTGCTTTGGTTCAGCCACACAAGTGTCGGAGGTTTCTCCACCTGGTTCAGCCAGAGGAAGGACACCTTCCCGAGAGTTTGGGGAGAGGGCCAGTGGGTGGTGTGGTCTGGCGAGAGTGCGCAGAGCCAGACAGGGAGGCCTGGAGGTCTGCATTTGGCCTCCAGGCTGATGTTTGCCACCCCTGCTCTTCTTGGGAGAGGGGAAATAAACTCTGTGCCTGTTCAGAGGGACAGTTCTTTTAGAGACATTCTCTGATTCTGTGAGCTTAGGGATGAGTCCCTGTCAGTGGGTGCTAAGGATAAATCCCATCCTCAAATCAAGGGGCCCCTGTGCCAGCCTTCCCCCAACTGATGCTGGGGTGCCCAGGCCCTATTTGTGGGCTTCTCACTGCTCAGATGCTTTCAGACCACCACTTCCTCATTCCCGACCATTAGACCCGCAGCCTGTGCCTCATGGGAATTGCAGTCCCAAACATCTGTCGGGAGGCTTCATGGTTGGAGGAGGTTAATCTACAGTGTCTCTCTTTCACCCGCCCTTCTTTCTGCCTCAGAATAGTCCTGGACGTTTTTTTGACCAGTGGTAATTGGCATGGCCTGATTTTAGGCTTCCTGTGGGTCTGTTTGGAAGTTGTGTTTTTAGCACAGTGTCACATAGCTGAGCCCACGGAGCCGGCGGGTGACATAGGAGGAGGCTGATGGTGAGCTGAAGTTTCCATTGCAGCTGAATCACCCAGCAGCTTCTCTTCGATTTATTTCCCCCCTCCTCCCGCTGTGTGAAATATGGAGAGCTAATTCTGTAACCAAACAAAAGCAAGCCTCAAGGCTGTTTGTGTTCAAGGTACACAGTTGGGGTGGGGAGGAGTTGGCAACAGACGTCACCTGGATTTATCCGTTTTATTTTCCTGGCTTTGCACTGGAGCATCTGAAATGCTCTTTTTGTGTAGGTTGGACCTGCCGGCCCCGAGTTCAGCCAAGACTCTGCTCTGCTCCAGGGAAAGTGCCCCAAGGCTTCCTTGGTCTGTAGCAGAAGCTGCCCAGAGTGACTGGGACAACCCAGCAGATGGGCAGGGGACAAATAATAACATTATTATAGTATTATTATTAGGGAACCCTGTTGAACTCGGGGGCCATATTACCTTCTGAGTGGCCTTCCCAAGGCAGCAAGTTGGTGGGGGGCAGGCCAGGAGGCAAAGCAATGAATGTACAGGTTCCTTTTGACAGTGGGTTGGTTTCTGCACCTCATCCTGGCAAGAAAGAGTAGTTATGAGAGTCAAGGGATGTAGATGGGAAGGAGGGGTGACCTGGGGAGCGTCCCAGCGGCCAAAGAGGCCCCCCAGTCTCAAATGGCTTGGGAGCCAAGTTCCTGCATGACTCCTTCCTGCCACTGCCAGCCTGGGCTTTGAGATCTTCTGGGGAGGACATTTGTGTAATTCTGCTGAGGAGCATAACCCATGTCAGTGGCATGAGGAAGGGCCTTCTCTGCTGTGGCGCCCCGTTGGTGGAATTTTGCCATAGAAGTCTAGCTTGTGTGTCTCTCGTCCAGTTTCAGGTGTGGTGCAAAGGACCACCCACCTGCCAATCTCATGACTTCATTCAGGCCTCACTAGGGCAGGGTGATAAATTGATACATTATCCAAAACCAGTTTGAAGTCCATATCAGGATATTGGTTTCATAATATTTCACCTGGCAATATATCGCGAATCATGATGTGTGTGTGTGTCCTATGCAAAAATCCCAATGTGGGAGAAACCGTGAAACCAGCCAATAGCTTCATCCTTATTTCAGACATCATGATATATCGGTATATCACACTGTTTAGCTGGTGATATAGCACGATGTTGAAAACCAGATATTGCCCAGCCCTAGGCTTCATGTGATGACTGCTGCTGTCCTCCTGTTCTCCGGGGAAATGCTTGGGCTGCTTCAAGCAGCACTTTAAGCAGCATATAATGCTTTTAAATGAATGAATGTAAAAGTGTGCCTGGAGAAATCAACCGCCCTCAAGTCCCTGTCATGTGGAAGATGGAGCCTGTTTCCTGATGCTCCAGAGGAAGGAGATTCCAACTACAGTGGTACCTCGGTTTATGAACAGGCTAGTATACGACCATTTTGGATTATGATCAAGTACAACCCAGAAATGAGTGCTCCGGGTTGTGATGATGATGACGATTACAAATGTACTCTGTTCACAGGTGCACTTCCGTTTTGAATGCCACACTTCCGTTGTCCGGCAGCGGAGAAGGGGGTTGTCATGGCATCTCCTGCAGCTGCGAGGGAGAGAGTGGGAGAGAGTGGCGAGCCCGCCAACCAGATCTTTTGAGATCTCCCTCTCGTCAAAGCAGCTCAGCTCCAGATCGCTGAGGGGACACTTCCCTCCCAAGCCTCTGCAGGGATTGCTCTCCTCCCTCAGCGGCAAGGTTGGTGGGATTGCAACTCTCTCCCTTGCAGCTGCAGGAGGAGAGCAGTCCCTGCAGGGGCTTGGGGGGGAAGAGAGAGAGAGAAAGGGCTGGCTTGGGCAGGGGGAGAGAATTTTTGCCTCCCTTTGCTTCCTCCCCCCCCGAAACTCTCCTCTCCTGCATCCAGTTAGCCATCTCCTTCCCCACACGCACCCCATGCGCGCTCCTCATCCCTCCAGTTTGAGTGTTTCCACACACCCCTTAAACTTCCCCCTCCCGTCTTGTCCCTCCAATGGCAATGGGTAGATCACTGCCAGTTTTTGATACTGGATAATAGATTGCAGCCTGGTTTACTGCTTTCATTTTATGGATCAATTGTCTCATTAGATAGAAAAATTCATGTTTTAGGGGTTGCTTTTCATCGTCTGGAACGGATTAATCCATTTTCCATTACTTTCTATGGGAAAGCACGACTTGGTTTAAGTCCGCTTTTATTTAAGACCGGACTTCCGGAACGGATTAAGGTTGTAAACCAAAATACCACTGTAAACAGGAAGAACTTTTGGGCCGCAAGAGCCATTTGACCGTGGAACAGACTCCCTTGGAAGGTGGTTGGCTCTCCTTTGTTGGAGGCTTTAGTTGGGATTCACAGGGGGTTGGACTAGATAACCCGTGGGCCCTTTCCATCTCTACAGTTAAAGGATTCTGTAAGCTTTTGTCAAACCTTTGTTTGTTCATTTATTTTTATCCCACCCTTCAATCAGATACCCGGGACAGTTTACAATGTGGGGTTCCCCAGGGTTCGATTTTGATCCCCAATGCTGTTTAACATATGCTGTTTAGCCGCCCAGAGTGGCTGGGGAAACTCAGCCAGATGGGTGGGGTATAAATAATAAATTATTATAAATTATTATTATTAACATCTGCATGAAACCACAGAGTGGGGTCATCCAGAGTTTTGGAGTATGTCATCAGCAATATGCTGATGGCACATAGCTCTGCTTCTCCTTTACACCTGCAGGTGGGGCTGGGGATGTCCTGGACCTTTGTCTTGTCTTGGTCACGGACTGGATGAGAGCCAACAAATGGAAGCTCAATCCAGTTGAGGCACTGAGACGGAGGCCCTCTTAGTGGGTGCTTCCCTAGACCAGATGGCTGGGAGGTGGCCTGCTCTTGATGGGGTTACACTCCTCAGAAGGAGCAGCTTCGTAGCTCAGGTGTGCTCCTGGATGCGTTCCTGTTGCTCGAGGCTCAGGTGGCCTCAGCGGAGCAGAGTGGCACACCTGCTGTTCCTAGAACGCTGTCCTATCTGAAACTGGTCTAGTATGTTCATATCCCCAAGGAGCTATGGGAACTGTAGTTCTATGAAGGATAGATAAGAATGTATTCTGGGTAAGAATTAGGAGTTTGGGGGCAAGGTGCCATCACTATGCTGATGACGGGGCTCTGTCCGTAACATCTTCATAATAATAATAATAATAAATTATTTCTTCTTTGGTGATTGCTTGTAGCCAAGTAAGATTGTCTTCCATGAACACGGTCTTAACAGTGAGTCTGTAAGTGACTGTGGAGGCCAATTCTGGATCCACATGTCCTTCCATAGTGGAGACATAGGTTTCTGGGTAGGAGTTGATCATGGTGTGGATTTGCCAAGCATGCCTTCCTCTTAGCTCATTTCTCCCTTTCGCCATGAGTTTGAGCATTTTCAAAAGGAGAAGAAGAGGAGTTTGGACTTGATATCCCGTGTTTCACTCCCCTTAAGGAGTGTCAAAGCTGCTCATAATCTCCTTTCCCTTCCTCCCCACAGCAAACTCTCTGTGAGGTGAGTGAGGCTGAGAGACTTCAGAGAAGTGTGACTGGCCCAAGGTCACTCAGCAGCTGCAGGTGGAGGAGCGGGGAAGCGAACCTGGTTCACCAGATTATGAGCCAGTGTTTCCCAGTTGTTGGTGTTTATACTAAAGTTACCAGGCATCCCCATTTCCCAGGGACAGTCCCTGGATTTACAAATCAGTCCCCTGACAAAATCCATTGAAGCTGAAAAGTGTCCCCGGATTCATTGAAAAAAAATCTGGTAACCTTAGTTTATACTACATTTTTTAGGATTTGGCTTGAGAGAGTGTTTAAACCTCTTTTGTTGACCACCAGCATTATGCTTTCCATTTTTAAGTTTGGAATAGTGTAGTTGCTTTGGAAGATGATAATCAGGCATCCGCACAACATGACCAGTCCAACAAAGTATATTATTTATATCCCGCCCATCTGGCTGGGTTTCTCCAGCCACTCTGGGCGGCTTACAGCATATCTAAAAACAAAATAAAAACATCAAGCATTAAAAACCTCCTGATACAGAGCTGCCTTCAGATAAGAATAAGAATTTATTATTTATACCCAGCCCATCTGGCTGGATTTCCTCAGCCACTCTGGGCAGCTTCCAACAAAAGATTAAAAATACATTAAAACATCAGTCATTAAAAACTTCCCTAAACAGGGCTGCCTTCAGATGTCTTCTAAAAGTTGTGTAATTCTTTATCTCCTTGATATCTGAAGGGAGGGTGTTCCACAGGGAGGGTGCCACTACCGAGAAGGCCCTCTGCACAGTTCTGACTCAGGACATCTGACTCAGGAGTGGCCATGCAGTTCCTGGGTCAGTGCTTGGTGAGATGGATGAGGGCAAACAAGCTGCCCTTGAATCCTGGCAACACAGAGGCCCTGTCAGTGAGTGGTTCTGGTGTCTCAGAAATCGGTCAGTTGCCTATCCTGGGTGGGGTTGGACCCCCTGAAGGAGCAGGTTGGCAGTCTGGGGATGCTTCTGGATCACCCAGGTAGACTTAGTGGCTAGAAGTACCTTTTACCATCTGCTACGACTCTTCCTGGATCAGGAAAGGTAAGCATTGGTTATTTCAGGATTTCATTACTGCAACACACTCTGTGCGGGGCTTCCCTTGCACTTGTTCCAGAAACTGCAGTTAGTGCAGATTCCTGACAGAAAGGAGACCTTCTCCTCATACAGTATGACACCAGGGCTCAGAGACCTGCTTGCACTGGTGGCCAACTTGCTATTGGGTCAAGTTCAAGGTGCTATAGTTAGTATATAAAGCCCTGCAGGAGCTTCCTGCACTCAATCGGAAGCTGCGTCGGAAGTTCAGCTTCCAAAAAACGTTCACAAACTGGACCACTTCCGGGTTTGCGGTGTTTGGGAGCCAATTGGTTTGACAACCAAGGTACCACTGTAGTTGCCTTTTAACTCTTTTTACTCATGATTTTATTAGTTTTGTAAACTGGGTTTTTGCAATGAAACTGTGTATAAAGTTTATTAATTAATAAAATAAATAAAATGAGAATCTCCAACGGAGAATCTCTGGCACCCCTGCAAAACTTGCGATGAGAGGCCTGTGTGTTGGTTCCCTTGTGGGCTACCTCCGTCTCCAAGCCCACACAGGGCCTGGAATGATGTGGCTCTAGTATTTTTAATCCATTTCCTGTGTTTGTTGTTGAACGTCCAGGGAATACCGTGCTATGCAGGAGCAAGGTGCGTTGCTGTGCATGTGTGCTTGCCTTGGTGCTTCATCCATGTGCCAGTGGGTTGCACATGCACCTTGTTTTGTCGCGTTGGGACAGGCAAGGGGAGAAGCTGTTGTGGCCCATTTCTGAGCCAGCCTGTGGTCTTCTAAAATGTCTGCCTCGCCACTGAAGTCTTTTTTAACAAGGAGGATGTGCAGGGCCTGGGGGTTAAGGGAAGCTGGGGGGGGAGCAGCAGGCAAGATTCCCACTTGTGGGAGGGAGGGAGGAACTGACTGGCCGCTGTGTTTGCACTCCATGCCCCTCTGAAAGGAACAGTCGTGCTCTACAGGTGTCTATATAAAGGCTGTGTAAACACCAAGAAGAGCTGCGCCTTCATGTGCCCACAAGGCTCCTCTGAGGCTGCGAGGAAGGGAGGGGAAGCCACACTCCGCACCGACCCGTGAGGGGTCTTTGTCCCCAAGTGGGGGCCTCCTGCCCACTTCCACCCCACGTAGTACTGCCTTTTGAGGACAGCAGAGTGTAGTCAGCTAATTGGGGAGAAACGGACACCTCAACTGAAAAGATGCCCCCGGATTAGTCTTAAGGGCTATCTTGTTTGAGAGCTAGAACCTATAAATGGATAAATATGCCAAATGGGTTGTGTGTTTTTTAAGTGCTCTTTTTCAGAGTAACCTCGCAAACTGGTTTACATAGAAATATTTAAACAATTAGAAACCATTAGAAAACTAAATTACAAAGCAGCCAAGAGAAGATGCAAGGCGGGTGGGGCGTTGAAAATGAGCCTGTCCCCCTTTAAGGGTGAGATGGCCTGTGCTTCAGTAGAGGTGGCGGTGGGGGGGAGAGACTGTACTGGGAGCAAGATCGCGAACAAAGCATTCTCGAGAAGGCTGAGCAGTTCTTAGATGAAGGCTGCCAGGGCATGCATGTGCCATCGAATAACTTTTCTTCATTTTTCTTTAAATTACCCCCACCTTTTCTCACGAGTAAGTGCCTTAATCAACTAAAGCACATCAGCTGATGTCTTTAATCGGGTGGCAAATGGTGGTGGTTGATGCACAAGTTGCAATCCATGCTATTTTTAGCATTGCTTGCCACCTTGAAGGCTACTTTTGGGGGAAAGCCAGCATAGAAATTGTTTGCATGGGTGGAAGATGGTTGCAACCCAACCTGCACAATCTCCCCCACCTGCAGCCTCAAGCGGAATAGTCTAGCAACAAGGGTGTTACATGAAGGCATCAATGGGGAGGGTTTTGCCTCGAAAGGCACAGAATCCTAAAAGTGGCTTCTATGTTGGCAGGACTTCAGATGGGGCCAAATTCTGGATCCCAATTGGGCCAATTTGCGACAGTCCAGGATTTGGATGGGTCAAGTTGAGGCAGCGCTGTTCAAAGGGAAGAAGCCACCTGGTGGCTAGGAGAGGGGAGAGATGCTCAGCTGGCCTGCAGACATCCCTTCTCCCCCTCTGGATCATAGGTTTCATTAGGTTTAAACCCCTGATCAAACATGCAGTTGGGAGGGAGAGGAGAGCCATGCAGGCTGCCAGAGCATCTTATTCTCCCTTCTTCTTGCCACCAGACAGCTCTGCAACACTCTGTGCAAGGCGTAGGAATCAGTTCAGGTCCTGGATCCAGTTCAGGTCTGTGCTGCTCCAAAGCACTGGATTGGGATCCGAATTGGGTGGAGGGGGGCATGTGCAGCCTTCATTTCCAGGACCTTTTACACTTTGCATAGCCCCTTCTGTGAGATTCCACGTATCCCTTTTTTGAAAGAATTCTCCTTGTCCCATAAGTCCCATAGGGACAGAGTTTCTATAAGTGTGTCACTTCAGCTGTAGACTTCTGGCTTAGACTTCTCTTTAACCGCAGTGTGAAAGACAATTCAAAAGTGTTTGCGTGTGCTTTATAAGCATGCCTGCAGACTGGCCTGTCTTGATTTTAGCGTACTATCAAAGGAAGTGTCTTTCTAAGATGGTGAACCTTTGGCCCGTTCAGGAGTGGTATCTGTGGCTGGTAGGATTGGGCGTCTGTTGAGGGTGCACACCCAACAGGGGGCCCTTGGCAAAGTCCTCCTGCATCTTCTCGTCATCTGCTGATTTGTCCGCCTCTTGCTCCTGGGCAGTCGTGGTGGTGAAAGGAAGAGCAGAGATTTCACTCCTTGGTTTTCTGTCTCGCAGGCAAGCAAGCAGGTGGTAGCAATAAGGGGGATGAAAAGAGGCAGGTGCTGGCAATGCTGACAAAGAGCTAGACCTTAGCTTGGCATGGGAGGTGTCCCAGGTTCAATCCCTGAGAATGTCCCCTTCCTGAAACCCTGGAGAGCTGCTGCCACGGGGCAGGCAGTACTCAGAGCAGGGGGCAGCAACCTTTTTCAGCCGTGGGCCAGTCCACCGTCCCTCAGACCATGTGGTGGGCTGGACTATATTTTGAAAAATAATAATGAATGTATTCCTATGCCCCACAAATAACCCAGAGATGCTACTCATGTAAAAACACGCTGATTCCTGGACTGTCCGCGGGCCGGATTGAGAAGGTGATTGGGCCACTTCTGGCCCTTGGGCCTTATGTTGCCTACCCCTGGCTTAGATGGACAAGAGGTTGGTCTTCGTGTGAGGAGGCTTCCTACGTTTCCCTCTCTAGGGGAGGAGGGTCCATTGAGGCATCTTGCCCAAGGAGGCACCACAATCTGGAGCCAGCTCTGGTCTAGCTGTACCACTTAAGACGGCAGAGGGAATCATATTCCACGCACATTTAGGGAAGGCAATTCTAGGCAAGCTTGCTCCCTGGAATGCTACTTTAATACATGCAGGGAATTCTGGGAGAGTGGGGGATTCTTTTGTCAAGTGATTCACCACCTGCAGTCACTTCAGCTGAGATTCCTGCATTGTGGGGCGTTGGACTAGATGACCCTGGGAGTCCCTTCCAACTCTACAATTCTATGATTCTACAGCCTGGACTCAGCTTTGCTACTTCATCGAGAATGCGGCCAATATCCTCCACTCCACTTAACACTTTGTTCTCCACATGATAGATCTCCTAAATATTTTAATAGGCTGAAATCCTATGCCTGCTTCCCCTGGGACCAGTTCCCATTGAACTCTAGTGAGGCTTACTTCTGAGTAGACACACACAAGATGTAAATCCCTCAGGTTTCTATGATGCCTCTTTTCCTTTGCCTGCCCTCCTTTTAGCTGTTGCACAAAGTTCACAAAGCTGGTTTCCGTGGTGCTTTGGGCAAAGGCAGTTGTCATTAATATCTCCCCAGGAGGACCTGCTCCTTTTCCTCCTCCTTTGCTGTTCCCGGGGAGGAGGCCACTGGGCCTTGATGTCCTTTCTCTGCTCGCCCCCTGCTCCCACACGCCTTCCAGTTTGGCTGAGAAGTGCATGTTTTCCTGCTGACGCCACTTCAGTGTCTCCAGGGCCTCTTTTCTGTGCAGCCTGAAGGACGGCCACATCACGGCTCGTGACTTGTCCTTGGGATTCATGCTGGAAGTATGAACCTGGCACTCGGGGAAGCCAGGACAGGTTTCCCTGTGACTCTTCCCTGAGCCATCCGTGAGCTGTTTCAGGGGACAAAAATTCAGGGTTTGGAGCCTGCTCTGCCCCTGAGCTTCCCCTTCTCCTTCTGTCCAGCAGGTTTCTCTTAGAAAAGAGCCCTGGTTGCAAGGGAAATTCTCTGCTGGGTTGTGTCTCAAGTAGCGAGGAGGGTTGATAAACAGAAACTTTTAAGAGAGAGGGCGGTTGTTTCCTGAAAATACCAGACACCCTTCAGCCAAGTATTTCACTCGTTAGCAAAACGATTTAACATTTTAAGCCAGCTATTTTAAAAATGTACGATCTGGGTCTGGCGGCAGCTCTTTTGCTCAGAGGTCTGGTGCCAGCGTTTATTTAACTGCTGGGATCAGTACACATGTCCCAGGCGCCATGGCTTGGGAGGGCAAGATAACCAAGCAGACTTTGGTCTGGCATCCAGCTTCTACCCAGGCGGTTCCCCACTGTCCCTGTGCAAAGATGGCTTGGCACCCACCCAGGGACCTAGACCTTGCAGCAACCTGCCCATGCCCAGAGGCCTCTGGCAACAGTCTGCTCTTCCAAGTGCCTCCGCTGGAGTTGAGGCCTGGGAGGCCTGGGAGGAGAGGAGGAGGCTGGCAAAGGGAGTTTGAAAGAGAGTCTTTGGTATGGGCTAACCGCTGAGTGTTTATATTAAGTTTAAATAGTAATTATTTGTCCTTTGGCATTGTACTCGTTTTTAATTTTATTTTTTGTGAGCTGCCTTGAGGGCCTGCTTGGCTGTAGAATGAGTCATAAAACAACAACAACAACAAATTAAAAAGTTGGTAGAATAGACCAAGGCATCTCTAATAGAAATGATCCTGTGCTGTTTTCTTTAGCCAGTGACGAATAAGGTAGCAACTTACAAACTTTGTATCTTTAGGAATAAGAAATTTTTTTTTGAAAGAACAAAAATTTAGTGTCATCTTCCCCAACTTCAAGATTTTGTGGATGTTGTGCTAGCTGGGCGCTGGTGGGAGTTGTAGTCCAAGACATCTGGAGGGTGCACTATATGCTCCAATATGTCTAAGCTGGTTATTCTGCTGTGCTGTGTGTGAATTTATTGTTCACTTATACCTTGGCTTGAGGACATGGTGGACAGTACAAGGTGTAGCGCATGGGTCTGGTCAGCGTCTGAAGGGGAACCTGCGAACCTCAGCTGTATCACCTGGAGTTCTTTGATGTGAGGCTATCAATGTACAACATAAATAAAAGTACTGCCAGATGTGATCTACACAGTTTCACAACTTCCAGATGCTAGAACTTCCATCATTACAGCTGGGAGAAGAAAGTGACAACCAACAAAATTGTAATGAACCGCATAGTCAGGCTTATTTACAGTACAAAAAGAAGACAGTGTGTTCTGATTCTGTTTTGTTAGAATAGTGGAGCCATCTCAGTGAGTCTCAGGCTAGTGGTTGTATTGTGATCTTGTGAGTTTTGTTTCTGCAAACACCCTCTTCATAGGAGTTTGGGGCTTGTTTATGTATGCATGTTTATAATTTGACTCTGAACACTGGGTGATACCATGTATAAATAGGCCATCACAAATAAATTACTGTGGATTAAACTATAAAAGCCACAACCAGCAGTGCTGATCCATTAAGAAAAAATTCCAAAAGCAGCAATAGTAGAATATTTATTTTATTTTGCAACAAAATAATGTTTTTTATACACAGTCTTAGCATTTACTTTTATTTGGGCCTAATAACAATTGCTTGCTGCTCTTACTTGCTGATAGAATTCATGTCAGTGTACATGACCAACTCCCTGCCACCATTTTAACAGGCATGGCTTCTCCCAAAGGTGCCTGGGAATTTTAGTTGAGTGAGGAACTGAGATTTCTGCCTCAGGAATTTGTTGTAGGGATGGGGAAAGTGTGGCCCTCCAGATGTTGTTGGACTCCAACTCCCATCAGCCCCAACTAGCATGGTCAGTGGTTAGGAATGATGGGAGTTGAAGTCTAGCCACATCTGGAGGGCCAGAGGTTCCCCAGTCCCAATTCATAGCTTCAGCCCTCTTCCTTTCCACTATTTTGAATCTGCAGTGTGATTGCCTCACTCCTTAAATTTGCTCAGACACAAAAGCGCACAAACACTGCACAAAAAGTCCTGATTTTAGACTATTGGAGAAAATAATTGAGATATTGAGGACAGTAGTATAATTATTTTCCTGTACATTAATTGTTGTTTTTGAATTTACAGTGTTTGAAAGTCTGCACCTTGGAGAACAAGTGAGACCCCACCACCTTCTCTCGTTTTGCAAACAGGCACCGAAGCTGCACACCCTCATGGCGTCTGAGAGCTCAGTGGTCATCCAGTAGCAGGAGAACTGGGATGTTTACCTGGAAGTGCCTCATTCTTTGGGCTGTGCTGGTCACAGCCACACTGTCCACGGCAAGACCAGCACAAACTCTGCCTGAGCAAGGTAGGCGTGCTAGTTAGTACCTCTTGTGCCATTGCCAGCTGTAGATGTGCTTCAGTTTTCAGTGGTATTTTTGTTCTCTTGGTGAATCAAAAGGAACGTGGTAGAGCGTTCACAAGAACAAAGCTGAATTGCCTTTAGCATCGCTCCAGAAATGTTCAGGAATAAATACATATTTTGTCCTATCTGCATGTACAAGAACATTAAGAGTAAATGCACTCTTCAAAAATTTTACATTTAAGTAACAGGCATAATTCAAGTAGATACTTAACTTAGTTTATAAGCTCTGCAATAAATGATGGGGCTGAGAGAATACCCCCTATGTCTTTGTTTAATTGTTTGTTTTAAATTTAATTCTTATTTTCTGAAATAGAATTTTAGACATGCAGTTTCAAACAGCAAACAAACCACTTAACAAATTTTGGACACTTTGAAAGAAAACAAAAGCTATTTGTTTTGCAATCTGTTATCTGATGCATATATTCATTGCGAATTGAACTTAGGCTTGTGAATGTCTTGGGTGTCTTCTATATGTCTGTCTTGGAGTCGGGAGACTGTGGGTTGGTAGCTGGGATTTGCTGATCCTCTTGACTATGCACGTTCTTCAAATGGTACCTTGGAAGAAGGTCTTCTGTTTTAAGAGAAAGTCGGATCCTGTTCACGGCTGGCAGTAGATGAAATGGCACAGCAGAGGTTTGCACCCTGGATGGCTTTGGTCCATTTCCCCACTGGGGCTGTAGACAACTGTACCTCAATCTGTTCTCTGGCCTGAGGTCAGTGGTTGGATCAGGAGCTTGAAAATGCTGCAGCAGAAGAGGGTTCATAAGGCAGAGGCATAGCATGTTCATTGGATTGAAGGGCCACTTTATAATGTCACTGCAAATTTGAACCTTATACTGTAACTGTCTCTGTTTCTGGGTCACCAATCCTTTTGGTCTGAGTTGAGCAGTTAAGTGTCTGGATCTTTGAGTTCCTAATCTGGTATCTTTAGAGAAGAACCTCAAGAGTCCTGATAAGGCAATTGTGTAAAAATAAAGTTAATCTTGTCTGTGCATTGTAGGAGCAAGTAGGATCAACAGTTTATATTTTCTCATACCTGACTTATCTAGATTCTAATCTAAATGTATCTGAACCTTCAAATTAGAACATCAGGAATTCAGATAAACTGTGGAAATCAGTACTTAAAATCTTCATGTGACTACTATGCCTATAAGATATTTAAATGAGAAAAAATGATGATGGAAGGCAAATGATCAAAAAGGTCGTACTTGTGCAAAAAGGTCACACTTGGCAAATCCACATCATGATCAACTCCCGCCCAGAAACCAATGTCCCCACTGTGGAAGGACGTGTGGATCCAGAATTGTTAAAACCGTGTTTATGGAAGACGGTCTTACTTGGCTACGAGTGATCACCAAAGAATAAGAAGACTTGTGCAAAAGACAAGAATTAGATCTGCTTGAAAGTGTATATATGGTCAGGGCAGCAATTTAAGTATTTGTTTTGGGGTGAAATCCGAAGTAAGCTTGGGAAGGGTGTAATAGTTCATGAGAAATGTGCCCTAATGATTCTGTGGTCTTTTTGCTCTTGGTTGCTTGTCCGATAGGTAGGGTTACGAGTCCTTTAACACCAGCAGGTAAAGCTTTTTGTAGCATAAAGATCAATCCAGTTCAGCCAATTCAGTTGCACACAAACACGGCCAGCCTTCAAAAATGTTAGGACTTGATGCATCACATTGAACTGGTGGCCACTTCTCACTGTTCAAGGCACTGTGCTCCTCTGCAGCTCCTGCTTCATGCCAAGGGGCTTGTATGGGAGAACATCCACGTGGGTTGTGCCCCAGGTGTCTCTCTCCCCTTGGAGGATCTCTGCCCCTTGCAGAAGGCCCATAGCTGCAGGGTAGAGCTTTGGCTGTGCCTGCAGAAGGCCCCAGGTTCAATCCCAACCACATCCAGATAGGGCTAATAATGTCCACTGCCTGGAATCCTGGAGAGCCACTGCCAGTCAGTGCAGGCAGTACTGAGCTAGATGGACCCAGTGGTCTCACTCTGTATGAAACAGCTTCTCATCTCCTATGTTTGCTCCTGCATTTCCCTTTGCAACACCCCAAATCAACTACCTGAAACATGGCAGGTTGAGACCTGTCTCACTTTACCTTGTAGCAGAATAGCAGAGTCTTTTCACAAAAGTCTCCCTGACTGAGGCCCCTGCTATCTGCATGTTGCCTCTTCCACTTTCTGTAGACTTCCTCTCCAGCAACTGTGCAATCAGTATAAGGCTGCCAGATCCCCTCCTATTTCTTCCTCATTGCTCCATCACCACCAGTGGCTGGTGTCACAAGGTGTGCATGGAGGTGCCAGATCAGCTGCTTGTGGGCCCTCCTCACGTTTGCTGAATCTCAAAACATTTCTGGAGGCTGTTTTTCCTCAGATCTGGCTACAGCCAGCCTTTAGGTTCTCGCAAATGGGGGGGGGGGCAGTATTACTTCTTTATCCCAGATTCATAGAAGTGTTAACCGATACCTGTAGCATCCACCGGAGATATATGTAGCCTGAAACTTTCTCCTTACTTTAGGTAGCACCTCGCCTAATCACTAGTTCTAGAGAACTGAAAGCTTCCTGCTATTTTGTGACATTTTGGCTAGGCCTAATAGATACTGCCGAATGGTGAATTGTAGAGTTTTCTTATTAGCTAACCCAGCTATCCCTTACTTTTGAAATTATTCTTGTATTTTCAGCTTCTTTTTTTAACAAATGACTTTTTAAAACCTCCTCACACCTCACTGGGAGACCTAATAGCTGTGGGGCTTCCACAAAGAGAAGAGAGCCCCACATAATCACCGTATTTTTCACTCCATAAGACGCACCTAGTTTTTAGAGGAGGAAATAAAGAAAAACAATATTCTGAATGAAACAGTGGATGTATGATTTTTGTGGATTATTCTGTGGCCACAGACGTGTGATTTGATGGTGAGTTTGGGGTAGCCTAATGCAAAAATCCTGAGGATCCATGTGGATCTGTGCTTTGTAACCACATTTTTGCACCACTGCAGCCCCAGGAAACAGTGGATGCGTGATTTTTTGGGTGCAGGCTGTAGCCATGGACATGCTATGTGATCTGATGGTGAATTTGGGGTGTAAAAATCCTGAGGATCCATGGGCTTTTACTTCCCCCCTCCCAGGCAGCCTCCTTTATCGCTAGCATCCCTTATCTCTCTCCCGATCCCACCGATCAGCTGTTTCCTTTCAACACTCCCTTCCCTCTTGTTTGCCTTAGTGTCTTTTCCTTAGCTGGAGCAGTTTTTTGCTCCTCCTTTTCTTCTAATTTCACTCCTCGTTGCTTTAGTCTTCCTATCTCCTCTCCTTGCAAGTTCACTGTCTTTACCTCCCCGCTCCCAGGCAGCCTTCTTTATCGCTAGCGTCCCTTATCTCCCTCCGATCTCTTGCCGATCAGCTGCTTAGCGGCTTTGTTTCAACACCCACTTCCCTCTTTCTAAAAAAAAAGAGCATGATCTGCTTTTCGCCCCTGGGCAATTCGGCTCCAGGGACCACGCATTCGCTCCCTAAGACGCACAGACTTTCCCCCTTACTTTTTAGAAAGAAAAAAGTGCATCTTTTGGAGCGAAAAATACAGTAAGTCTCCTGGGGGTGGGTGCTCTTAGTAGGCAAAGGGCTCTCATACACTGCCAGCTACTCAGAGTAGACCCACTAAAATTAATGGATATTACGAACAAGTACTACGTAGTTGGGTACCACCCTCTGCTTTTTATCAATGCTTTTTTCTTTTGAAAATGGTGGGAGAAGTAAAAAAACCTCTGTGGTTACTCTGTATGTTGCTGAAATGCGACGGTGGCCAATGAGTTGTTAAAGGGAAAAGGCTGGACGTTTCCATTTTCCACCCCGTCCCCCCTCCATCGGTCACTCGTCCACCCCTCCAAACCCCCCTCTGGGGAGAGCAAGCCAGAGGAGACTTTCTTTGGCCTGCCTGCTGCTCTTTCCCTCCTGCCATTTCAGCCACGCTGAGCTATGCTGCCTTGCACATAAGAGCAGGCCAGGCCAGCTCTCTGTACAGTGGTGCCTCGGGTTACGAACTTAATTCGTTCTGGAGGTTCATTCTTTTTTTTCTTTTTTTAAAAAAATTTTATTAGCAATTTCAACATAACAAACTATGAAACCATATAACTGCATACATAATTTCCCCCCTTTCCCCCCTCCCCTCCCCCACCAGAGACTTCCCTCAGCTCCTGATTTCTCAGCACATATTATTCTCTGCATGTTATAAAATTGTACATATCCTTACATTATCTATCTAACATGTTATCAACCAATAAATCTGTGTATGTTTATTCAAAACCTGCCAAGGAGTCCAGTTTATTTTGTTGTCTTTTTAGATAATTTGTAAAAAGCTCCCATTCTTCCTTAAAGCCATAGTTGTCCTTGTCCCACAATTTATATGTCAATTTAGCCAACTCCGCATAGCTCATCAATTTTTCTTGCCACTGTTCTTTTGTCGGGATTTCCTCATTCTTCCATCTTTGTGCTATCAAGACTCTTGCCGCTGTTGTAGCATACATAAATAAATTCTTTGTTTTTCTTGGCAGGTCTTGTCCTACAATCCCTAACATAAATGCCTCTAGTTTTTTTTACAAATGTCATTTTAAACATTTTTTTCAATTCATTGCATATCATTTCCCAAAATTTTTAAATTTCTCTACATTCCTACCACGTATGAGAAAAAGCCTCTTCTTTTTCTTTACTTTTCCAAAATATATTTGACCCGGTTTTATACATTTTTGCGATCTGTACTGGTGTAATGTACCATCTATACATCATTTTCGTATAATTTTCTTTTAAGAGAGAACAATCTGTAAATTTCAAGTTTACTTTCCACAGTTTTTCCCAGTCCTGAAATTGTATATTATGTCCTATATCCTGTACCCATTTGATCATGACCAATTTGACCTCCTCATCTTTTGTTTCCCATTCTAGCAAAATACTATATGCTTTCTTCAGCAGCTTCACTTCTTCTATTACTTCCTTTTGAAATCTAGAAGTTGTATACCTAACCCTTTCTTACTATCTTCCTTTTACATCTCATGTAGTTGTCTGTAGTGTGAGCAACTCTGAAAATGGTCTTTAATTTCCTCATAATCTTTAAATTTCCATTTCCCTTCTTGATCCTTCAGCAAGTCTCTATATGTAGGCCACTTCCCTTTTTTGCCAAGTGGTTTGAGTAATGAAGCTTCAATTGGTGATACCCACCAGGGTGTTTGTTGTTCTATTAAGTCTTTATATCTCTCCCACACCCTCATTAGTGATCTCCTAATTATATGATTGTAGAATCCTTTATGGACTTCCCCTTTCCCATACCATAAGTATGCATGCCATCCAAATCTGTTATCATGACCTTCCAGATCTAATGCTTCTTCCTTTTCCAGTTTTCTCCATTCTCTAATCGATACTAAACATGCAGCCTCGTAGTATTTGTGGTCGGGGGGGGGGGCAAACCCGCCTCTTTCTTTTATATCTGTAAGTATCTTGTGTTTAATCCTCAGCCTTTTGCTCCCCCAGACAAGCTTCAAAATATTCTTTTTTATAAAAAAAAAAATATTTATTAGTAGTTTCAGAATTATAGAGAATAATATATATATATATATATATATATATATATATATATATATAAAAAACAACACAGTTATACATAAAAAAGAGAAAAAAGAAAACGCAAAAACCAGTACAACAGTACAGCAAAAAGATAAAAAGAAAAAAGGAAGACAGAGAAAAAAAAACACAAATCCCAAATTACATATCTATAACTTCCATTTGCTTGTTTCATTGGCCTCCTCACACCTCCCTTCTTGCATTCCAGTTCAACTAGTTATTTCAGCAAATTCTTTCCATCTTTCTCAATTTTTGTTACAAAATTTATCTTAACAATTTAACCCAATAATTAGCTCAACAAATCCTTTCCATCTTTCCCCATATTATGTTATTCAAATTACCTTAATTTATTTAACCTTATCTTACCCTAAAATACCTTAAAGCTTAAATCTTAGTTTTCAAATATACATAACTCCTGATATCATTTCTGCTAGAGTCATATAGTTTCATTCCAACATTTCCCCTAATATTCATTAATTTTAAGCTAATTCCCCAAATAGAGATGAGGTGGAGCGGCTGACAGAGTGGTGCAGAGCTAACAACTTGCTCATAAATACAAGGAAGACAAAGGAGCTTGTGGTGGACTTCAGGAGACAGAAGAGCAACGTCCAGCCACTTTTGATTGATGGGGTCTGTGTGGAGAGGGTAACAACGTTCAGATTTTTGGGCATTGAATTACAAGAGGATCTGTCCTGGAGTGTCAACACAAGGGGCTTGTGAAGAAGGCGCAGCAGAGACTGTACTTTTTGAGAATACTAAGGAAAAACCATCTTCCGCAGAAACTGCTGCTTGCCTTCTATCACTGTGCCATTGAGAGCGTGCTCACTTATGGCTTATGTGTGTGGTACGGAAGCTGTACTACCCAGGACAGGATGGGGTTGTGCAGGGTTGTTAAGGCAGCAGAGAGCATTGTTGGCTGCCCACTCTCCACCTTAGAGCAGATTTATGCCACAAGGTGCCATAGGAAGGCACTGGACATAGTAAAAGATCCATCGCATCCTGGTCACTGTCTCTTCGAGCTCTTGCCGTCAGGACGGAGATACAGGACGATGAAGACAAGAACGAGCCGTCTTAAGAACAGCTTCTTCTCCAGAGCGATCTCGGCCCTGAATGGGAAGCCCGAACTTTGAAAGTCATCTAATCTCCCTTGCTGTATTATACTGTATTGATTAATTAGTGTTTTTATGGAGCAGTCAAGTAATTTCGTTGTCCCCGAAGGGGGCAATGACAATAAAGATATTATTATTATTATTATTATTATTATTTATTTATAATTTTTTCCAATCTTCATCCAACGTCTCTTCTTCCTGGTCTCGGATTGTGTCAATCCTTACTGTCTATTCCATCTAGTCCATCAACCTGGAAGCCTTATGTCCGAGGCCCTTAAGTCTCTTCCATGTCCCTTCTGCAGTTCTTCTTCTTCTTGTTTATACTTGCCCTTTTCCTTGCCTTTTGTTGGTCTCTTTCTTAATTTCTTTCCTTTCTCATTGAGGAGTAGGTCTCTGGGGAATTCCAACCCAAAATTGTCTCCATCTCCCTTCATCAAACCCGCCCATTCCCCACAGTCCCACTCCCCACAGTCATCGATATAATCCAAAAAGTATTTAAAAGCATATTTCCAGGTCTCTCCAAAGTTAGGAACCTCCTCAGCTCCAAACTCCCCCTGGCCCACTCCAACTTCAATCTTCAATGACAGCGTCTTATGCTCCTGTAGGGCCTCGGGTCTCTCCATTTATATTATTTGAGGTGCGACCGCATCCTCCTCCATTATCTTCTGCACTTGCCCAGACAGTGCAGGTTCATGAGTTGGTTCCTGAATGATTTCTGTATCAATTTTCCCTGTTTGTCCACAGTTATTAACCACAACAGTCATCAATCCATTTTCTCATTCATCAAGTCCATCTTCTCGTGCATCTGTTCCAGCAAGGCACTTGTCTTGCATAGAGCAAGCACCCAATCTTCCTCCCAGCTCATCTTTAGTCAAGGTCAGAAGAGACTGGTCCCACGATCTTAATCTCACAGCTGTTGAGTCCTCAAGTATACTGCAGCAACAGTTTAACAAGCTCCCTCTAGACGAGACAATTTCTATTTGTATCCTTTTTTTTTAAAGGCAAGTTCAACAAAGGAAAATTACTTTCATTTTTCAGATATTTTTCAGATATTTTGTTTCTTTAAAATGCAAAAGGCAACATTGGAATCAGTTTGTTTCTCTTCTTTAGCTATCTGTCAAAGTGTTCCATTCACAGTCGATGGACCTCTCCAACAATTTCTGTCTCTGACACCCCGTTCCCAGGTTAGAGACGGTGGAAACTTATCCTTCTTCACTCCCTCTCCTGTTAGGGTTGAACAAAGTCCCCCCCCCCTTTCTCCTGCTTCCAAGGGGGTTTCAGTAATTCTGAATGAAGGAAATTTAGACTTTTTTTAACAGCTTTCCAGGCTTTAGCTTACAAAGTTTTTGCTTTAGTCTATATACAAAAAGCGGAAGGCGGACTTCCTGTTTTGAACCTTCCCGCTTCGATGCCAAATTGAGATATTTCTTAATCCAATTTTCCGTTTCTACTCACGGGTACTTGTTTTAAATCCAATTGTCCACAGGAAAAAGTCAGCGCTCTCTGGCAATGGCTGTGCGGCTTCACTCCGTGAAAATAGCAATCAGTTCGCAGCACCGCGCCACTCACCCCACTTCGCTCCGGCACCCCAAAATGGGGTTCCCGGTGAGTAGGTGAGCTCCTGGTGCCCTGCCAAACCCCACGTTCCCAGGCTTCCTCCGCCTGGGATTTCTAGCGGGTCCCCACCTTCTCCGCGGTGGGAAGACCCAGTTTCCACGGAGCCCGTTCCTCTGGTCGGAGGAACTCCGCCATTCACCGATGGCGCTGACCCGGAAGTCCAAGCTTCGAAATATTCTTCTGCCATTTTTTGACGCAATCATCTTTCACAATTACTGGGCCTGTCTGGAACAGAAAGAGCATTTTTGGCAATACATTCATTTTTATCGCTGCTATTTTTCCTAGTAGGGAAAGGTTCATTCTGCTCCATATTTCTAAATTGCTTTTTATCTCAGACCACACTTTTTCAAAATTGCTTTTGTAGACATTTATGTTTTTTGCTGTTAGCCATATCCCTAAGTAGCGCATTTTTTGCTCTATAAGACTCACTTTTTCCCTCCTGAAAAGTAAGGGGAAATGTGTGTGCATCTTATGGAGTGAATGCAGGCTGCACAGCTATCCCAAAAGCCAGAACAGCAAGAGGGATTGCTGCTTTCACTGTGCAGCGATCCCTCTTCCTGTTCTGGCTTCTGAGATTCAGAATATTTTTTTTCTTGTTTTCCTCCTCCAAAAACTAGGTGCGTCTTGTGGTCTGGTGCGTCTTATAGAGCGAAAAATACGGTATTTTACTTTTTTATGAACTTCTATCTCAATAGGTAAAGGTAAAGGGACCCCTGACCATTAGGTCCAGTCGTGGCCGCCTCTGGGGTTGCGGCGCTCATCTCGCTTTATTGGCCGAGGGAGCCGGCGTACAGCTTCCGGGTCATGTGGCCAGCTTGACTAACCCGCTTCTGGTGAACCAGAGCAGCACACGGAAACGCCATTTACCTTCCCGCTGGAGCAGTACCTATTTATCTACTTGCACTTTGACATGCTTTCAAACTGCTAGGTTGGCAGGAGCAGGGACTGAGCAACGGGAGCTCACCCCATCATGGGGATTCAAACCGCCGACCTTCTGATCAGCAAGCCCTATAGGCTCTGTGGTTTAACCCACTTTGCATTAACTCTTTTTTCTCTTCTTCCTTCAATTTTTTTACTAACAGCTTAATTTTATTTCTGTTTAATTTAAATCCTGCCACTTCCCCCAAATTCTTGAATCTTTTCTATCACTCAAGGAGGATAATTTTTTGTACCCTCCACCATAATTACTAAATCATCAGCATATGCTTTCAATTTAAATTCACTTTTTCCAGTTTTTATCCCTGTGATCTCCTTATCTGCTCTTGTATTTCTTGCAAGTACTTCCAGCACCAGAATAAAGAACAGAGGTGATAGCGGGCATTCTTGTCTAGTTCCTTTTTGTATCTTACATTCATCCATTATCACCTGATTTACAATTAACTTGGCATTTTGTTCTGAATATATTGCTTGTATTCCTTTTAAAAATTTAGATCCAAACTTAATTTCTTCAAGCAATTTTTTCATGAAATCCCAAGAAACATTGTCAACTGGAGGTCCGTTCTTAACCTGAAACCGTTCTTAACCTGAAGCACCACTTTAGCTAATGGGGCCTCCCACTGCCACCGCGTGATTCCTGTTCTCATCCTGAAGCAAAGTTCTTAACCCAAGGTACTATTTCTGGGTTAGCGGAGTCTGTAACCCGAAGTGTATGTAACCCAAGGTACCACTGTAACATACAAATGGGGTTGTGGCCAACTAACTTCTGCTCAGAGTAAACCCATTGAAATCAGTGAACCAAATCCGTCAGATTCATTAACTCCAATTGTTCTCCTCTGAGCAGCACTGCAGGCAACCCACATAGACATTCACAAATTAAAACATTTTCAATTACTATAGAGAGTATTCACACTAAAAATATATATTCTCAACTAAAAAAAAGTAGTATTATTTTGCTTTTCATTTTAAATATAGTGTTGGTTTTGCCCTAGCTGTGTATCCGTACCCTTTATTTTCCCATCCTGCAGCAGCGGCAGGAAGAGCAGCTGCTTCTCCTTGCCCCATTCCCATTCTGGCAGCTCTTCTCATGCACCCGTCTTCACCAGCCCAGCATCCTCCTGCTGCTTTAGACTACAACTCCCATGGGCTCCAGCCAGGACAGCTTAGCAGGCGCTGCTGGGAGCTGTGGTTCAAAACGTAAGAAGGACTTCAGCTGGAGGAAGGCTGCCGCATAAAATGCTAATTATTCACGGAAACAAGACCATAGCAAAGCTGCCTTATACTGAGTCATACGGCTGGTCTGTCTAGCTCAGTATCCCCAGCGCCTGCCCTGAGTGGTAGTGACTCTCCAGAACGGGGATATTCTCAGCCCTACATTGAGTTGCCAGGAATCAACCCAGGGACCTTCTGAGATGGCTGTACCACTAAGCCACATCCCACCCCCAGCTGATATAGAACAGCTGAATAGAAAGAATAAAGGATCACATTCAAGTGTTCTATTGGTTACTAATTCTTTTCTAGCTCTTATTCTGTTGCAAATTTGTTTGGGAATTCAATACTTGTTAATAAAAATGATGAATCACCTTTTTGTCCACGCGGCCCCCAAGGTGAAATATAATATTTTTAAAAACAAACCAGAAGACCTTTTTTCATTCCTCTGGACATTTCTAGCTTTTAACATTTCTCATTCTTCCTGTTTTTCTGCATTCTGTGAGCCACCCCACACTTTATGTAAATCTTGCGCTTGCAATAGTGTGTGGACCAAGGGCTAGAGAGCATCAGTTACTGATTTGTGTTTGATGCTGTGATTAAAGGTGAGGTTGTGTTCAGGGGAGACTGCAAGTGTGGGGAGAGAAAGCAGTTTCTGAGTAGCCCAAAGGTCAGAGATGGTGCTTATTTATTTATTTTTAATAAATTTCATTGGAATTTTATTTACAACGTAACATAAATCCCCCCATCCCCCAACACACAATCCACCCTCATTAAACGGGAACATAACATACAGTAAGCATAACATACAACAATACAAACAATGAAAAATCCTGTATCTGGCCTCCTTATTTACTTCTTATAAACTGTTTCCTTTATTATTATTATTAAATAATTATTAAGATTTTTCTAATTATAACTTAAATATCCACAAAGTCTCCTGCAGACATTAATTGAAACAAGTTCAGGTATGTATTTTAGGGCACTGTTTTGTGAAGTATTCTCTGCATTTTCCCCATGCTTTTTGAAACTAGTCTAGTGTGATCTCTAATTGCCTCTGTTAATCTAGCCAGTTCAATATACTCTAACAGTTTGTCTTGCCATTCTTTTTTCGTTGGCACAGTTTCTTTTTTCCAGTTTTTAGCAGTTAGGATCCTTGCCGCTCCTGTAGCATAGAGGAATATTTTCTGATCTTCTCTTGCTATACCTGTGTCCATTATCCCTAGTAGAAAAGCTTCTGTATTTTTCATAAAGTTATACTTAAACATTTTTTTAAGCTCGTCATATACTGTGTTCCAGAAGCTTTTGATTTTTTCACAGGTCCACCAAACATGTATAAGTGTCCCCTCTGTTTTACCACACCTCCAGCACAGATTTGTTTTTGTCTTACAAATTTTAGCTATTTTGGTAAGTGTTAAGTACCATCTATAAAACATCTTGATTGGGTTTTCCCTCAATACTTCACAGGCTGTAAATTTCCAGTTCTTTCACCATAGTTCTTCCCATGCTGTTAAGTTAATAGTTTTCCCAATATCTAAAGCCCACTTGATCATTACCTCCTTGACCTGTTCATCTTTGACCTCCCACTCCAATAATGTATCATGCATTACCTTGGTTTTGTTTTGTAATAACACTTTTTCTAATACTGAAGGTTCATTTGAGAAACCTTTTTTTCTTATCTGTCCTGAACACTTCATGCAATTGATGGTATTGGATCCAACCCGTAAGGTGTTGTTTAATTTCCTCATAATCTTTAATTTCCAATTTATTGTCTTTTTCCTTAATCAGATCTTTATATGTGGCCCATTCTAACTCCATATTTTTCATTTTTATTGTAATTGCTTCTAGAGGTGATGCCCACCATGATGTTTTCGGTTCTAGGAGATCCTTATATTTTGTCCATGTTTTATATAATCATAGAATCATAGAATCATAGAATCATAGAGTTGGAAGAGACCACAAGGGCCATCGAGTCCAACCCCCTGCCAAGCAGGAAACACCATCAGAGCACTCCTGACATATGGTTGTCAAGCCTCTGCTTAAAGACCTCCAAAGAAGGAGACTCCACCACACTCCTTGGCAGCAAATTCCACTGTCGAACAGCTCTTACTGTCAGGAAGTTCTTCCTAATGTTTAGGTGGAATCTTCTTTCTTGTAGTTTGGATCCATTGCTCCGTGTCCGCTTCTCTGGAGCAGCAGAAAACAACCTTTCTCCCTCCTCTATGTGACATCCTTTTATATATTTGAACATGGCTATCATATCACCCCTTAACCTCCTCTTCTCCAGGCTAAACATGCCCAGCTCCCTTAGCCGTTCCTCATAAGGCATCGTTTCCAGGCCTTTGACCATTTTGGTTGCCCTCCTCTGGACACGTTCCAGTTTGTCAGTGTCCTTCTTAAACTGTGGTGCCCAGAACTGAACACAGTACTCCAGGTGAGGTCTGACCAGAGCAGAATACAGTGGCACTATTACTTCCCTTGATCTAGATGCTATACTCCTATTGATGAGGCCCAGAATTGCATTGGCTTTTTTAGCTGCCGCGTCACACTGTTGGCTCATGTCAAGTTTGTGGTCAACCAAGACTCCTAGATCCTTTTCACATGTACTGCTCTCAAGCCAGGTGTCCCCCATCTTGTATTTGTGCCTCTCATTTTTTTGCCCAAGTGCAATACTTTACATTTCTCCCTGTTAAAATTTATCCTGTTTGTTTTGGCCCAGTTCTCTAATCTGTCAAGGTCGTTTTGAAGTGTGATCCTGTCCTCTGGGGTGTTAGCCACCCTCCCAGTTTGGTGTCATCTGCAAATTTGATCAGGATGCCCTTGAGTCCATCATCCAAGTCGTTGATAAAGATGTTGAATAAGACCGGGCCCAAGACAGAACCCTGTGGCACCCCACTAGTCACTCTTCTCCAGGATGAAGAGGAACCATTGATGAGCACCCTTTGGGTTCGGTCAGTCAGCCAGTTACAAATCCACTGAGTGGTAGCATAGTCAAGACCTCATTTTACCAGCTTCTTTACAAGAATATCATGGGGCACCTTGTCAAATGCCTTGCTGAAATCAAGGTAGGCTACATCCACTGCGTTCCCTTCATCTACCAGGCTTGTAATTCTGTCAAAAACGAGGTCAGGTTAGTCTGACATGACTTATTTTTCAGAAATCCATGCTGACTATTGGTGATCACAGCATTCCTTTCTAGGTGCTCACAGACTGTTTGCTTAATGATCTGCTCCAGAATCTTCCCTGGTATTGATGTCAGACTGACTGGGCGGTAATTATTTGGGTCCTCTCTTTTCCCTTTTTGAAAATAGGGACAACATTTGCCCTCCTCCAGTCTGCCGGGACTTCGCCTGTTCTCCAGGAATTCTCAAAGATGACTGCCAGTGGTTCTGAGATCACATCTGCCAGTTCTTTTAATACTCTTGGATGCAGTTCATCTGGCCCTGGAGACTTGAATACATCTAAACTAGCCAAGTATTCTTGTACTTAGTTATTCTGGGCTGTGTTTCCTTTGCTGAATCATTTGCTCCAAATTCTTCAGGTCGGGCATTGTTTTCTTTATCGGAGAAGACTGAGGCAAAGAAGGCATTGAGGAGTTCAGCCCTTTCTGTGTGCCCTGTTTGCATTTCACCATCTTCTCCTCTGAGTGACCCCACTGTTTCTTTGTTCTTCCTTTTGCTACGAACATACCCATAAAGCCTTTTTGTTGCTTTTAACCTCTCTAGCAAGCCTGAGTTCATTCTGTGCTTTAGCTTTTCTGACTTTGTGTCTACACGTGCTGGCTATTTGTTTGAATTCCTCTTTGGTGGTTTCCCCCCTTTTCCATTTTTTGTACACATCCTTTTTTAATCTTAACTCAGTTAAAAGTTCTTTAGATAGCCACCCTGGCTTCTTTAGGCACCTTCCATGTTTCCGTCTCATTGGTATTGCCTGACGTTGTGCTTTTAGTATCTCCCTCTTAACAAACTCCCAGCCATCATGAACTCCCTTTCCTTTTAGTATTACTGTCCATGGGATCTCACTCACCACTTCCCTAAGTTTTATGAAGTCGGCTTTCTTAAAGTCAAGAAATTGAGTCCTAGTATGCTTGGCTGTTCCTTTCCGCTGTATAGTAAACTTCAGAAGAGCATGATCACTCGCGCCTAATGATCCTTCCACTTCTACCCCACTAACCAGGTCATCAACATTGGTTAGGACCAGATCTAAAATGGCTGTTCCTCTTGTTGCTTCTCCCACTTTCTGGACAATGAAGTTGTCTGCAAGGCCAGTGAGGAATCTGTTTGACCTTATGCTCTTGGCTGAGTTTGACATCCAACAAATATCCGGGTAATTGAAGTCCCCATTACTACTATCTCCCTTCCTTTTGCATGCTTGGCCATCTGTTCCAGGAAGGCATCATCTATGTCCTCCGTTTGGCTTGGGGATCTATAGTAAACTCCCACAATGAGGTCACTGTTATTCTTCTCTCCCTTAATTTTGACCCAAATGCTCTCACTTTGGCTTTGAGGTTCTAAATCTTGGATCTCTTCACAGGTATACACATCCCTGACATATAACGCCACTCCTCTTCCTTTCTTGTCTGGTCTGTTTCTCTGAAATAGATTGTATCCCCCATTATTACATTCCAATCGTGGGACTTATCCCACCAGGTTTCAGTGATGCCTATTATGTCATATTTAGTTTGCTGTACCAAGAGCTCAAGCTCATCTTGTTTATTTCCCATGTTTTGCGCATTAGTGTACAGACATTGAAGTCCATTAATCATCCCCCGTGTCTCTTATTTAAGGATTTTTTCCTCCCACCACTAGGTCTGCGTGCTGTTTGCTCCATTTGGTCTATGACATTTGGATGATCATCTTCATCAATTGATAGACTCCTACCTTCAGGAGCACTGTCTCCCTCCCCACATTAGTCAGTTTAAAGCCCTCCTGATGAGGTTTCTGAGTTTTTGCCAAAAACATTTCTCCCAACCGTTGTGAGGTGCAGCCCATCGCTTGCCAGAAGTCCATCTTCAAGAAACTGCAGTCCGTGATCTAAGAATCCAAACCGTTCCTGTTTACACCATTTGCGAAGCCAGCTGTTCACTTCCACTATTTTTCCCTCTCTCCCTGGGCCACGTCGTTCAACTGGGAGGACAGATGAGATGACAATTTGTGCATTTAATTGCTTCAACTTCCTGCCCAGAGCCTCGTAGTCTCTTTTGATCTTCTGGAGGCTATTGCTTGCAGTGTCATTGGTTCCCACATGAACCAAGAGGAAGGGGTATTTGTCAGTGGGTTTTATGATTCCTTGCAGTCGTTCAGTTACATCTTGGATCTTAGCCCCGGGGAGACAGCACACTTCCCGAAACATCTTGTCAGGCCCACAGATCACTGCTTCTGTTCCCCTCAGTAGGGAATCCCCTATCACCACTACACGCCTCCTCTTAGGTTTGGTCGGGGTTCTTCCGTGAGCTGTCCGTTCCAAGGTCGCCTGCACATTCCCTGAGGACTGACTTTGCTGCTCGTCTTCATATACCTGATTGACTGTAATGAGGAGAGATCCTCAAATGGAGTCTGCTCTTCGTCTTCCATGCTAGGGGAGAGGACCTCAAAGCGATTGTGTATTTCTAAACAATCAGAGCGAACCTTGGGCCTCCTACTTCTTTGAGTCACGTTTCTCCATATATCTGGCTCCTGTGTTGGTGTACTAGCCTCCTTGTCAGGGGAGTCCCCTGTCTCCTCCTTGGTGGAGACGTTGTGCTCTGTTGCTTCCAAGAAAAGCTCCAGCTCCCTAATTCTTTGGAGCGTAGCTACACGTTCCTCCAGTTGCTGGACTTTGTCTTTTAAGAGGGCAATCAACATGCAATTGCTGCAGGTAAAGCTGCCTGCAACCTTTGGCAAGATGGCAAACATTGCGCAGGAACCGCAGGCGACTGCAGCTGTTCCCTCCCCCTCCATCTTGAGAACGTGTCGTTGGGGGTGGCTACAGCGGTCCTCCATCAAAAAAAAGCGTAAAGACAGGACAAATAACTCCCCCCCCACAAAAAAAACCTAGGTCTCCCCCAACAAACGTTTGAGACTAGCTCCCCTAAATCTAAAAGATGGATTAAACTGCGCGCGCCGCTAGGCACGCGCCGCTGCCCTGCAAGCTCTGATAAGCTCCTCCCACAGCTAATCACCTGCCTCAACAGAAACCCTGCCCCCTCTGACCTTTGCACAGGGAGAACAGCTAATCAGCCACAAAGAAACACACACACACAAGAAAACCCTTTTTGCTCCTTCTTCAACTGCTGCCCTGATGATTTCCTTATGACATGGTTCATGAATCCCCTGTGTACTTTCCCGTTTTCATAAGCTAAATACGCATGCCAACCATAACAATTGTTAAATCCTTCTAGATCTAACAAATCACCATCTTTTAATACAATCCACTCTTTTAGCCAATTTAAACAGACAGTGTCGTAATATAAATTTAGATCAGGTAGTGCTAGTCCACCTCTATGTTTTTTATCTATTAGAAGTTTGTGTTTAATTCTTGTTTTTTTATGCTGCCATATGAATTTGGATATCTCTTTTTGCCATAGTCTAAGACTTCCCATTCTTCCAATTATCGGTATCATTTGGAATAGATACCGTATTTTTCGGACCATAGGACGCACTTTTTCCCCTCCAAAAATGAAGGGGAAATGTGTGTGCGTCCTATGGAGCGAATGCAGACTCCTCGGCTTCAGCGATAGCAATGCGAAGCCTCCGAAGCCTGCGCTCCGGAGGCTTCGCGTTGCTTCCGCTGAAGCCAGGAGAGTCTGCTCTTTGAGGCTGGCGGTGGGGAAAGCAGCGCTTCCCCATCGCCAGCCCCAGAGGATGGGGGCAGCGAGAAGGCGCGCGACGCCTTGCCGCTACCCTCCAACCCGGCTCGAGGCTGGCGGTGGGGAAGCAGCGCTCCCCATCGCCAGCCCCAGAGGATGGGGGCAGCGGAAGGCGCGCGACGCCTTGCCGCTACCCTCCAACCCGGCTCGAGGCTGGCGGTGGGGAAGCAGCGCTTCCCCATCGCCAGCCCCAGAGGATGGGGGCAGCGGGAAGGCGCGCGACGCCTTGCCGCTACCCTCCAACCCGGCTCGAGGCTGGCGGTGGGGAAGCAGCGCTTCCCCATCGCCAGCCCCAGAGGATGGGGGCAGCAGGAAGGCGCGCGACGCCTTGCCGCTACCCTCCAACCCGGCTCGAGGCTGGCGGTGGGGAAAGCAGCGCTTCCCCATCGCCAGCCCCAGAGGATGGGGGGCAGCGGGAAGGCGCGCGACGCCCTCCCGCTACTCTCCAACCCTCCTTTGGGCTTTTGGGGGAGATGGGGGAATTCCCCCACCTCCCGCAAAAGCCCGCAAAAGCCTCGTGCTCTTTAAAGGGGCTCCGCGGCTTCTGCTGGCTTTTCTACGAGGGGGGGAATTCCCCCACCTCCTAGAAAAGCCCGCAGGAGCCGCGCACCCTTTAAAGAGCGCGCCGCTCTTGGGGGCTTTTCCCCGTTGAGGGAGAAGGGACTGACTGGCCGTTTCAGTCCCTTCTCCCTCCTGGTCGAAAAGCCCGCAGGAGTCGCGCGGGGCTCCTGTGGGCTTTTGCGGGAGGTGGGGGAATTCCGCCACCTCCCGCAAAAGCAGGGAGAAGGTCTTGGAGTAGAGGACAGGCTGCGTGCAGCCTGTCCGCTGCTCCCAGAGCTGCGGGGGGGAAATCATATTTTTTTCCTTGATTTCCCCCCCTGAAAACTAGGTGCCGTCCTATGGGCCGGTGCGTCCTATAGTCCGAAAAATACGGTACATCATTTTCGGCAACACGTTCATTTTAACCACCATTATTCTGCCAGTAAGTGATAATCTTAACTTATTCCAGATTTCTAAATCTCTTTTGATTCCTTTCCAGTTTTTTATGTAATTATCTTTGAATAGATTACTATTATTATCGGTCAGCCAAATTCCTAAATAATTGGTCTTATTTACTGTTATTAATCCTGATATCTCCTGTAGTTCTTCCTTTTCTTGCTTGGTCATATTTTTGACTATAATGTTGGTTTCATTCTTGTTTAACTTGAAGCCGGCTACTTTCCCAAATTCTAATATTCTTTCAATTATCTGTAGTATTCTTTTTTGAGGATTGTGCTTAGCAGCTGGGGCAATGTTTTGACAACTCTCCTCTTCTTGTGGGCCTTGGAGAGTAGTCTGCTGGTCTACAGCTTACCTGGAGATAAGTGAGGTCAGTGGCAGTACCTGTCATTAGCCCTATCCTAGATACATTTGAGGCCTCTTTCCTCTGGTTCACAGCTTTCTGGAATCCTTTCTTGGACCATGGATATGTGCCTTTAAATCCAGCAGCCTGACGGTTTGTGGATTCTGGGAAACATCATACTAGCCGACATATGGTGTGTGTTTTTCCGTGTCAGTTAGCCTTAATGCAGCTTACTATATGTGGGAATATCTATTCTATGAATCTCATTATATAAATGTGAGTGGTTTGTAATATTGGTGTGTACCTTGTGTTGTGATACCCCTACTTTTTAAAGGGTACCCTTTATTTCTTTCTCCTCCCCCTCCAACTCCTTTTTGTTGGCTTCAGCAGGCTGTTTGGACTTGTGCCAGCTGGTTTCTGTGGCACAGGCAGATGCCCAGTGGGCAGCTGGGACAGGGGGTGTTATGTATACAGTCCTTGCAGAGTAAATATTTCTTCTGGACTGGAAATTTGAGATGATGTGGAGTATTCAGCATGCCTTCCCCTGTCAATAAGCTCATTCTCAGTTGGATCTTGCCCCTAGATAACCCTGCTCCAAAACCCTCTCTAACCCTTTCTACAAAGTATATTTAACTATTTCCAAATCTTAGGAGATGTCCATATATGGTAGTTTCCTGCTGCCACACTAAACAAGAAATGCGGAAAGTGCACGTGAAAAGACCGCTTAGCAAAGAAACCGCATTTCCTTCCTTTGATACTGAGATGTGGGTTGTCCAACCTATGTCAGGCATGGGGAGCCCACCAGAGGCCGTTCAGCAACAACTCCCAGCAGGGATGGCCAGTGGCCAGGGATAATGGGCGTTGTAGTCCACAACATGTTGACTGCCCCTGTGCTAAGCTTAGGAAGGCAGCCTTGTTCCATGTTCCCCAGGCAGTAAGTCTCCCAGTTCATGAAGGACTTAATGATCCTACAGGGGCTCCCTCTTAAGATGGTAATGTATATTGATCGCTGCATTTGAAGTAAGTGAGACAAGCCAGCTCTGTTGCACTTGGGGGGCTGCTGCTAATTCTGCCGAGTGGAGACATGGGCGTCTGTCCCAAAGTCCTGCCACTGAGCTCAAGCCATGGAGTCCATGATAGGAGGGACCTCTGCAGGGGCCCAGCATGGACCCTCACTGCTAGTAATGTAGAAAAATGGAAAGCATCTTGCTGCCATGAGCGATGATATGCCATAAAACATGAGAAAGGTACTGGAAGCCATGCCTTTTACAGAGAAGTCTATAAAAAGTAATGTCCATGAGCGTGCTAGGCCAGTCTCTTCTCAACCACTCTAACTTCAAATTCATCCTATTATTTATTCATGTATTGATTTGCTGCTCCTTCTGCTGTTTTTGTACACTTCACTTCAGCCATAAAGGCTCCCAAAGCAGGGACCTGCATAGTGAAATACAAAAAATAAAAGTGGAACAGATCAATCAAAGCACTGTGAAGTAGCAAAACCCCAAACAGGGGATTGATTAACATGAAGACTTCCCAGGCTCAAGGATCAAGGCATGCACACACAAACCCCTTTCCCAGGTACATTATTTTACTATTGTCCCTCACCCAATTTCTTCAACCTCTCACAGGGAACGTTGCCCATGAGAAGACTAGTGTCTGTCTGTATTTTCCTTTCTATCTCTTTCTAAACACACACATGATCTTGTGGAGTCGTTCACAGTGTTGTCTTTGGAAACATGGGGTTGTGTTCCACATCATTACATGTGACGGTAGAGCATGTATAAGCCCATAATGCTCCCATTATGCTCCATTCCTCCATTCCCGCCCCTTTTCCTGACCATTTCTAGGTTGTTGCAATGCACGCATGTACGGTTGTGCATCAGTTCGGCGCGTGTAAATCAGTGGTAGCCTGTAATGCTAAGCAACTGTCCTGTCAGTGCAAGGATTTCCACTTGTGCAATGGGAGGGCATGGGGCATGTGCAGGAGGAGACAAGGGTGGGAAAGTCCCATTCTGCAAATGGAAACACTTGCGCAACATTAGACACAAGCCCAGCCACTATGTCCAATAGATGACCAGTTGAGCCAAACTTTGTCCTTGCAGTTCCTTTGTAGAGGACTAGGGCATGTCTGCTGCACTCTCCATTTGTAAATTAGGAATAATAATGGCTTGGTTCAAAGGCTTGTCCTGTGGATGAACACAAAAAGCAGAAGTACGTTTGCAAAATGAGAAAGAAGTATTCTAAGTGACTAAGGTCAGAAAACTGGAATTCACTCTCCCCTATAGGATCTAAAAGGAGCTTTCAGTGCTTTTAGATCTCTCTTGCAGCAGGTTTTGTGTGTAGAGTGGACTACTGTGTTAAGAGTATTGTGGTTAAGTATTTTGATCTCATCACTATTGCTGTCTCTCTCTCTCTCTCTCTCTCTCTCGCTTGCTTGCATGCATGCACATGTACAGCAAAGGGGTCCGGGCTGTGCCTGTTTCAAGCACACCTAAGTACCATATCTTCCCATATGAAGCAGCCCAAAACTGGGACACCATCTTCCAGTGCTATACTCATGCGTCTGAAAAAGTGCAGCCCCAAATCCCAGCAGCCATTTGGGCTGCTGTCCTCTTGCAAGAAAAAATGGGATATCCCCCCCCCCCTCCCCTGGGCAGTTGATGGGTATGAAGTACATGAGCGCATATAATTATTTACAGCAGTGGTTTTTTATGCTTGCTACCTTCAGAAAACCCTTCCACTTCTCTGAGCCATCTGTATCAGGTAGGTCAAGGCAGAAACTTGCCCGAACAAAGGGTGGAGGTGGACCAAGGCCATATGTGTCTCTTCCTCTAGTCTGCCTCTCCCAGGCTCAACTCCCTTAGCCCGAAGACTGTAATTCTCAAAGAGCCAACCCCCTGACCTGCAGTCCTGTTGCGTTTTGCCTAGCATTCTCCCTATGCCATTAGACAGAGGGAAGCACTTGGTTCCTCTGGAATGGCATCTGCAAGGGTTGTAATTCAGGCTTTGCACGGTCCAGACCAGCCCATTGCATTCTGTGGACTGATAGGGGATGGGAAGGGGGAGTAATTGAGTTTAGTTTCAATTTGAATGTGTTTCCACCTCATTTGAACTTCCTAAAACAATTCAAACAAAAATGTGGCTATGCCTTGAATTGCTGTGCAGTTTTTCAAACCAAAAGGTGTCTAGAATTCCATATATTAGTGGAAAGTGTGCATAATATGTGTATATTAATAAAAATAACATGCAAAAAGCATTATATAGAGGCAATGCAGCTTGCAAAAAAGTGTATACAGTGGTACCTCTGGATACGAATGGGATCCGTTCTGGAGCCCCGTTCGCATCCAGAAGCAAACATAACTAGCGATGGCACGTCTGTGCACGTGCATGACATCATTTTGAGTATCTGCGCATGCGCAAGCGGCGAAACCCGGAAGTAACGCGCTCCCTTACTTCCGGGTTGCCGTGGAGCGCAACTCGAACGCACTCAACCCGAAGCGCATTCAACCCGAGGTATGACTGTATTAAAGAAAGGCTGCATACAAAAATGTATTAAGAGCAGTGTGCATTAAAATGCCTGTAAACCTGGAGGGGTGCACATCACCATTTAGATTTCTCCTCTTCCCTTAATCTGTCTAATCCAGGCATAGGCAAACTCTGCCCTCCAGATGTTTTGGGACTACAAATCCCATCATCCCTGACCACTGGCCCTGTTAGCTAGGGATGATGGGAATTGTAGTCCCAAAACATCTGGAGGGCCGAGTTCGCCTATGCCTGGTGTAATCCCTTTTTAAAGCCATCTGAGCTAATACTCGTCACTACATGCCATCAAGTAAGCGCTGCGCCTGTTGCCAAAGGACACCCTTGGTTCACGCAAGGAACAGTTGTGGCCTCACTGCTGCGTGAAACATGTGCCTCGAGCATCTTCCCCAGCACTTCACACGGCAGGCAAGCTGCTTTCAGGAAGGTTACTCACCATTGCCAAACTTCTCATGGAGTAATGGCTAATAAGCTTCCAGGGAAGACCCCAAACCCACTGGGTGTCCCCAGAACACAGTTTGAAACTTGTTTATGAAACAAGAAGTTGGCTAACATAGGAAGGGACCACCCTCTGTTCATGAGAACCTGAAAGGTTCTTGAACCCCCACCCCCACCCTGGCAATAAGGGATCCATTCCCACATAATTTGGACTGTCACTCCTGCTCCAACTCTTGTGAACTTTTGTTTGCCCTTGAGCTCCTGCTCTTGCGCACTCTCATGTGTCCAACAACTTCCCTTCATTAATATTTGGCAGAGGCTGGAGTTTATAAACCAGACCGTGTCCATGTTCTAATGTGGGGAGGTGGTGTTGTGAGGGAGAGCAGAGTGAAGGATGCCTCCAGCAGGACGACCTCAAGCACTGAAAACTGCTTGCTGTTACTAGAGACAGAGGTTGTGTGCATGAGTCTCTGTGTAAAAGGGCTTGGATAAGGCAATCTATAGCCGCTTCCCAGCAAACAGATCATAGTTAGCCTTGAGGAAAGGCCAATTTGGAGGGGACCCCCCCCCCTAGAAAGAGGCCAGTCCCCAGAGGCCCAGTAAGCGCTTCCTGTTGGGATTAGCAGAGCTGTTGGGCATGTGTGTGCTTTTTCTTCAGGAAATACCTTTAGTAAGCTCTGGTGGAGTTCCCATGGCAACCGGCAAGGGGACCTGCTGATCTCAGCCATTCAGTTCTTTATTGTTGGCTGCATCTCTTTGTTGGCTGCATTATTGCAATCCGTCCTGGCAAATAACAGCAGTTTGCACTGTTTTGTGAGGGCCCTGAATGCAGAAGGGTGGTTTTTTTGTTTTGTTTTTTAACATTCAGATGGCCTAGTCTGGCACAGGGCCATTTGCATGCAAAAAAAGTAAAAATCTGTTCCTGAAAAATGCCTGTATTGAGGCCCTGGATAAATAATGAAAGACTAAAGGTTAATCTTAGTGCTTCTCCTCTCCCCACCCCCAACCCTCCCCCCCTTCTCTTTTGCCAATGAGTTCTCTGCTCTCAGGCTTTTTCCCACCTGGAGTTGGGCTTGGGCTTGGGCTTGGGCTGGGGGGGTGTCTTATTTCCCTCCCCTCTTCTGAAATTTCTCCCCCTCCCCCTCCCCTCCTGCCGAAATCCCTGGAAAGCTAATGACAGCTCTAAGAACCTGTTGAGTTTTGCCATCTGGTCAGGCTTTAACCAGACTAAACTCAGATTTAATTCCGTTTCAAAGCTGCAGTAAAATTCACCAGAAGTGCAGCACAGAGCTTTTGGACGTTACATCATGCTTGTAATTTTTAGGCTTGTTTCAAAACCATTATGTAACCATTTCTGGAAGAATCTGCCCCTTTCATCCAGCCCTGTGGTGGCTGTGTGTGCCCCAGCGCACTCCAAGCAGGCAGAGGCTCTTCTATTTCAGCCTCAGGCACTGGGTATTAACGGACACCCTCTGCCAAATCCCCTGGGGGATGCAGTGTAGATGGGGTTTTTGTGGTTTCCATCAATCATCTCTGTTTCAATTTCTCTGTCATTGAAGTATGTGTAAATGGCCGCAAAGAGCATGCGGCAGCCTGTTTGTTTGCCCCGGGGTGAGTTTACGTAAGCTTTGTTTATATGGATAAACCGGGCCTCTCCTGCTTCATTGGGTTCGGTGAGAACAATGGGTTTGTGCTTTCACTGGCCCATTACGTCCTAATATGAAGCAAAGGGCAGGGGTGGACCTAAGAAGAGTCCTGGTTGGGTCGAACCAAAAGTCCCTCTAACTGAGCATCCTGTTTCCTCAGTGGCCCCACCAGATGCTGCAAAGAGGTTTGAGTGTCTCTGTATTGCAAAGCATTAACGGTGTGGCAAGAGGGAAAGGCCATCACATGTGTTACAGGCAAGGACAGCATCTCCAGGTAGGACAGTGAAATACTTTTGCCTGGCAGCTTGGGAGAGCGCACTTGCCCTCCTTGTGTGCGTCCTGTAGCATCCTGCCATGAGAACAGAACACTAGACAGGAGGACTGTGCAACCAGTTTGGCTGAATTCCAAACTAAATTGAGTTTCCAGACTGAATCTGAATCAGGCCTGGATTGATTCAGACCAGTCTACATCTCAGAACACTCTGTAAGAATGCCAGACAGCCTTTCTCCAAAATGTTACAAAAGTGTAAAACAATCCCATAGAAGGAGCACATAGAAGGGTGGTGAAATGGGGAGCTGCAGTTACGACTCTTTTGGTTTCCAGTGCATATGAATGGAACTAACAATGATTCATATTTTCAGTTTTCATTTTGGATTCATAGTCTGAGTTGAATTGGGTCTGAATTGATCTGGACTAAATCAGGGACTGAATCAAAGGGGGGGGAGCACTTTTTCATCTCTGCTAGCTAGGACTTTGATTTGATACAGCAGGGACCTTCTTCTACCCTTATGTTAGCTGTTGCCAGTCACTGTACTGAGCTAGATGCACAAATCTAGGTAGGTTTTATGTTCCCCATTCTGCTTTCAGAGTGCAAAACTGAAATCTGAGTTGTAGACTTGGATCTATTTTGCACATTTCAAGTATTCAGAGTGTCCGCCTACATTAACTCAGTAATGGTTACAACAATGCCATAAGGTTGGAAACCATTATGATGATCACAGAAAAAAAGTTTGTTACTGGTGCTAGCAATTGTTGCTCCGTGAAGGGCAAACAACTTTCCAGGATTCTTTTGGGGAGGGGGTGTCATTTAAATGAATGGTGTGTGCCTAGCGCCAGTGTATCTCGAACTTGGGTCTCCAGCTGTTTTTGGACTACAACTCCCTTCCTCCCCAGCTAGCAGGACCAGTGGTCAGGGATGATGAGGACTGTAGTTCAAAAGCATCTGGATACCCAAGTTTGAAAAACTCTGGCCTGTTTTGTTGACCTGAAGGATTTATCTAAATTATTTCAGCTCCTGTCCACATTTCTATTAGTTTGTTCTTTACATATCTTATACTCTGTGTATGTCTTGTAGTTGATTCAACATTGGAATTCTGGGTTTCATGAAATAACACCATAGAAATTATGATTATCAGCTGGATTTTCTTAATCAGATAGGGTCTGCATCTTACGGATTTGCAGCCATTCCTTTTTCGGGTGTGGCATGATATTAACATTCACAAATATGCTTAGCAGTGGGGTGCCCTCTAGGCGTTCTTGGACTACAACTCCCATCGTCCCTGACCATAGACCATGATGGCTGAAGCTGATTGGAGCTGAAAGCCAACAACATCTCCAGCACACAACTTTGGCTACCAGCTGCAAGTGTAGATGTCTGAGATGCTGGCTGGTGGCTTTCCACATTGACAGAGTAAGTTTGTGGCATAGGTGAGATTTGAACTTATAGACCTCACAATGTTTCCTACTCTACTTCCCAACTCTTATAGCTGTTCATGGGATGAGAGTCAGGAGGGCTGACTTTTATGCCCTTGCAGGAGCCCAGTTGCCAACTTCTGGCTCTGCTGCGTGTTGCTGCTTATTCCCCTCCCCGGGACCGACTTGGCATTATTTGGGGCACCTGCTGAGGCCCTGGACCTCCTGGCCTTGCTGCTGCTCCTACCCACCTGTCCTCCAACAAGCAAGCAGTGAGAGGAGCAGAAGTCACAAAAATCCTTGTTCACTTGCCCCTTTTCTCCAAGACCCTGGGGTGCCTTGAATGATGGCCAGGGGTGCCGTGGGCAACACTGACCTCTGTCTCTCCCTCCCTCCCTCCCTCCCTTCCTCTGATGCCCTCTCAAGTCTCTGCCTCCCAAAGGCTTGCACAGCTGTTTGTTGCAGCTGCCAAGCTCCCCAGGCAAATGGTGCCTGTGGGACTGGCCAGGGGGTGTTTCCAGGGTGGATAAAAATCAATGATTTAAAGATTTAAAAGTTTTTTTATTTAAATCAATTTTTAAATGCTGGGTCATTAGCGATGTTGGTGAATTCCAAGGAAAACTGGAGTGGAGATTGCTGAATTTCTCTTACTCGTTCCATGTCCAGAATGGAAATCAGTCTAGCACTGTGGCTGAACAGGGTGGGATAATGTAATGACATTGTAGTTTACATAATTGATTGCGTAAATTACATAATTTCAATGCTGTGGACAGTGAGAGGAACAATGTCGTTTTTGGTGGAAAACTAAGTGCAGCAGTATAGAAACTGATGCATGTATCAAATACAGAACAGAGACAGATGCCTTCTTAAATTCCTGTTGGTCATATATGTATACTCTTGATAGCATTTAATAGGAAAGCAGGCACAGTTTATTTAAAAAGTACAAATACTACTAGTCTACTCTTCCTATCTCCTATCAGTTCCCCCCTTCCTGCCAACCCCCAAAAATCTGTGGGAATGAGAGAAGAGTCCTGCTTTCTGCCCAGTGTTATGGTAATTTCCTAGATGCGAACTGTCTGGTGATTACCAGAGGCTCTGTTAAGGACGAAAGCTTTTCTCAGAGGCCTGGATCTGCCTGAGGCGTCTCTTGAGTCTTTCTGCACAATAGGGGCGGACACAAAAGCCCAGAGAGATCATCTGGCTTATTAAACAATTGCTGGAAATGGGGAAGGGGGCGAGGGGGGCAGGCTTGTTCAAGAGCCGCCGGAGGAGGATCTGTGAAGAGGGGGCTGGCGTCTCTGGCCACCAGTGGACTGTGCGCTGCTCCGATCAGAGCTGCACCTGGCTGCTGCGCTAAGTTGCAAAGAGCCCTTGGAGCCTGATGGAGCCCAGCGATCAAAGGGGATTCCCCTAAATTAGCGTGCTCCTGGGTCTGGCCTGTCTCAAAGGAACTGAGGGGTTTGGGGAAGGGAAGGGGCATGTTGGTGTGCTTGCAGTCGGTCCAGTCGGCTCTTTACAGACACTTCAGATTACAGACTCCGCTAACCCAGAAATAGTACTTCGGGTTAAGAACTTTGCTTCAGGACGAGAACAGAAATGGCGTGGCGGCAGCAGGAGGCCCCATTACCTAAAGTGGTACCTCAGGTTAAGAACAGTTTCAGGTTAAGAATGGACCTCCAGAATGAATTAAGTTCTTAACCCGAGGTACCACTGTTGTTGGCTTAGTTCCAGTGTAGGATTGGTACCTTGCAAAGAGGAAGTAGGCCCGTCACCTAGGCAACCTGAAGAGCAGACTGAGGCTCCACTGCCAGCCCAGGGACTCTGATGACCCTTTCTTTGAGAATGGTCAGCACGCAAAGAAAGAGGGGAAGGCCTCATTTGTGGAGCTGCAGAGAAAAGATGCTGAGTAGCTGCTGGCTTCTGAGGACAATGTGGCAGTGGTGGCTGTGACTTTAATTTTTTGACAATTTTATTTCTACACTGTTTGTGGTGTAGTGGTTAAGAGCGGTAGACTCGTAATCTGGGGAACCGGGTTTGTGTCTCCGCTCCTCCACATGCAGCTGCTGGGTGACCTTGGGCCAGTCACACTTCTCTGAAGTCTCTCAGCCCCACTCACCTCAGAGTGTTTGTTGTGGGGGTGGAAGGGAAAGGAGAATGTTAGCCGCTTTGAGACTCCTTCGGGTAGTGATAAAGCGGGATATCAAATCCAAACTCTTCTCTTCCAACCATATCTCACTGGTCTTCAAGCAACACTATGAAGTAGTCCCTTGAGCAGAGATGGTGAGCAGAGATGTTTTGGAACCACTAATCCATTTAAGGCACCTTGAGGCTGCACCTTCTGGCTTAGATGGCATTGTCTCCCTTCTGCGGGAGGGGCTGGTGGAGCTGGATATGGTCATTAGCCTGTGACGACATTCTCTCTGCGTTCCCACTGTGCCTCTTGACCAGCCTGCACTCTGGGTTTTCAAAGGCCAGTGGCCTGCCTTTGCCCTCTGACTTCCTTGTCTCATCAGCTGGTGCTGGGAGAGAACAGCTGTCTATCACAGGGAGAAAAGGCATTGATCATGGCAGTTTCGTACAGAACAGTGCTGGGAAGGGAAGCTTCATTGACTTTTGAGACATAGTGACCCCACCTGTGCTCTTTGAAGCTGATGTCTGCAAATCAAAAAAGCATCCAGGCATTGCTAAATGCTCAAATGGTGTCAAATGTTTATGTTTGCAATAGGAGGCCCTCAAATCTTACTTTGGAACACGGGGTACATAATTCATGTCCTTCTGGGAGGGGTGCTTTTCCCCAGACTATGTCTGCAGGGGCGGAGGGGTACATCAGGAATCGGATGCCCTTGACAGCTCTGTTTGAGGACAGCAGGTCTCTTTGGGAACTGAAAAGGCTAAAACTGCTTAATATACCAGTATTACACACAGAGAGAGAGAGAGAGACAGACACAGACACAGAGAGATTAAGAGGCATTTAACTAGCAGCATCCTTGTTAGTCCCTGTGGGTGTGAAGGGATTGACCATAAGAAGAACCACAGAGAAGCTAGAGGACTCAGCGGAAAAAGTTACAGTCACAGACAAGGTTTTGTAAATAAATTTGAATGGCGAAGCCTTGCAGTTTGGTGTAAACCAGGGAGCAGGAGATGCTTTGTAATGCATACCAAGAATATTGGGCTCCAGTATGTTCCTTTTCATCTTGAAATGCGAAGGGGCACATGTGAGTCCAGGGCTCAGTGCCATCTGGTTCACATGTAACACTAAGCCAAACCATGGCTTAGCATGAACACGCAGATACTCAGAGAGGAAACCCCTCCTGCTTTACTCCTCCTCCAGCCGTGCTGCTGTGCTCCAGTGAGCTAATCCATGGTTTGGCTTAGCATGTTGTCTGTTCTCATGGTTTGGGGCCACTCCAGGCAAAACACAAACTGTCACCAAGGTTTGTTTTTGGTTTACAGCTAATGGCTTGCCTAGAAGAGGGAAACCACAAGCCTGGGTTCGGTGACATGCAAATCCAAACCATTGCTTAACTCGCAGCAGCAGCCACAGAACTGCAGAAGGGCCAAAAGAATCACCATCTCCTCTTTGTGAGCCTGGACACTTGTGTGTTCTCAATAAAGCATGATTTGGCTTAGTGTTGCATGCCAGGTGAGGCTGTGGCTTGTTCCCAGTATCGCGATAAGCCATCATTTACCTTGATTCTGAATGCAGCCTCTGTGTGTTCACTACTTTAAACTCTGTTGTGTATCTCTCATTGCTTATTCATCCAAACCAGCCTCATGATCCGAGGTCACTGTTTGTTTCAACTTCTGGAGATAAGGAGCTAAGGGCTGTGTGCCGTGCCTTCATCCTGATCTTAAAATTACAGCTGTAAGCCAGGCATTAATCCATTTCATTGGCGGTTTAATGAATTAAAGTTTGATTAACAAATTTGAATTGACGGGGTTCCACGTAAAGGAGCACATTGTTGCTTTTCAAGCCTGTTTTGTTCTGGGATGTTGCTGTAATGGTGGCTGGAAAAGGAAGTATTAAGCATCGCCCTTAAGTGTTGTTTTTGTGGTAAACTACTCATATAAATATTATTGCTGTACTATGGTACCTACAGTTATGAACTTAATTCGTTCCGGAGGTCCGTTCTTAACCCGAAATCATTCTTAACATGAGGCGCACTTTTGCTAATGGGGCCTCCCGTTGCTGCTGCGCCCATAGCGCGCGACTTCTGCTCGCATGCTGGAGCAAAGTTCGCAACAAGGAGCATCTACTTCCGGGTTAGGGGAGCTCGTTACCCAAAACGTTCATAAGGAGGACGGTACGTAACCTGAGGTTCCACTGTACATTCATCTCAATTTTTGCACACCACCCTGCAGCTCAGGTGTTTTTAGCCATGTGGAAGATCCTTCTGGCTTGCAGTCTCTGACTTTTGTGGGCCCTGGCTTCATATTAATATACTTTTCTATAGCCCCACAAGGGACAGAAACTTTGTTTTTTTTTTAAAAGGAAAGCAATGGAATCGGGGGATTCTGAGAGAAGTGAAAATTCATTCTGTGGAGCAATGGCAAGATCAGCTAGAACAGATTCATACACCATCTCAGCATTCCTCTCTTCCACTTTCTTCCCTTTCTGTTTTTTCCTCCGTTCTGGGTTTAGAGAGGAACAAGGCAGACTGAGGGCAAGCAGAGCCAAGCTGCAGAGCTGTGGAAGGAAAAGAAAAAAGATATCTTTGTGCTCTCCAAACAAATGTTGGGTTTTGTGGCAGCTGCTTCTCATCTGTTCTCAAGCTTGGGATTCTCCGGACGGCAAACTAATAACAGCAGACTTCCCTGAAGCCAACCTTTCCCGGCAATGGGGCCATTTTTTATAACTTTTTAACACCAGCATGCCAGAACTTGAAAGGGTTGTATTGTCCCAAGCTCTGTTCCCTTGTGATAACAGGCTCAAAAGGGTAGATGGGGGAGCTCAACTTCTAAGGTTCTGGACAGAACCCTGCATAGAGGAGGAATAACAGTGGAGCTGAGAGGGGGCCTGTTTGGGTGATACTTTGCTCCTGGGGCACAGTTTGGGAGTGATGGGGGAGAAGCTCTCTGTTCTGCACACCACTCCCTCGTGCCTCTCACCAGAACAAGTGAACTGGCAAGTGCAGCGTTGTGTCCCTTGCCCAAGTTCATGTTGTTCAGTTTACCATGGGCAGGGAGGAAGCGTGCAGGTCAAAAGGCCCACACTCGCTCCCCTCCCGTTGATGTTCCCAAGGTCAAAGTGCCACGCAAGCAGCCCCAAGGTGAGCCAAGGCAGGCCTCGTGCCAACATGCAGTATCCCTGGCCCCAGAGCCCTGGTAGGGTCAATTGCTCACATCTCCTCACCAGCCCCAGTCATCATGGCCAATGGTCAAGGACAGTGGAAGCTATACTCCAGCAACATCTGCAGATCATGGGTTCCTCACCCTGATCTAGACCTCTTTCCTCCAGCCCTGGACTTTATCAGCCCTGTTACCTGAGATAGTTCCAGCTGAAGATACCAAGAACTGAGCATTTATTCTACCACTGAGAAGGCTGGCTCTGATCTGGCAGGCTCTGCTCTGTAAAAGGTTTGAGATTGCAGTCAAGAGCCCAAGCCTAATGGCAATCCTTCTCCTTCCTTTCTCAAATAATGTCATATAATCATAGAATCATAGAGTTGGAAGAGACCACAAGGGCCATCGAGTCCAACCCCCTGCCAAGCAGGAAACACCATCAGAGCACTCCTGACATATGGTTGTCAAGCCTCTGCTTAAAGACCTCCAAAGGAGACGACTCCACCACACTCCTTGGCAGCAAATTCCACTGTCGAACAGCTCTTACTGTCAGGAAGTTCTTCCTAATGTTTAGGTGGAATCTTCTTTCTTGTAGTTTGGATCCATTGCTCCGTGTCCGCTTCTCTGGAGCAGCAGAAAACAACCTTTCTCCCTCCTCTATGTGACATCCTTTTATATATTTGAACATGGCTATCATATCACCCCTTAACCTCCTCTTCTCCAGGCTAAACATGCCCAGCTCCCTTAGCCGTTCCTCATAAGGCATCGTTTCCAGGCCTTTGACCATTTTGGTTGCCCTCCTCTGGACACGTTCCAGTTTGTCAGTGTCCTTCTTGAACTGTGGTGCCCAGAACTGGACACAGTACTCCAGGTGAGGTCTGACCAGAGCAGAATACAGTGGCACTATTACTTCCCTTGATCTAGATGCTATACTCCTATTGATGCAGCCCAGAATTGCATTGGCTTTTTAGCTGCCGCGTCACACTGTTGGCTCATGTCAAGTTTGTGGTCAACCAAGACTCCTAGATCCTTTTCACATGTACTGCTCTCAAGCCAGGTGTCCCCATCTTGTATTTGTGCCTCTCATTTTTTGGCCCCAGTGCAATACTTTACATTTCTCCCTGTTAAAATTCATCTTGTTTGTTTTGGCCCAGTTCTCTAATCTGTCAAGGTCGTTTTGAAGTGTGATCCTGTCCTCTGGGGTGTTAGCCACCCCTCCCAGTTTGGTGTCATCTGCAAATTTGATCAGGATGCCCTTGAGTCCATCATCCAAGTCGTTGATAAAGATGTTGAATAAGACCGGGCCCAAGACAGAACCCTGTGGCACCCCACTAGTCACTCTTCTCCAGGATGAAGAGGAACCATTGATGAGCACCCTTTGGGTTCGGTCAGTCAGCCAGTTACAAATCCACTGAGTGGTAGCATAGTCAAGACCGCATTTTACCAGCTTCTTTACAAGAATATCATGGGGCACCTTGTCAAATGCCTTGCTGAAATCAAGGTAGGCTACATCCACTGCGTTCCCTTCATCTACCAGGCTTGTAATTCTGTCAAAAAACGAGATCCGGTTAGTCTGACATGACTTATTTTTCAGAAATCCATGCTGACTATTGGTGATCACAGCATTCCTTTCTAGGTGCTCACAGACTGTTTGCTTAATGATCTGCTCCAGAATCTCCCCTGGTATTGATGTCAGACTGACTGGGCGGTAATTATTTGGGTCCTCTCTTTTCCCCTTTTTGAAAATAGGGACAACATTTGCCCTCCTCCAGTCTGCCGGGACTTCGCCTGTTCTCCAGGAATTCTCAAAGATGACTGCCAGTGGTTCTGAGATCACATCTGCCAGTTCTTTTAATACTCTTGGATGCAGTTCATCTGGCCCTGGAGACTTGAATACATCTAAACTAGCCAAGTATTCTTGTACTATCTCCTTAGTTATTCTGGGCTGTGTTTCCTTTGCTGAATCATTTGCTCCAAATTCTTCAGGTCGGGCATTGTTTTCTTTATCGGAGAAGACTGAGGCAAAGAAGGCATTGAGGAGTTCAGCCCTTTCTGTGTGCCCTGTTTGCATTTCACCGTCTTCTCCTCTGAGTGGACCCCACTGTTTCTTTGTTCTTCCTTTTGCTACGAACATACCCATAAAAGCCTTTTTTGTTGCTTTTAACCTCTCTAGCAAGCCTGAGTTCATTCTGTGCTTTAGCTTTTCTGACTTTGTGTCTACACGTGCTGGCTATTTGTTTGAATTCCTCTTTGGTGGTTTCCCCCTTTTCCATTTTTTGTACACATCCTTTTTTAATCTTAACTCAGTTAAAAGTTCTTTAGATAGCCACCCTGGCTTCTTTAGGCACCTTCCATGTTTCCGTCTCATTGGTATTGCCTGACGTTGTGCTTTTACAATCTCCCTCTCCCAGCCAAAGGGAGGCTTCCAGCCATCATGAACTCCCTTTCCTTTTAGTATTACTGTCCATGGGATCTCACCCAGCACTTCCCTAAGTTTTATGAAGTCAGCTTTCTTAAAGTCAAGAAATTGAGTCCTAGTATGCTTGGCTGCTCCTTTCCGCTGTATAGTAAACTTCAGAAGAGCATGATCACTCGCGCCTAATGATCCTTCCACTTCTACCCCACTAACCAGGTCATCAACATTGGTTAGGACCAGATCTAAAATGGCTGTTCCTCTTGTTGCTTCTCCCACTTTCTGGACAACGAAGTTGTCTGCAAGGCCAGTGAAGAATCTGTTTGACCTTATGCTCTTGGCTGAGTTTGACATCCAACAAATATCCGGGTAATTGAAGTCCCCCATTACTACTATCTCCCTTCCTTTTGCATGCTTGGCCATCTGTTCCAGGAAGGCATCATCTATGTCCTCCGTTTGAATCATATAATCATAGAATCATAGAGTTGGAAGAGACCACAAGGGCCATCGAGTCCAACCCCCTGCCAAGCAGGAACCCCCTGCCAAGCTTGGGGTCAAATAATTTTGGCATCAGATTCCAGCCTAGGATGCTGCCTCCCTCTTATTTTCAGCAGGAGTTAATTTAGAGTTGTAGGGAGGCAAATAATTCAGCAAATGGCTCATCAGTATCCCAAGCACCAAAGTCAGGTTTCTGTCAATTAATGGCTAAAATGATGGATTCCACCAGAAAAAGAGGAAGAAGCTTTGTTGTATTTGCTGTTTCTTCCTTGAGTGTTGCATTGTGCTGAATATGGGGAATAAAATTCATATTTAGGCAGCCTAAAGACCCAGAAAATCTGTGTTGTGTTACACCACAAATAGCTAACATTGGTAAGCAATTGGTAACTTTTATGAGCTTACAGGATTTTTCTACCTTCATATTTGGTGTGCAAGGTAGGCATGGGGGGGCAGAGTCCAACTAACTAGATAGGTTTTAAGATACTAAAGGGGAAAAGGTGGGAGCCTTGTTTCAGAAACTGTAGAATCAAAACACCTCTCCATTTTGGAATATGAATTCCAAACGCTTTTGAATTACAGTGGTACCTCAGGTTACAGACGCTTCAGGTTACAGACTCCGCTAACCCAGAAATAGTACCTTGGGTTAAGAACTTTGCTTCAGGATGAGAACAGAAATCCTGAAACTTTACTTCAGGATGAGAACAAAAATCGTGCTCCGGCAGTGCGGCAGCAGCGGGAAGCCCCATTAGCTAAAGTGGTACCTCAGGTTAAGAACAGTTTCAGGTTAAGAACGGACCTCCAGAACGAATTAAGTTCTTAACCCAAGGTGCCACGGTATTGAATATTGTTCCACAAGATTTATTTGTCACATGCTGCCCTGGACTCCAGAAGACGGTGGGATATAAATGTAAAGAATCATAGATTCTGCAATGCAGAAGTCTCAGCTAAAGCATCCAGGACAGAGGGCCACCCAACCTCTGCTTTAAAACCTCCAAGGAAGGAGAGTCCACCTCTCTGCCTCTCGTGGGAGTCTATTCCACTGTTGAACAGCTCTTACTGTCAGAAAGTTTTTCTGAATGTTTAGTCAGAATTTCCTTTCTTGTAACTTGAAGCCATTGGTTCGAGTCCTACTCTCCAGAGCAGGAGGAAACAAGCTTGTCCCCTCTTCCATGTGACAGCTCTTCAGATATTTGAACTTGGCTATCAGATCTCCTCTCCGTCTCCTCTTTTCCAGGCTAAACATACCCAGCTCCTTCAACCATTCCTCATAAGGCTTGGTTTCCAGACCCTTGATCATCTCGTTCGCCCTCCTCTGCACATTTTCCAGCTTATCCACATCCTTCTTAATTTGTGGTGCCTAGTATTACAGATGTGGTCTGACCAAGGCAGAATAGAGTGCTACTCTTACTTCCCTTGATCTGTACACTAGATTTCTGTTGATGCAGCCTAGAATAGAATTAGCTTTTTTTGCTGCTGCATCAACCTGTTGACTCATGTTAAGTTTGTGGTCCACTAAGACCCCTAGATCCTTTTCACATGTACTGCTAGTAAGCCAGGTGTCCCCCATCCTATATTTGTGCATCTGGTTCTTCCTGCCTAAGTGCAGAACCTGACATTTGTCCCTATTGAAATTCTTTTTTTTTTTTTTTAAGCTTGGGCTCAGTTCTCCAATCTGTGAAGGTCATTTTGAATTCTGATTCTGTCTTCTGCAGCATTAGCCAGCCCCCCCCCCCCCCCGTTTGGTGGCATCTGCAAATTTTATGAGCATCCCCTCAATTCCTTCATCCAAGTAGTTTATGAAGATGTTGAACAACAATGGGCCAAGGACAGAACCCTGCGGCACCCTGCTTGTCACTTTTCCCCAAGATGACGAGGAACCATTAATGAGTGCACTTTGGGTTCAGTCAGTCAATAAATTCCATTAAATAAAATATTCCTACCCTCTTGCAGTATGCCTTGGGATATCACCACCTGAATTCACTTCAAAGTACAATGTTGACGGGCATAAAGGTAATATGGAGGTTGAAGTAAGTTTGAGTTGGTTAACCCAGCAAAATCAGCTGTTTTTATTCTACCTCTTTCATCCTGAGTTAAATGATCATGTAAGTAATAGCAGAGTTGTGATTGATGGTGAGTCTGCCCCCCAGTTCAATAAAGAAACCCAGCAAATAACTCATGATGGTGAAATGAGTGTTCCAGCCAAACACCGGTGACTTCCTTGTTTGCCAGGTCCTATTTCTAGCAAACAATAGATGCGACAGTAAAACTGTTCTTAGAGTGTATCAGTGCAGTTGTGGTGACAAGGTTAACTATTTTCCCCTGGAAACAATTCCTTTCATGTGTCAGGCAAGAAAGCAAGAGTAGAACTCATCTCCCTAAAATCTACTTTTCAATGTGCATTTAATTGTTTTTATGGAGAAATACTTAAACATGCAATCCCTGCCTCCTCACCTGCAAATGAACCAATGTAGTTCAGGGACAGTTTTACAACATGCTGATCTGCATATGTCTACATTGCCCCACAATTGTGCAAGGAAACCAAGAGCACTGAGCAAACAGTGACTTAATGGGGAAGTTTATATCCAAGTGCGGTCAGGCTTTAATCCTTTGCGTTGCTTTTAACCCCTGCTGCCTCTATGCCCTCCTTGCTCTGAAGGCTGTAGAGCAGCCAGCTTGCCAGCTGCTGAGCTTCAGGTAGGTGCCCCTCCTGCCAGAGTTGGGTTTCCCATCTCGTCCTGCCTTCTAGTCTTGGGCTGGGTCAGATCTAGACGTTTGCCCATTGTAGCACGATGCTTTGTGGCTGCAGTTCATTTCTGATAACAAGTTTTTAAAAACAGAGCACTGTGTACATTGATGGCCCTGTGTCAGTAATAAAAATGGAAACCTCCTCCCCCAACCCTTGCTCCCTCCGCTCTTCCAAACGACCTGCATGCCAGCTGAGGGCTGTGTTTTACAACTGTAGGAGGGATGCCTTCTTCCCCAGTGTTTGCATGCTGCCAGAGTAATGCATCTGCGATAAACCACTCACACCTTGCTTCCCCCTTGTTTCCCCCCTCCCTCTCTGTCTCTTTGTCTCCTCTAACATTTCCAGTTCTGCCCAAAGCAAGCATTGAAGTGGAGTCTTATTCAGCTCACCCTGGTGACCTCCTCCAGTTGCGCTGCCGGCTACGGGATGATGTGCAGAGCATCAACTGGGTACGAGATGGGGTCCAGCTCTCGGAGAACAACCGGACGCGCATCACAGGGGAGGAGGTGGAGGTTAGGGACGCCGTGCCAGAGGACTCAGGGCTTTATGCCTGCATGACCAACAGCCCCTCTGGAAGCGAGACCACCTACTTCTCCGTGAACGTCTCAGGTTTGTAGCAGGCAACCGCAGGGACGAGGGGCAGCAAACTAGTGTTGGCATTGCTCAGGCCCTCCAAATGTTTCGGCACCCATCATCCCTGACCATTGGCCATGCAGGCTGGGGCTTACGGGAGTTGGAATCCAATAAAACCTGGAAGGCCACAGGTTCCCCACCTCTAGCACAGCAGATAGTATCCAGTCTGGCTGCAAGGAAACCCCATTCTGGATTCTTGGTCTTCAGCAAGTCTCACTGCTTCTCAGCTTAATCTGCCTCTTGCAGGGTTGTTTGGGGTGTTGCTCAATTATTCCCATGCAAAGTGCTTGAGTGCAAGTCACCTGCTCTGACTCAAGTTCTTCCTTGGATCTAATGTATGAGGGAGCTGTATGAGGGAGTAGTTCCAAGGCGCATCTTTGATGGCATCTTTGCAGGCTTTTTTCCTTGCTGGTAGACCAGCAGGTGAAGACCAGGCCTTCCCCTCCTCTGATGGAGCTCAGACCTCCATCACCTTGTAGTTCCTGGAGAGGCGGCTTCCTCTTGCTCCTTTCTTGGCTGCTGGTCCCAGAGTGGTTGCAGGAGGCTTCCTTAGGTGCTGTTATAGTCCAGGCCTCCGTGGAAATTTTCCAACTGGATTGACTGTCCACCAACAAAGCCAAGAACAGGGATGGAGTTGTTGTCCATTCAAAAGACAGCACAGCTATTAAGAGCAGGGCAAAAGTGTGCTCGCTCATGTCAAAGGAATTACTTACACCTAATAGATTCCCAGGATAGTCACAGTACAATGAGCACACATCTAAGGCAGGAAGTGCCAATTGTGCTTCCAGGAGAGTGTTTCAGATTTTGTTCAGTTGTGCTTGAAGGTGCCACAGAGACTGGCAAACCCAGTTTGAGGAGAAGCTATGGTGGAGCGGAAAGCATTGGGCATGATGTGGTCATCATGGCTCTACAGTGCCAACTGTATAAAACTCCATTTTTTGAGAATCTTTGTTTTTCTTTTATTTAGGCTCAAGTTTATAGTCCTTATGGCTACAAAGTGGGCAAATCCTGCCAAAAGCTCAGACAGCAGGGTGGGGTAATTGAATAAGAATTCCATTGGTTGTGAGTAAAGTTTCAGCTTTCTGCCTTGTTCTGTTCTTCTTCCCACAAATAATTCCTTGCGGAATGAGGGATTACACAGATTTGTTTCAGTAGTATAGTGTGCCAGGATACCACATTTCACAATACAACTGTGGGTTGTATTCAACTAAGTCTGGCTCTGAGTAGACCTATTGAAGAGACTATGACAAGTTTAACTTCAGTGGATCTACTCTGAGTAGGACTAACACTGAGTCCCACTCTGGCTGCAGATTGAAGGGTGGGGAAATCTCTTTGCTGACTCTCATGGCCATTGCAAGGTTGTATCTAGACAGGCAATTTATCACAAGATAAAACTGTTCTTGGGCCACCCTGCTTCAAATTTCTGATAGCAGACTGGGGATGAGGAGAATCTTTCATTTCAGAACACCTTCCCATTTTTAAAAACAGATAGCAAAGGAGAACTCTAGACATCTCGTGACAAGCTATGGATTTCCCCCTCCCTCCCCCCATACGTAAATAAATCCAGAAGCATGTGATCTTCTGTCTCCAGTCTGAGATGGTATGACCCAGACTAATTCTTTCCTGTGCTGAGCTGTTTATCTCAAGCTGATAGGGTTGCTGATCAATACAGAGTGACAGACGAGATACTCCTGAAAGGATATTGAATGACCAACTCAACCACAAGATCCACAGACTTTGACTGGCTTTGGGAGCCAGCCAGAATGTCTGCTTGAGACATGGTGGAAGGCCAGGAGGCCAACAGTAGGGGGAGCCAATGACAGGCAGAGCCAACTCTTTCCAGTTGTGTCCCCCATCCCCACTCCTCACCTGCTGAGTTTTCCAGGGCAACCTGCCAGCCACTGGCATTTTCTGGACTGGCAGGAAGCAGGCAGGCAGGTGAGGAGTGGTAAGGCCCTATCCCTACCACAAGGAGCCTGTCAGAGTTCCTAAAAGCAGAAAGAAGGGCTTGTCCAAACATAACTTTCATCCGCTCCTTCCAGGCACAGCCTGCACTTTTAAGCTCCGTGTGAGAGCTTTTCCCACAAAAACCGTCTCTCTAGTACTCCATTGGAGCATACAGTAATCCATGGGAAATCCAAATGGACATTTGCTCTGATTGAGTACTAAAAAGCTGTGCCTGGAAAGAGATGGGCAAAAAGTAAGTAAGTGTGGATGAACTCAAAGCCCCCAAGGCCAGCAAGTTTGCCTGCAGGGGGTCATCTCAGAATGAAGAATGAAAAAAAGGGGCAAGCTGGGAAGTACATTGGGGGCCCCAGTCCCACTCATGTATTCCTCAGTGGTGTCCTGGGATTTTCTTTCTCCTCCCATGTCCCACTTATTTTCATACCAAGCAGCCCAACAGATCCAGGTACTCAGGACAGATTCCCCTATTATAATTTCTGTCCTGCCATCTTGGTGCAAAAGCACCATTCAGGGCAGCATACAACATTTAACCATGGGAATTCTACCAAAACAACATTTCACCAAGGAGTCAGGGGTCAGCAGTTAAAATCAAAACATAAACACATTAGCCGTCATATTCAGAAAAGGCCTTCTGGAATAAAACTGTATTCAACAAGCAGAGCAAAATGGGGAGGGAGCCACGCACACTTCACAATCTGGGTGCAGCCACTGCAAAGGATCTCTCTCTCTCTCTCTTTCTACTCAAATGTTCTTTCACCCTAGATGAGATGCAGAGAAGAGTGGCCCATGATCTTAGGGAGGGGCAAGAGGTACCTAAGGCATGCAGGACTTTAAAAGTGATCACCAAAACTTTGAATTGGGTCTGGAAGCAAATAGGTAATGAGTGCAGTTGTATGATTGGTGTAACTAATACCAATTGTAGTAACTAATTGGTGTAACTTGCCACAGGCAAGTGCCCACCATTATCCTTGTTGAGGAAGGTAAATGTGTGGGGCTCAGAGAGCCAGCTTCCCTTCTCCTGCATCATTGCAGGCTAGCATGCTGCCCACTCAAAAATGATTCCAGCCACTTCCTTTTCTAGATGCTCTTCCATCTGCTGAAGATGATGACGATGATGACGATTCTTCCTCGGAGGAGAAGGAGGCAGATAACTCCAGACCAAATCGTACGTGTGACATTAATCAGTTAATGTAACTTGTCAGTTACGAACACAGCCAGGATTTTTATTTTTCAAATTCTCTTGGTAGCAGTGATGCTTTTCCAGCTGGAATCTGTCCATTGGCAATATTCTATGAAGCCTGTAATGCCTTTCTTTTTTTGCCCTTGAAGTGTCCTAAACCTACTTAGCAATGCTTCCACCTCCTGTGGGGGATCAGTTACTCATTCTCCCTCGGTGGTGGGGAGTGTGGCTCTTGCAACCCCTTCCAGCCTCTGGGCCACCCTCTCATGCCCAGTGGCCAGCAGGTTCCTAGTGCCCCCCGGTAGGCTAGGTAGGAAACAGGCACCCAGAGTGCTGGCAAAGACCTCGTCTTCTCCCTCAGCAGTAAATTGTCCCTTCTGAGAGTAGAGCAACAGAAGTGGGACAGGATTAATTCCACAGTGGCACCTGATTTGGGGGACCAAGAAAGCTGGGCAAGTGTCCCATTTTCAACATCTAGAAGTTGCTTCCCTTGAGCAGCTGTCCTGGGGGTGCAGGGAGCCAGAACTCAGCGGCCAGCAGGGCTCCTAATTCAATTGTGAAGGGAGAATTGGGCTACTTTCTAGTTACGGGATGTGTTCTTCCTGGTGCCATGAGCTTTTCCCCCTTCACGATGTGCTAAATATTGATAAGCCCCAACTTACTCGCATATCTGTCTCTCTGTCTGTTTTTTTGTGGTGGGGGTGGTCTCCTGTAGAAGCCATTCCGCCTTACTGGACGTACCCTGAGAAGATGGAGAAGAAGCTTCATGCTGTTCCCGCTGCCAAGACCGTGAAGTTTAGGTGCCCCTCAAGTGGGACACCCACTCCTTCGCTGCATTGGCTGAAGAATGGCAGGGAATTCAAGCCTGACCATCGTATAGGTGGATATAAGGTAGGATCCCTGCTTGTCTGGAGATCAGAGGCAGATCTGAGAATATAGAAAGGGGCAATTCCTGCTCCTGTGCAGAGACTTTAAACTCTGTTGTGCTGTTTGCTATTCTGGTCTGTTTTTTCTTCATTGTCTACCCCTCTGAATTAAAACCAATTTGCCATGCTTGTGTTCAAAATATGGGATTTCTTTGAAGCGTCCACCAAAGATGCTTTTGTTGCTGAAGAGACAAACTGTTTTTGTTAAGTTGAAATGGGTTGCCTCTTCAGCAGGTGGTGGAAACTTAAAAACAGACAAACATTTTTTTCAGTATTTGCATTTGTTACTCTCATTATAACCTCAGAGCCCATCTGATAATATATCAGAGCCTACTAATGGCTCCCTGGACCACCATTTAAGCTCTAGTTTTCTCTTATTGTTTACTGTAATATTAGGGCGCTAATAACCATTGAGGTCATAATCCTATGCTTTTGAGTGGATTTTTAAGAGTCTTTCCAGGGAGAGCAGACCACCGATGGACACCCCTTGTTGTCGGGGCCCATCTCAGATGCCACGAGTCCAGTAGGCCTAGAGTTACCTGGCCACCAAGAGACAATATCGTTCCACATCACAAGGTTAGCCACCTATCCCGACATGGCTATCCCGACACGATTCTGTGATCTCATGGGGGCAGAGATCCATAACTTTCGCGTCGGCCTGTTGCCACCTACACTGTCTAGGGGCTAGAGTACCAGATTCGGTGGAGATTAGAGGGCAGAGGTCTTAGGCTCCTCACGGGGGAAGAAGGACAATTGCCCCCACCATACAAGGCTTACAGAGATGTGTTCTGTGAGAAGGAAGCGGACAGACTGCCCCCCCCCCCAGGCCTTACGACTGCAAAATCGACTTGTTGCCGGGGGCTCAGCTACCCAACAGCCGGCTGTACTCCACGTCAGAGGTGGAGTTGGCAGCATTAAATGAATTTCTGGAGAAGAATTTGTCATGCGGCTTCATCCGTCCATCCAAAGCCCCAGAGGGTGCCCCTGTGCTCTTCGTGAAGAAATGTAACACCTCAGAGTTGAGGCCTTGCAATGACTACAGGCTTCTGAACAAGGTACCAGTCCCCAATCGCTATCCCCTGCCACGCATCGGGGACCTGCTGGAGAGGTTGAGATTGGCAAAGATCTTCACTAAGCTCGACTTGAGGGGGGCTTACTACCTGAAACGGGTGACAGCGGGAGATGAGTAGAAGACCACCTTCTGTGCAAGATACAGCAGTTTTGAGTACTTAGTCATGCAATTTGGATTGCAATTGGGAACTGTGACGTTCCAGGCGTTCATCAATCATGTGTTGGGGGGTCTGGTGGACTCTACAGTGTTGTGTTATCTAGATGATCTTTTGATTTAAGAGCATGTAAAACATGTGAAAGAGGTGCTGCAGTGGCTCAGATAAAATTGGTTGTATGTCAAGTTAGAAAAGTGTCAGTTCCATGTGACAGAGGTGGAGTTATTGGGCTACCACATCACCCCTGAGGAAGTACACATGGATCCCGCCAAGGTGCAGGCAGTGGTGATGTGGCAGGAACCCAGAACCAAGAAAGACTTGCAACAATTCCTGGGTTTTGTGAACTACTACCGTAAGTTCATACCAAGATAATCAGGGCTGACGGCTCCTCTCATGGACTGCTTAAGAGGTAAGAGATCCTGCCAGTGGACGAAAGAGGCACAGAGGGTGTTTGAGAGCCTCAAGGCCATGTTTGCCTCAGAAGAGTACCTAGCGCATCCCGACCCACACTGACATATGATAGTAGAGACTGACGCATCTGACAGGGCATTGGGGGCAGTGCTACTGCAAGAGGATGAGAACGGGGCCATCAGACCGTGTGCCTTCCACTTGCGCAAGCTGACGCCATCAGAGCAGAACTACACCATATGAGAGAGGGAATTGCTTGCTATCTGGCACGCTCTGGAAACGTGGCGACATTTCCTAAAGGGCGCGCAACATCAGGTTATAGTGCGCACCAACCACAGGAATCTTGAACACTGGCAGACGGCTGGACACCTTAACCAGAGGCAGATCAGGTGGGCGCAGTTCTTTGCCAGATTCAACTTTAGAGTGCAGTATGTGTCGGGTCCTCAGAAGCAAAGAGCAGACCCTCTTTCCCGGAAGCCAGAATATCAGGGAGAGGAGGTTGCCCCGGTGCAGAGGCACATTCTCTCTTCTTCTTTTTTTTTTAATGATATTTATTGAAATTTTTTTAGAATTACAAAAGAAAACAAGGTAGAAAAAGAAAAAGAAAAAACAAAGAAAAAGCAAACCACATCAAACAATACAAATTAATCAAAAAATAAAAATATACCACAAATATTTAAAAACAAATCCATTATTCTCAAATCCTTAACTATCATTACCTTCTTTCTTTGACCTCCTCCTCCTCCCTTTTTTTGTATCCTAGTTGTTAATTGTCGCAGCAAATCCTTTCCATATTTCATAATATTCTGTCATTACATTACCTTAATCTATTTTAATCTTATCTTACTATAAAAAACCTTAAAACCTAAAACTTAAATCTTATTTTTACCAACTTCTCATAACCATAATATTCCTACATAATTCTTTAAACATTTTTGCTAAAGCCAAATAATTTCGTTCCAACATTTTTCTAACATTCATCAGTTTTATAAAACAATCCTAATAATAAAAAAGAAATAAAAAAACAATCCAATCTTCATCCAGCGTCTCTTCCTCCTGGTCCCGGGTTTTGTCAGTCCTTTTTATCTCATCAATCTAGCGCATTAACCTGGTAATCTTATATCCGAGGCCCTTAAGTCCCTTCCATGTCCCTTCCGCGGCTCTTCTTCATATTTATAACTGTATTTTCCTTTGTCTCCTGCTCCTTTCACTCGTGGGAACTCCAGCTTAGCAATGTTTTTGACCCTTCTCGACAAATCAGCCCTTTTCCATAGTCCACACTAAACTCCATGTGGTATTTAAGAACATGTTTCAAAGTCTCTCCAAAATTAAGAGCCCCCACAACCCCAAACATCTCACGGCCCATTGCCAGACTTGAAAAGTCCAAACATCCCTGCATAGGGGGGTCTATCCAACCCCCCATTTCCAAACCAAACCAAACTTTATCTTTCCAAATCTGGCTTTTTCCAAGTTCATTTGTCAAATCCAAAAGCTCATGTTCCTGCTGGGCCACAGCTCCCTCCATCTCTGGCGCCCAAGATTCAGCAACATCCTCTTCCCTCATCTGTTCTGTCAGGGCACACTCCTGAGTTAATTCCTGAGTGGGCTGCATATAATTTCCCACTGCCTGTTCAAAATTCTTGATTGCATCAGTCATCAAGTCCGTCTTCTCATGTAGCTGTTCCAGTAGGGCACTTGTTTTACAGTGAGCACACAGCAGAGCTTCTGAATACATTGTCCGGCAAGGTCAGAAGTCTATTCCCACGATCGTAATCTGTAACAGCTGCAAGCTCCCCGATTCAGAATTAGTTACAGTTTCACAGGCTCCCTCTAGGGGAAAAACTTCTATTTGTTCTTTTCTTTTAAAGACAAATCTAACAACAAAGTTTCCTTTTTCAGATATTTTGTCAATATTTGTTCCTTTAAAATGCGAAGGGGAACAATGGAATCACTATGTTTCTCTTCTTTTAGCTATCTGTCAAAAACGTTTGTCTCTGGTCAATGAGCTTCAAAAAACGTCAGTCCTGACACCCCGCTCCAGGATCAAGACGGTGGAAAGTTACTTTACTTTACACTCACTTCTGCAGGTTTAAACAGTTCAGAAAAACCCCCCCCTCTTCTCCTGCTTCCGAAGGGGGTTCCACAATCTTAAATGATGAAAGTTAGTCCTTTACAAGCGATTTTCTGAGCTCTAGTTTGCCATGTCTTTGCTTTAATCTATCTACAAAGAAACGGAAGGGTGACTTCCTGTTTAGACCTTCCCGTTTCAGTGCCATATTGAAGTAAACTTTTAAGTTCAATTTTCCTTTCTGCATGCAAGTCCTTATTTAGAGTCCAATTGTCCAAAATTTAAGTACTCACAGGTGATTGTTTTAGAAGCCAAATTGTCCCAGGAAAAAGGCAGCGCTCTCCGGCAACGGCTGTGCGGCTTCGCTCCACGGAAGAAGCAGTTGACTCTCAGCACCGCGCCACTTCCCCTCTTCGCTCCGGAGCCCGTTAGTGGGTTCCTTTGTGGGTTGGGGGGGCGCTAAAGGTGCCCGCCGAGTCCCATGGTCACAGGCTTCATCCGTCTGTGATTTTTGAAAGGGTCCCCGCTTCGCCGTAGCGTGAAAGACCCGTTTCCCGTGGAGCTGGTCCCTCCAGATCAGAGGGAATCCGCCATTACCGATGGCGCCACCCCAAGCTGGAACAGATACAGTTAGCAGCGGTTTCAGTAGCCAAGACGCCCGACTTCCTGAAGCACACTGCCGAGGATGACTTTGCAAAGAGGAATATGGAGGCAATACAGAGGAGAGACACAGCGGTGGAAGGTTTTGCTGAAAGAGGGGGATTGCTGTATAAGGGAAAAGTGCTGTATGTCCCAGAAGGCAAGCTACATGCCAAGGTCCTGAGACAGTGTCACAACAACTCCATGGCGGGGCATTTTGGACGGTACAAAACCTTGTTCCAAGTGACAAGACAGTTTTGGTGGCCTGAGGTGAAGGAAGAAACAAAAGATTATGTAAAGGCATGTGAGACTTGTCAGTGGGCCAAGAAGCCCCGCAAAGCGCCTGCAGGACTACTCCAACCGCTCCCTACACCTCAAGGACCTTGGGAGGCAATAGCTATGGACTTTATCACTGACCTACCTGAGTCGCATAAGCAGACAGTGATATGGGTGGTGGTGGAGCTGTTCTCTAAAATGGCGCATTTTGTGCCCTGTAAGAAGTTACCCTCGGCACAGAAGACGGCACATCTCTTCATGGAACATGTGTTTAAGCTGCATGGGCTGCCTTTGAAGGTCAGCTCAGATAGAGGAGCACAATTTACCTCCCAGTTTTGAAGGGAACTAATGTAGCTGCTGAAGGTGGAAGTTTGCCTCACGTCCGCTAGACACCCACAGACAAATGGAGAGTCAGAAAGGACGAACACAACCTTGCACCCGTACCTGTGATGTTACATGAGTTATCAACAGAACGATTGGGTCAACAAGTTGGCCCTAGCAGAGTTTGCATACAACAACGCAGTACACCCGTCTACCCAACAAACTCCCCTTTTTGCCTGCCTGGGACAACACCCACACGCCTTACCAGTGCAGGATGGTGGCATGTCAGTGTCAGACGCAGAACATTTTGCAGAAGAGCTGGCAGCTATGTACAGCTTACTACAAGAGCAGTTGGAGCAAGCTAAGGACGCATATAAGAGGGAGACAGATAAGCATAGACGGCACGGAGATAAGGGTGAGAGACCAGGTGGTGTTGTCTGCCAAAGACTTGCCTAACAAGGGGAGGTTCCAGAAATTGGACCTTCAGAGGGTGGGACCATTTGAAGTAGTGGAGCAAATTAACCCAGTGTCATTCAGGCTTCAGGTACCGATCTCCATGAAGATACACCCTGTATTTCATAGGTCCTTGTTGTCTCCTGTGATTCCTGCACACCCATACCAAGCACCTAAGGAGGCACTCCCCCCACCATCAATAATGATAGAAGGTGAACCAGAATACAAAGTGTTGCAGTTACTGGACTCTCACTGGAGGGGAAGGAGATTGCAGTATTTAGTGTCTTGGAAAGGTTATGGGAATGAAGAAAATTCTTGGGAGGATTCTGGAAACATGCACACCGCTAGGTTACAGGCAGAATTTCACTGCTGGTACCCCAACAAACCCAAACCAAGAGGGAGGAGGGGGGGTGGAAGAAGAAGAGAGCGAGGCAGAGTGGGGCTCGAAACAGAGGGAAACCCTCAAGAGGAAGGGGAAGTGGAAGAGAGTGAGGAGGACTGATGGGAAGGCCTAGACAGCGACCCTCGGAGGAAGGAGGAACAAGAGGAGAAGGAGGAGGAGAATCTTAATGGAGGGGATGGTGTCGTGAACACATCTGCCCCAAGTAGAGGAACAACAAGAGTTAGGAAGCAGCCAGACAGGTGGGAGCAGTCCCCCTCCCCCTCCCTCTGACACGGAATGAAATGTAGATAAGGCGTTAGCAGAGAGTGGGAGGGCGAGAAGCCAGCTCGCTCAAGAAGCACAAGCAGCTTCAGAAAGCAGGAGGGGTAGTGTTTCCTCAGCGGAAGAGGAGGCAATTAATCCCCTGAGCCCAAAGAGTAGACGTATGGGAAAGGTATTAGACAGGAAACAAACCCAGAAACGTAAGGGTTATAGGTTCAGGATATTCTGCAGAACCAGGAAGCACTGCTCAGAAGGGTCAACTGACTCATAAGGCACACACGCTCAGTTAGACGTCCGAGACTAATTGTATTACAATAAATCTGCAAGCTAATTACAACTTGCGTGCTGTGTTATCAAGACGGCAGCCTGGGTTCCTGACAGAGAGTCCACAACCTTCCGAGAGAGTTCATTCCACTGTTGAACAGCTCATGCTGTCAGAAAAGTTCTTCCTGATGTTGAGCCTGAATCTCCTTTCTTGCAACTTGAAACCATTGGCTTGGGTCCTAGCCTCTGGAGCAGGAGAAAACAAGCTTGCTCCATCTTCCATGGGAGACCTTCGAAGATGGTCACCACACGTCCCCCAAGCCTCCTCCCATCCATGCCAAACACATCCTTCCTCCAGCTGCTTCCCACAAGGCACAGTCTCCAGACATGCAACCATCTTGGCTGCCCTCCTCCACACAAGTTCCAGTGCACCAGCAGCCTTCATTTACCTTAATTTAGTTGAAAATAGCAGACGGTGTTACAATGGCACTAACTGTTCTCTAAAGCAGGAGGAGGCACTGCAGTTCCTATGGCTACAGGATGGCAGGCTTTTTTGAGGGGGGGGGGCTCCCAATTGCAGCCAGTTGCCTACGAATATGATCTGACTCCCTTCTCCCGCTAGTCCCACCTGGCATGGCCCAATGGTCATGGATGATGGGAGCTATAGTCCTATAACATTGGAGGGAATGACGTTGGCTACCCCTGGGTTAGAGTGTTGGGCTTGGGAGACCCGGGTTCAAATCAGAAAACTCACTGGGTGGCCTTGGGCCATTCACTGTCTCTCAACAGGGTTCTTGTGAGGATCAAATGGAGAAAGGGCAAACTATATATGTCTCCTTGAGCTCCTTACAGGATATAACAGGATATTAGCATACTAGTAGCGATGACGATATGTTGGCATTATATAAAATACAAAGCAGGAGTGTCCTCAGGGAGATGCATGCTCCCCCGGGGCCCAGGTGCCTTTCTTAAGCAGCCCCCAGTGAGGGAGGTGCCAACCCACCACCACCAAGCAGACGCCACAGGTGTGGGATGTCATGGTGCACGTGTAGAGGCAAGACCAGTTGCCTTCAGGTGCCTCACCTGCAGTAAAGTCTGTCTCTACAGCCACAGCAGGTGCTGTAACTCTCTGACAGTTTGACTTGACTTCTGAAGGCACTCTCTTGCATTGTCTCCCAAGACACATGGAAGCCAACAACAACAATTAGCTCACTGACTGAAAAGCAGGTGATTGATCAAGACAAAAAGCTTCAAAATTGGTTGATGGTCCTTTTTTCCCTCCTTCCTGGAGCTTCTTATGCCACATCACAGATTACATCCCCAAATTACGTGCCTGTTGCAGCTGGGAAAATATCTTCACCATGTCTTGCAAATAGGGCCTGCCTCCAGCTAGATGTGGTCTCATCATCTCTGAACCTCTCCAAAGCCAGGCGGAGGCGTTTGGCTGAAAGTGCGACAATGCAGAAGTCATTCTGGCGCTTGCTGCCGGGCGCTGCTGCCTCCAGTTAGAACAACTTGTTTCCATCTGGAGTGACTCACAAGCAGAGCGTGGCCTCTGCACCTCCCACTGTTGGCAGAGCCAGGGACCCTCAGCTACAAATAAAACTCCTTTAGCAGCAGCCACTGACGCAGACAAGAACCATCCTGTTCTACTTTCCCCCTTTTTAATCTTCACGTCTGGTCAAAGAGCTGTGCCTGAAGAATCAGTAGTGGCTTTAATGAATCAGATGGTCCCTGTCATTTTTCTCCTGGGCTGAACCTGATCAAGCAACAGCTCCCGGGCACTTCCTGAAGTAATGGCTTTTTTCCAGAAATAGTCATTGCTGCAGCTTCCTTAGTTTTAATCTGCCTGCCCATGTTGCGGCTTTGCCTTTGTTCTCTGTGCTGCCTTTGCCAGTCAACGTTGGTAGCAGCTGAAAGGGGGTGTGTGATGCAGAGACATTGGCTACCTGGCCGGGACTCTGGCTTCATACTCCTAGCACATTCCAGCGTGGAGGACCAGGTGCCAAAGACTGGCCAGAAGCGTTTTGAGTTGAACCTTGGATTGGGGACCTTTTTCATCCCAAGGGCCGCATTCCCCTCTGGGCAGCCTTCCGAGGGCCAAATGCCAGTGGTAGGTGGGGCCAGAGGCAAAAGTGGGTGGAGCAAAGGATATACATTTACACAGAGAAACAAGGAAGAGGCATTATGCAGTCCAGGGACACATTCCAGCCAGGAAAAGCACGGGGGGGGGGGGGGAGGCAGGATCAGCATTGTGCTTCCCACAATGGCAGCCAGATGCACCACACATCCCATAAGCAGGTTGGAGGCCAGGTGCTCTTTTCTGTGATTTGTCTCTGCTCCCTCAGCAGAGGTAGGCTGCCCAAAGACCCGGAGAAAGACAAGTGTCCATCACTGGATATTTAGCCAGGTTTGCTGCAGGTTCAGAGGCTGTCTGAAGTGGTGGAGTTCTAAAGTTACAGAAAGCATGAAAACCCATTACTTCCATGCAGTGCTTGGGGGGGGGGGGGATACCTAAAAGACAACTTGTAATATAGCGGAACCTCGGCTGTCAAACATAATCCATTCTGGAAGACTGTTTGATTTCCAAAACGTTCAACAACCGAGGCACAATTGCCAGTCGGCAATTACAATGGAGAAACGCACCTCAGAAGCCATTCGACTTCCAAGGCACATTTGAAAATGGAAGCATTCACTTCCAGGTTTTCAGCGTTCGGGTTCTGACTCATTCGGGTTCTGAGATGCTCGGAAACCGAGGTTCCGCTGTACATTCAACCTGTGCCATGCAATCCTTTGTATGTTTATTCAGTATTAAGTCTCACTGTGTTTAGTGATTTTGCTGTTGGACAACAACACTGAAAAGTTGAGAGTGGACTTTGTTTTTTTACTGAGCACTTAGGAAAAATACGAACCGTATGCTTTTCCTCACTATCTTGCATGTAAAATTTAAATAGCAAATACACACATACACCATTTAAAAAAGGAAAACAAATCACTCTGCTTCCCACAGCTCGCACCCCCAGTGCTACAGGCCTAAAATAACTCCTTAGGAGTCAGTCCCCTGTGCACATGAACCTGGGAGTAAGCTCAGCTGAAAATAATAGAACTCAAGCATCTAGAACGTGCAGGCATTGAGCCAGACTTAGATTGGCTGAAGCCTTGCAGTTTTGCTGATTTGGATGGAAGTGGCTCTTTATAGTACAAAGATGTGCCGCTATGGTAAAAGGAACCAATGTTTGATGCCTTCAAGCACCAAATTCCCCTTAGCAGCCCTTTTAGAGTTTCTTAGATATCTTCACAACAGCCATGTGAGGTAGACTAGGCTGAGACTTGCTGACTGGATCATGGGAGGAAGTCGGCAAAAACAAAAGGTTTACTGTTTTAATGTTTGTTTTTAGGATATTTTTTTTCCAGCTTAGCTCATGGTGTCTTTAATTGTTTTGACCTATTGGTCTGTTTTTAAATTTTTGCTGTTTACCGGCTGTTTCATAAGCCATCTTGTGAGGGTTTGCAAGGCACAGCATATAAAGTGGGGTTGTCTAAATGTCAAATTCTGTGCCGAATTTTGTGCTTGTGCAAGTGAGTTCACCTATGGCACACATTATATACACCAGGGATGTCCCAATAGGTCAATCGTGATCTACTGGTAGATCCCCGTGAGGTTATGGTAGATCACGGTCAATCTCTGGCTCCCTTTCCTTAGCGTCGCTAAAACTGACTCCTGCCATGGCCCCTTGCCCCACCCTCCATTGTTGTATGATCTCTGGAAGAGAAGACAGAGCTTTCTCTTTGCTGCTGTTTTGATCCATAGCGATCTTTTTGTGAGTGACTTTCCCCTTTGTCCCTTGCCTTTAACCCCCCCCCAAAAAAAAGAACTCCCCCCCCAACGGGGCTTTCCTCCTCCCTAAAAAAGCTCTACAACTTTGAGCTGAACCCCCCCAAAAGGGGGTAGATCGCTGCCAGTTTTTAATTCTGAAAGTAGATCGCAGTCTCTTGAGAGTTGGCCACCCCTGAATACACCACCCTGGCTAGACTTGGGCACAGTGAAATCTGGGAGAGCAGCTGGAGGAATTCCAAGACCGGTTCTTGTACTGGCCATCGAAACTTGTCCCATTTGTCCATCATCCCAGTTTCCAGATGTAGCCGGCTCTGTTGTCAGCCCAGCAGCTGGCAGCAATTACTCTCTATAGCAAAGGGGGGGGGGACATGACCTCGAACAGCAATTATGTGCAGCCTAGAACATTCAGCACAGGAGCAGGCAAGACCTTTGGCCCTGCTCCTGAGATGAAAAGGCCCAAGGGGACAGAGCCATTGCTCCCTCCGCCTCAGCTGTCAATCAGCAGGTAACCTTCCTGATCAGCCTGTGTCTGTTTCCCCACAGGTCCGTCATGCCACCTGGAGCATCATCATGGACTCGGTTGTGCCATCAGATAAAGGCAACTACACCTGCATTGTGGAGAACAAGTACGGAACCCTAAACCATACCTACCAGCTTGACGTTGTTGGTAAGGAGACCTGGACAAAGGAAGGGAAATGGGAGGCTGGAAGGAGTGTGGAATCAGAGGGGTTAGTTATAAATTGCTTTCCTAGAGAGTTTATCTCTGTTCAGAAGTCAGAGTGCAGTAACACAGTAATGATGCCACATTGGTCAGAGCCTCAATGGAGACAAATTTGGAGGGTGGGAAAAATGTCTCTTTACAAAGAGGCATTACAAGGAAGCAACATTTGATGCCTGTAATGCAAGCACAAAGTCCTTCTTGCAGCCATTTTATCTCTCCTCTGGAGCTTCGCATAAGCCATATGAAGTAGTTTTGGTTAAGTTTTGGTGACTGCCCCAAGGCAGGAAGCGAGCAAAACCGTGATGAGTTACATGAGTTTAAAATGTGAAACTGGACGTGTTCAGGGTACTTTTTTCTAATCAAGGTTGGCTTTTGGTTTGCTGTAGAAAATCAGGAGTGGAATATAGTCATCCAAGCCTGCTTTATTTCCGGTGTCTCATCCCTTCTTTGCCTGTGCTATGTTACAAATTATGCGGCTACAGATGTTATTTTTAATACATATCAGGTTGCCCGGATGTTCTGATGCCTTTGTTTTTTTACAGCATGGAGAGTTGGAATGGTGGGGTGGAGAGAAACATTCCTTGTGTGCTTCACCATTGGGGTGGGGGTTGTGTTATCCAGTCTCTCGATGTACAGCTTTCCCCCCAGGAAAATGCAGCAGCAGGACCAAGGGGGCAGGGTTGAGTTGCTTCCACTTCCTTGGCTCCTTGGTACACGCAAAGATTGTGTAGGCAGGAATTCTCTGCAAGTAGCCGGATGTATGTGGCTCAGTGTCAGGAGGGGAGAGGAGACAGTGCTTGGGTGAATTTTGTTTTTTGGCTCTGAATTGTCTCTTTGTTCAGACTGGCTGTCCTGAGGTGTGCACCGAGTGGGCTCAAGCAGCTGGCTGTGCAGCCCAAGCATGAAGCTGTACTTCATTTTTCACTTATGATAATTTTAGAGGCCAGACGGAAACTCTCTCTCCTCCTTGCCACCCTCCCCAATTAATCTCCTTATTAGCCTTAATTCCCAACCCAGGCAGGCTGATCTCTGCCGTTCCACTTGTGGAGTTGCTCTAAATGCCACTAAATGAACCATTAAAAATGCAATTTAATTTGATTACACTGAGCAAACTGAAGGGAATAGTCTGCAAGGGGGAACAAAGGGGGTTGTGAATGCTCACTCCCCACACTGGCAGGCCCTTTGTTAATCAGCTATGCCCTCATTAGGTTTGTCTGACCTTTGACCTTTGATGAATAGCTAGCCACCCCCAAACCCAAACCCCAGTTTTGTGACAAGAACTTCACCTGCCCACTTCACCTTTGCTGCCTTTGAGGGATGTTGCTTCATGGTGCTCTCAAGTGCAACTGGGGGCCCATTGGCCAGAAGAGGTGGCCTGGGATGTGTGACTACAGGAAGGGCCACCAAGGACTCTGGCCCCTGAACCAGAAACAAGCTTACTTGTTTCATTCATTAATTCATTCATTTGCTGTATCTTTATAGTCATATAGCCTAAATTCTCTGGGCTGCTCTCAAAAAATGATGGCTTTCAGCTGGGCCATCCAGGGATAAGCTGCTTGGACAGTCACGCTGTTCCTGCGGGGGTGTCTTTAGGGTTGGGCTCTGGGGCAGACGCCCAGGGCTGCGCTTCCACAGACAGACGTCCATCTCACTGGGCGGAAGTGGCTCTCCGGGATTTCAGGCAGGATTCTCTCCCAGCCCCAACCTGGAGATGCTGGGAACTAAACCTGGGAACTTCTATTTATTTCTTACCCTTAACCGCCCCACAGAGATTGTTGCTTTAACAACCCCCTCCTCTGCCGCCTGGTTGTTTGCTTCTTACGAATCCCACCATCGCGACCTCCTTCCTTCTCTATACCCCAACTCAATTCCAAGTGTCAGAGCTGCCTTTTTAGGGTATTGTAAGACAGCCTCCAAAGAAACAACTGTGGCGCTTATTCATTCTTTTATTTGCCTGCATCTGACCTGGATTTTTTCTGGGTCAAATGGTGTTAAGAACTGTCAGAACCTTCTGCAGTGCCCTTTCCAAGCTGTAACCTGGGTCAGCTGAGCCCAGATGGCAGAGGGTTCTTCACCGGAAAGGGAGACCATGGTGCCTGTGGACTGCCCAGGGGTGCCTCTGTGACCCCCAGCCCCATGCACACCACCAGGGGGACAAAAGGACAAAAGTTTTTATGAAATTGTGTATACTGTACAGAAAGTTTCCAAAACAAAACACACCCAGTTAAAAACATAAGACCAGATAAGACAGTGTAAGTTCTGATAAGACACACAAAGACAAGGAAGTAGTATTGTCAAAACTGTTCCTAAAACTGGATAAACGGGCTCAGTTCCTGTATAATATGATTATTGAGTCTGAGCTTGGGACTCTCAACTATGTTAGTGGTTTAAGAATGTGAAACCAAGGGACTTTTAAAGTTCTTCCTAATCTTCTTAGCAGGGGACATAAGGTTGTGATCTAAAGCAGCAGCAACCCTTTCTCCAATATTTGATCTCCCTTCTTTTCCCAAGCTGAACAGCAAAATACTCCCCAACCGTTTAACTGCATCGCCCACATCTTTTTTAAAAAACAACAACACATTATTAATATTATTATTATTGGAATTCTCAATACAAGGAAAGAAGACCTAGACGGCAATAGGCCACCAAAAATTAGCAAACAAGTACAGCTAAACAATGTACAGCATATATAGAGAATGTAACAAAATAAATATTAGATAAAAGAATAAGGAGCTTGCATATATTTGTAATTATATCTATGCCAAACAAATCATTGCTATGTCAGTACCATCTCACAATGTATTGTTTGTGCGTAGATCTTTTGAAACGTAAGTTTGTGTGGCAAGTTTGCTGCAAGTTTGATCTTCTAATTATGTGATTTCATTTACAGTATTTTTAGCTTGTCCATCTGTTTCTTAATTGTTAATGTTTTACTTGATGTCTGTTTCCTGCATACAGTTAATGTTATGCTTTGCATTTTGGAAAATGGATTAAATAAGATGGTTAAAGGGGAAAGGTGTGATCTTAGCCCCTTTGGCACAGGCCTCTTAAGTGCAGAAGAGGCCGACTCTGGCTCTGATCCTCTCTCCAGGGCTGTGGGCTGAGGGCATGGCAAGGTCTGTTTCCTTTCTGGGTCAGGAAACCCTATAAAGCACCGCAGAAAAGATGCTCCTTAAATCCAGGCAAGAGCAGCCTTTGGCAGAGAGAGGGCTGGTCCTGTGATGTTTGCTTCAGGAAGTGGAATATGGTTTTAGGATATAGGAGGGCCCAGTCCTTAGCTAGAGGGATTAGAGGAGGAAGCAGGCCCTTTGTGTTTTTAATAAGTGACTGACTAGGATGAAGTAGAAGAAAATCTTGGCTCCAGCCTCTTGCAACGTTGAGGGGGAAATAACTTCTTAATCCCTGCTTTGTCACATCACAAGTGAAGATGCGAGGTTCACAGGCGCGGCGGGGGCTTTCAGTTCCAGGCCTGCCAGCCTAATTCTCTTTGTTTCTGGGAAGTTTGGGTCCAACTTCTGATCTGCACCTGACTAGTTGTTCATGCTCACTTGATTGCTTCACATCTTTCTTGAACCAGGCAGGGCGAACACTTTTTACAGAGCAGTCCCTGTTTCTCCCACTCCAATGTGAATGGAAGCTATTGCCCCCTCCATGGGAAGGCAGCATCCCCGCGGGACCGGGAAGCGAGGCCAGGCTGCCCCACTGCAGACCAAGGGGGGTCTGGATTGCCCACCAGGCTACTCAACATCATCTTGTGTGAAGCCTCTTGCAGCAGATTCCAGGAGATCTGGAGAGAAGCGTCCTTGGTAGGCAGGTGACTCCCAGCTCCATCTCGCTGCTCCATCTCCGCCCCTCCCCCCATGTACCAGAGATACTTTTATTAAAAAATACATGAGAAATTAATCACAAACACTGATGTGATAGGACAGAACTTATAAACTCGGTGTTGTTCGAAAATGCATCATTATCCCATGCTATAATATCCCCAAAGCAAGGAGTCAGTAATAGTAGTAGTAGTAATAATAATAATAATAATAATAATAATAATTTATTATTTATACACCGCCCATCTGGCTGGGCTTCCCCAGCCACTCTGGGCGGCTTCCAAAAAAATATTAAAATACTGTAAAACATCAAACATTAAAAGCTTCCCTAAACAGGGCTACCTTCAGATGTCTTCTAAAAGTCTGGTAGTTGTTGTTCTCTTTGACATCTGGTGGGAGGGCGTTCCACAGGGAGGGCGCCACTACCGAGAAGGCCCTCTGCCTGGTTCCCTGTAACTTGGCTTCTCGCAGTGAGGGAACCGCCAGAAGGCCCTCAGAGCTGGACCTCAGTGTCCGGGTAGAACGATGGGGGCGGAGACGCTCCTTCGGGTATACTGGGCTGAGGCCGTTTAGGGCTTTAAAGGTCAGCACCAACACTCTGAATTGTGCTCGGAAACGTACTGGGAGCCAATGTAGGTCTTATATGGTCTCGGTGGCCGCTCCCAGTCACCAGTCTAGCTGCCGCATTCTGGATTAGTTGCAGTTTCCAGGTCACCTTCAAAGGGAGCCCCACGTAGAGTGCATTGCAGTAGTCCAAGCGGGAGTCCAGAGCATGCACCACTCTGGCGAGGCAGTCTGCAGGCAGATAGGGTCTCAGCCTACGTACCAGTCTCAACCAGCAAATAAATACATTCACCCCTTGGCTTCCAGTAGAGCTGTGTGGCACAGGAAGAGGCTCAGAGGGTCATGGGGGAGAGAGAGAGATCATGCTGAATGTTTAGGGCACATCCGTGAGGGGTTGCAGGTGCATTATCCACAGGCTCAGATGTCCATTTCAGCAATGTGGTATGAATTCACATATCTAGTACAAGCTGCATAACACACCAGAGGGGTAATTAAAATACGTAAGGAGAATCATAAATATGCCACAAAAGAGATGCCTTGAGCAAATGTTCCAGTTTATGTGAAAGAGGACTTTTTAAAACCCTTGTTGTTGTAATTGGGTCTGGAGAGAAATGACAGTAGGTAAAACGATAATGCAGTGTAAACATTAGTGTACTCTTAACAAAATACAGTGGTACCTCGGGTTAAGTACTTAATTCATTCTGGAGGTCCGTTCTTAACCTGAAACTGTTCTTAACCTGAAGCACCACTTCAGCTAATGGGGCCTCCTGCTGCCGCCGCGTCACCGGAGCACAATTTCTGTTCTCATCCTGAAGCAAAGTTCTTAACCCGAGGTACTATTTCTGGGTTAGCGGAGTCTGTAACCTGAAGCGTATGTAACCCCCAGGTACCACTGTACAGTGGTGCCCCGCAAGACGAATGCCTCGGAAGACGAAAAACTCGCAAGACGAAAGTGTTTTGCGGTTTTTGAGGTGCTTCGTAAGACGAATTTCCCTATGGGCTTGCTTCGCAAGATGAAACGTCTTGCGAGTTTGTTTCCTTTTGAAGCAGGAACTGGGCTGGCAGGGAGCGAGCGAGGGAGCGACCTACCTTTTCCAGAGGGATCCTCTTCTGGAGAGGGCACAGAGGAGGCAGGTGGGCTGGGATCCAGCGGATCTGGCTGGGTCTCTGCGCCTCTGCCTCTCTCTCTCTCTCCCCCTCCCCACGTGGCTGCTCCATTTTGCCCTAACTGCGCGAAGGCAGGAGGAGGCGGGACAAAGGAGGAGGAGGCATCCACTGCGCTTGGGCGGCCGCGAAGGCGCCTTTGCGGGGGTGGGAAGAAGCCGGGAGCAGTTGCTGAGACTGTGGGGAGCCCGGCGGCGTGGCGCAAGGTAACGGGGGGAGCAAGGGAGAGTCTGCGCCGGGCGCTTTGTGCGTCCGCCCTCGGTTCCTGGGCTCGAACTTCCGTTGGCACCTCGTGGAGAGAGAGGGAGAGGAGCGAGCTGGGGCTTTGATGTGGGACGCGGTTTGGCGGAGCAAAGACGCGGCAAGGCTTGGCGACAGAGGAAGGAGGGCTGTTTTCGTGGGGAGGTGGGAGGGGGTGTCTTTGCCTCTTCCCGGCAACAGATCCTCCAGGCTGGGGAAACTCCTCCTGCTGGGGAGCAACCCGCTTTGTGCTTTGCCCGCTATCCCATTATAATACAGTACCAGGGTGCATCCGTGCTTCGCAAGACGAAAAAATCCGCAAGACGAAGAAACTCGCAGAACGAATTAATTTCGTCTTGCGAGGCACCACTGTATAACGGTATCATGCTCCTACTTTGGTGCTAAAGCAGAAGCACAAGAAAATAAAAACTGTGTGTAAGACAACTTGTGCTGACAGTGCTCATGCAGAAGGCCTGAGACCAGTGTGGGGTTGAGAAGAGATGTTCAGTGATGTGTGGAGATTGGAGGGACATTTGCAATGCAGCCTAAGTGGCCTGGGCAGATGCACGCCTTCCAGAGCACAATATACCATATTTTTCGCTCTATAAGACGCACCAGACCACAAGACGCACCTAGTTTTTGGAGGAGGAGAACAGGAAAAAAAATATTCTGAATCTCAGAAGCCAGAAGAGCAAGAGGGATCGCTGCACAGTGAAATCAGCAATCCCTCTTGCTGTTCTGGCTTCTGGGATAGCTACGCAGCCTGCATTCGCTCCATAAGACGCACACACATTTCCCCTTACTTTTTAGGAGGGAAAAAGTGAGTTTTATAGAGCAAAAAATACGGTATATTCTTTCCCTCCAATATGTCAAGATTTGCTACTTTACTGCTCCACTAACACTAAAAAACTTGGCTTAGATGGCAGATGTAAACAGGTTCTTCTTCACAGGTACTAGAACACACACCCTCTCTTCAGGTAAAATTGTTAAAAACATGAAATTCAGTATTTTCTGCCTGTCTGCTTGCCTTTCTTCCCGGCAGATAAGACTGAATATTCCAGCAAGCTATAGTCTCCACTGCCTCCTTTTCCGTTATGGTGGAAGGCCAGATTGCTTACACCAACACAAGAGTCTTTATCAGTTGCCTGTATCAGCCTGGGTTTCTGGCTCTTCTACCCAGCACCATGGGCAAGTCTGTGCAGGACGTACAAAGCTTCCAAAAACAAATACCATGTGCCCACACAATGCTCACTAACAGTAAGTCTGCACTGCAGCATATTTGGTACATGGAAACATTCAGGCACAAACCGTTGGTGCCATGCTCAAACTTCCTTGTGTGTGCCGATGCTCTGGAGATGCAGCAGGCCAGAGGCACAGACATCTGTACTGCTCTAGGCAACTCACTTTCACAGGGTTATCATTACATGAGCATGTGATTTCTCTGTTTTCAGTTCAAAGTGCCTTGTGTGTGGATTGGTTTTTTTGAATGGAATCAGTAGCTTTGAAAATGAGCCTGAAGGTCTGCAGCACAGGCCAGATAGCAATGGTCACTGCATCCACAGCTACAAGAGCATGGCTGCAAGGGAGCCAGTACTTTCTCCCATCGTCTCTTTGTTCCACAGAAGAGCTCTTGCAAGGCCTTCCTCCTAAGGTCACTTCTCACGCAGCACACAAACACCAGCATCACACCCTTGGGTTCCCAGTGATGTCACCCCAGCTGCCAATGATAGGGTTATAGCACTCAATGCTGCTCAGAAACAGGTTCCCATCGTACCCTGCTATGGCATAAAGCTGACCCTCGGGACTGTTGCTCCCACATCACAGCGGGGGGTTGTCATGCTGGTCACAGTTGTCCACCAGTCTATGCAAATGTTATACGCCTCCACAGAGGAGAGATGTGCTGTTCCATCAAACCCTCCAACCACATAGACATGATCATTCAGCAAGGCTATTCCAGCTCTTGAGTGTTTTGTGGCCATTGGAGTGACATTTGTCCAGTCTGCTCCATCTGAATCAGAAGAGGTGCTTGAGATGTTAGCCCAGGGCTTGGAGGCACTGATGGGCTGGATGCAGGCTGGTAAACTGAGGCTGGTGTTTACACAGAGCTGACTGGTCTCAGCCAGAAGCTGGGCATTTTGTGCTTCCAGTCCCCTTCCAGCAAGGATCCAGCAGGCACCCTTGCTTTTCACTTCCAAGAGTCTCACCAAGACCTTTCTGTTCCAAGCCTTGGCAGCTGTTCAGTTTTTACTTAATGATTATCTGTATTTTGATATTTTTAAATATTTTTTTAAAATTGTGTTTTATGTTTTAACACCACCCCAATATTTTATGATACGGCTGTATAGAAATGCTTTTATGAATAACTGAGGGCTGTTGGAGTTCAAACATATTAAATTGGGGTGTTTGGAAGGAAGTAAGCACCATCTGAGGTGCGGCGGGTAGTGACCAGGGAAGGGGCCTTCCCTGTATTGGCCCCCTGCTTGCGCCTCCCTAGCGAGGCTCACAGGGCGCCAATTTTGTAATGTTTCCAGTGCCAGACAAACACCTTTTTGCTGTCCTGGGCTTCTTAAAGTTTGAGTTTCATTGTAAACTGCTATTTCAGTTGCTGGTCTTACGGACTGTTTTTTGTGTTAGTTATCATTGATGTTCTTGTTGCTTTACTTTAAAAAAAAACCGCCTGGAAACCGTCTGGTTGGAAGACAGTATATAAATGTTTTAAATAAATAGGCAAGTGGGTCTTCGTCTCTCTCCTTTTCCAGTTTGCCTGAAACCATTCTCTTCTGTGTCTTTTCCAGAGAGGTCACCTCACCGGCCTATCTTACAAGCTGGGCTCCCGGCTAACAAGACCGTCTCCCTGGGTAGCAACGTTGAATTTGTTTGCAAAGTCTACAGTGACCCTCAGCCCCACATCCAGTGGTTGAAGCACATTGAGGTCAATGGGAGCAAGATTGGGCCAAATAACTTGCCTTATGTGCAGGTCTTGAAGGTAAAAGAAAACCCCACTATCTCAAGTGATGGGTGACATTTTTGTTAACATGGGGCTTGTTTCCACTGCCTTGGGAGGGAGACATGTAAGGTGGCTACAAGCAAGGGACAAGACCATTCTAAATTGATGCTGCAGGATAATCTATTTCCAATTGGTTGATCAGCCAGACTAAGTCAAGCCAGCTCAGTCTGGGTCCAAGTTCCCCATTGTGAGATTTCTACAGCAAAGCATGCAAAAGAAAAATAGCTGTGGGAGGGTACTGAATTTGGCCATTCCCAACCAAAGGAGTACGGCTGGGATGCCATAGCACAGCACAGCACCAGCTGACCTCATTCAGACACAACGCCTAAGCATGCTTTAGCCCCAAGTGAAGAGGCCTAGCCTCCCTCCTGCAGTTCCCTCTTCCCCAACCATGCGGCCAGGAAGATTAACTTGAAAGCTTCTGCTTGTAGTTAACTCCAGGTTGTTGTTTCGCCTGAACCAGGATTTATGGTTTAGCTCTCACTGTGGTTTTAAAACAATGCAACTTCAAATTTTGAGTTATGAAGCTATAATAGAGTTAAAACACTATCCCTGCTTCAGATGGAACAAGAAGCTGGCATTAACTAAAAGTGGGAGCAAAAGTCCTTCCTGAAGTTTTACAATCCCCCATAGGGAGGAGGATGTGAGTCTTATGTGGCGCTGTTTACTGTTACATGAAGTTACCATAAGGCTGGGGAAGAACTGGTGGCACACCAGTAACTTCTCCAAATATAAACAGAGCAGATATGGTTCTGCTGGTGCTGTGGAGGATGGGTTCAGAATTTAATTCATAGCCTTCAGCGAGTTTGTTTTTTTAAATTGCATACCGCCCTACACCCCCAGGTCTCAGGGCAGTTCACAGGATAAAATCACAATATAAAATCACAAAATACATAATCAAAATAAAAACAAGGACAACCCAATAACACATTTTAAAAGGGCACTGAATGTCAGTCAGCCAAAGGGCTGGTTAAAGAGGAGTGTTTTTGCCTGGCACCTGAAGGTGTACAATGAAGGCACCAGGCGAACTTCCCTGGGGAGAGCATCCCACAATATGTTGCCACAACTCATCTTTGCCTCATGTGCTTGCTCTGCTATTTATAGCTGTGCAAAAGCTCAGATCCCATGCCTTGGGCTTCTGACAGTGAGCAGAATCTAACCTGGTTGTGATGCTAAAACCTGATCATCAAGAGACATCTGTGCCTTTTAAACACTTTACAGTAGGTTTATTGAAGGAATGCTAAGCACCTTAAAGAGGAGAATTGGGTAGAAAAATGGGGGTTAGTGCATTGCTTTTGAAACCAATTTATCCCAGCAAACAGGACCAAAATGTGAGTGTTAAGACAGAGATTTTTATGCATGAATAAAACCTCATTTAAGCTACTTTGAATGCCACCAAAATGATATTATAAAATAGTTTAAAGTACTTTTAATTACAAGCTAGCGGTTAGTATGCCCAACAAAAGAGTATTGTGGCTTTCATGTTTGTTTACTTTTTATGATGTATCTAAAGCATGTCTTATTCTATGACATAAATGGTATACTGGTTTTTTATATATGCTAAAAATTAATAAGTAAAAAGGCTTGGTTTGGAGGGTTTTTTGAACTGTAAAGCAGTTAGCAAGTTCTCCAGGTTCTAGCATCTGATGAACTTGGCCCTGCCATACAGCTATTAAGTACTGCTGCTCCTTTAGATGTGAGAGGGGTGCAGTTTGTGCCCCCAGGAGATATCCTTGCAGCGAGAGGGGGCAGAATGGGCAGAGAGCTTGAGTTCCCCCCACCTCCCCCCACAGGGAGATGCCCACTTGATTGTTGCTGTTGATCATGGAGCGACGTGCCCTTCCGTTGGCCATTGAGTGACTCCTGTGTTGTTGGTCTTGTTCTAGAGCTCGGGAATTAATAGCTCCGATGCGGAGGTGCTGACCCTGTATAATGTGACAGAGGCTGAGAGTGGGGAGTATGTTTGTAAGGTTTCCAATTATATTGGTGAGGCTAACCAGTCTGCGTGGCTGACCGTCACCAGACCCATGGCTGAAGGTAAACGGGGAGAACGCCACTTTGGGGCTCTTGCTTGGATGGCCAGTCCTTCGTGGTGGGAAAACCAAACTCTTGTGGCTCTCCTGTTTCTTCTCTGTTTCTGGTGCAGTAAGCCATGGAAAAATCCTCAGAAGGGGCTGGTCAGTTTAGTTTCATGCCCTTCCCCGTTCCTGATTTTAACAGATCATTCCCTTCTTTGAGCTTTCTTAACTTTCTATCTATATTAATTCAGCCAATATAAGGAAACATCCCCCAGATTCTTTTGCTGAAACATCAAGCTGAACTTAATTGCATTGGCTTCTCTGTATTTTTCTTACAAAGGCTGCCAGAGAAATTGCTCTGATTGCCTGATAGGTAACCAGCTAATTACATTGATTTTAGTATTGTAAAAATCTAAATATAGGTGTGCTTTTGAGACAGCAAAATCAAAGCCACATAAAATGCATGTCCATACCATTTAATTGTGCAGTCCTGCCAATTTTAAACTGGCTGTCACCAATTAATTGACCTACCAATTAAAGTCTGGAAACCTGAGTTTTTTGCATATCTGATTTTGGGTTCTTGGAGTACCCTTGCTCTCCCTGGCAAAATAAAAAAGGTAATTTCTTTTTCATGACTGTGTACAGGAGCATGGCCTCTCCCCCTAGTGCTCTGTCACTTCTTGACCCAGACCTTGCTCCCTTTCCTTTTCTTGTCTTCCCATCTCCCTTCCACCATTATTCCTCTTCCCATCCCATGAAACTAAGCTGGTTCTTCCCCCCACCTAAGGTTAGTTTTTCCATGTGACCCATCGCCAGCATGTCAGATGGGCAGGGAAATTCAGTTTGGTGAAGGGTTGTTGTTTTAACATTGCCTCTTTAGGTCAGCCTGGATCGGAGGTTGTCCTAAGGCTCTCTGTTGCAATACGTCTGCAGTGGTGTCTGTGTTCCTTAGGAGGTCTTGGGGGGCATGTTACCCCTTCCCTCTTCCTCCTCCTGCACCTTGGTTCCTAAAGGGGTCTTATGTTTGCTCGTCCTATTTTCCTTTTTTTTTCTTTCTCTCTCCCCCTTTGCTTCCATTTTTTCCCCTTTCTAGACGGCTGGTGTTAACACAACAGACAAAGAAATGGAAGTCCTTCACTTAAGGAATGTCTCCTTTGAGGATGCTGGGCAATATACATGTTTGGCGGGTAATTCTATTGGGATCTCCCACCACTCTGCATGGTTGACGGTTCTGGAAGGTATATACTGGTTCTGTTCCTTTCTCTGCCTCCTTGCTGTCCTCTTCTATGCATGGAGATGAGCACGCTGTGGTCCGCAAGAGCCACCCCCAAGATGGCAGAGTCGTCCCACAAATTGGTTCCTTCCTAGAGGAAGGGTTGCTTAGCAACAATTGAGATATCCCTGGTGTGACAGTCAGTGAGCCATCTGCCCTGTTGTGGTCCCATTTTCCTTCTCTGCGGAATTGGGATGGTCCATCTCCACATCTGGTGGCTCTTGCTGACCAAGGCATGGTGAATTTCCAGTTTGGGCTTAACCAGAAGTGAGGTCCAGGTGTTCTGACAGAGCTGGTTCCATTCTCTTGGGCAAGGAGTGCTAAAACAGAACCCCACCTGTGCCCAGTGGACCTATGTGGATGCATTGGGGGAGATCATAGACCACCCACATACTGCAGTTAGGGGTAGCAGAGCTAGGTGTTTTGGGATTCCAGGTTTTCAGTGTCGGATACAGGTCTCCATATATACAGCCTCCTCTTTGGACCTCACTCCCAGCCCAGATTTTCAATTTTAAAGTGGGGTCAAAAGGCAGCTATTGGACTGCAGTCAGTATAACTGGGTACTTGTGGATCCACCGGAGTAGGCTTATTTGATGGTGCTGAAAATTGGGGGTGCAGCTCCTCTCACACACGTTTTCACGGAGCTTCTACTTACTCATTCCTGGGACTTGAGTGTGGTCTGGCAATTGATTTGTCTATGTTTTGGAAATGTTCAAAACTTTACAGTTGACACAGGAGTCTCACTATGATGATGTTCCAGTTGTAGAACCGAAGGCTTGTGCAACAAGCTATCTTAGGGTAGCTTCCCCTTATATCCATACATTTATGCAAAGAAAACCGATGTAGCTCACGCAGGCAGACACCCCCACACTGATAGGTGGCTATTTTTCCTCCTGGTGACAGGAAGTCTGTAGAGGGGCCTTCAAACCCATATTGCTTGTGGGTTACTGCAAAAAGGGGGATAAAATAAATCATGCACAAGCCTTGGAGAGCTTGGGTGAAGATGGCCCTTTTCTTAGCTGGATTCATCTCTCTGTGAGGTGGCTGTGATAAAATGAGCACACTCTGGATTCCAGTCCCCCAAGAACTGAGACTAGGAAATGGGCTCCCCAATATCTGCTTGCTTTCCCATAAGATCCCGAATATGGCTTTGTTTTCTTGGTGGCCTTGCCTTGAAAGGGAATGGAATCTGGCCTTTGCTTAATTTGAAGTCTCTGCTATTCTTCCTGCATTCTCTTTTGGATTCTACTTTGCATAAACTGCTGTTTTGTGGGCTCCTGTTCCACCCTGCCTGGTTGATGCAGGGCTCATTTTTCAGCCATCAAAAGCTGGCTGGCAAGAACTGGTAATGTTCAACTTCAGAAAGTTTTTGAGGTCATGTGCTATTTGTACACCTACAAGGAAAAAAACTTTCTGTGTTATCAGTCTTTTGTTTTCCTTGTCAAGCCTGTTTCCACTCAGAGCCCTGTGATCTGAACAGGGCAAGATGGCAGCCGTTTCCTTCCAACAACATGCTCTATCCATCTTCTCTCTGTTGCTTATTGTTTTTTCTAAGAGTGGGAGGACTAAAGTGAGGGAGGGAACATCCTTTTTTCATCTCTTTCTCTTCAAATTGCAGCTCCAATGCCCTCTCCAAAACAAGTTCAGAAAAATGTTTCTGGCCTTGACACAGGCTTTGCACTTTCTCACTAAGAGTTCTCTCTTTGCAAACAAGCATTAAGCTGATGCTGATACAACTAGGAAGAGCCCAGGTGAAAGTGCTTTGTACTTGACAGGCCTGCTGAGAACGTTTCTGGGCAAAACCTGCAAGAGATGGTTCAACAGAGCAAACAACAGAATCCGACACATTTGACTCATCTCCTGCAAGCATTACTCATGTAGTTCTGAAAGGTTTGGCAGGCAGCTGTGATGTGGTCCTCAACACTCCTTGGCTTTTACAAAGAAATAGGTTGGGAAATCACAGAGTTCAACAACACACACACACAAGCACTCATTTTGCACATGTTCTGTTTTGACTCCCACTTGCCACTCCATGAAATTTCTTATTTGGAGCACACCTGTAGCCCCAGAATTCTCTGGCCTCCGTTAACATGCAAGCCAGCCTTTGCCACCCAGGTATCCTCCAGAAACTTTGGGCTTCTGTTCCCACCAGTCGTGTTGCTTGAGGCAGATGGAAACTATCCTCCAAAACATCTGGAGGGGACCCAGTTGGCAAAGGCTAGAAGAAGTAGATACACCCATGAGAGCCCCTTCTTTGCTGCTTCCAGTTTCCTCAGCCTTTCTCTTGAGGAGGAGTATAAAGACCATTTTTATTCTCCCAATTATATTCACCCAATTGGATGAGGTTGGGGAATCTTTTTCAGCCCAAGGGTCACATTCTTTCTGGGCCACATTCTAGTGTGGAGGCAGAGTTGAAGACAAAAATAAGCAGAACAGTGAATTTAGCATTTACATTTGTAAATGTAAAAGGCCTTGCCGATGGTGTCCAATGGAAGGCAGAGCAAGATGTTTGGCACCAGCTTGGCTGCAGGAATTGCCAGAAAGTGGCGTACAAGGCGCCATCCAACCGTCTTAGGGACTCCACTCTGAATTTGTGTACGGTTTACTCCTGAGCCTTTTCTTCTCCTGAAGATATTCTGCAAGGCGCTGGAGGCTTAGGATATCAGAGTGTTCCTTCTTCCCAGGTTGATAAGCCATCTGCCCCTCACTTCCCTTTATAGCATGGGCAGAAACCGCCTTCTTGACTGTTGGACCCACTCTTGGTATCATCTGCTCAATCTGCCAGTGCCTGTCTTTGCATGCAGGGGAAGACCCTGACTCCCCGAGGGTTTGAGACCCATTGAGCATCCTCACTTGGTCTGACCAGTCAGTTGCAGCTGTTCTCGGATTGTGGCCGCTGTTGCATGCTGACAGCTTCTAGGAGCCGCAGGTGAGAGCTGAGTGAGAGCAGGGTGGGGATCAATGGTAAGACAAACTACCCCAGAAGGAGCATGGCATGTCTCTCACTGGAGGTACTACCCCTCCCCTAACACCCCATACACCCACTGAAATGAATGAACCTAAGTAATTTCCATTAAGTTCAGTGGGTCTACACTTATTAGGACTAGCTACTCAGCTCTGCAGCTGGAAAAGATAACCCAAAGCAGCTTACAGTGCTCAGTAATAAGTCCGTCCATTCTCCCAGACTTGCAGTCTAAAAGACACAAAACAAAAGGAAAAATGGATTGACGAAGACGAGGCAAAAAGCAAGCTCAGGCACTGATTATTAGATGCAGGGTTCTTTTGCTGTTTTTTCTGGGAGGGAATGACAGGGCAAACTCCCTGCAGCTGCTTCCTCTCTGGCTGACACATGTTGGCTGCTTGGTCTCAGGTGCCCTTAAAAAGGATAATCTTTAATACATAAGGAGATTTTGTTCATAGAGCACCTTCATCATGTTTAGTTCTAAACAATGAAGTCAATGCTTGTCTGCAGGAAGTGCTAGGAATCTACTAGGGATGCTGAATTCCATGTGGTCCATGCTGGATTCTGTCCCATAAGAGACTGGGATCCTAGAGAAGCGAACTCATGAGGGTGCTTTGGTTTGGGATCCCCCTTTTGCCTAGAGTTTGTCTATTTTTAGAAGCCAGGGTGGGGGCTGCAGAAGTGGCTGCTTGCAAAAAGGCACTGGCATGCCCTTCTTCCTGCTTCAGCTCGCACATCCATTTCTCTTCTGCATTATTTGGGGGGCACATCTGGCTGCCACAAGAAGTGAGGGCAGACAACACCTGGCACCTTTAGAAGTTAAGTAAAGCTGCTTTTTCTCTCCACTTTTCTCTATCTCCTTGACCCCCGTAGTGGTGGTTTTTTATGGTGGTGTTTTTAGTTGCTGCTGAATGAGTGCCTAGTGTGCTGATTCTTTCTTTGCACCAATCCAGCTATTGAAGACAAGCCAGCTATGATGGCCTCCTCTCTGTACCTGGAGATCATCATTTACTGCACAGGGGGCTTCCTCATCTCCTGCATGATTGTGACCGTCATCATATACAAGATGAAGAGCACCACAAAGAAGTCGGATTTCAACAGCCAGCTGGCTGTGCATAAGCTGGCCAAGAGCATCCCCTTGCGCAGACAGGTAACAGAAAGTAGATGGGGGGTTTGATTATCTCCTACCCCCCTTCCCACAAGAGCCTTGCCTCCATTCTGAGCAAAGCTCGCTAGGTCTAATTCAGGGGTTAACAACCTGTGGCCCTCCAGGTGTGGCTTGATTCCAACTCACATCAGCACCAGCAAACATGGCCATTGGTCTGGTAGCCCAGCAACATCTGGAAAGCACCAGGTTGGCTACTCCTGATGTAGATGAACTCCCTAGGGCAGTGTTGGGGAACACGACTACAACCCCCATCAACCCAGACCCGTTGGCCATGCTGCTTGGGAGTCTAATGAGAATTGGAGTCCAGTCACATCAGAAGGGGGCTGTAGAGTCCCTGCCATTGTCCTCAGGGGAAACAGAGAAGCAGGTGATGCCTGTGACACAACTGCTTGCCTAGTATGGTCAGCATAGATCAGAGCTGGGCATGCTGTGGCTTAAGGTACTCCAGATGAGGTCAAGGGAGGCCTGCAGAACTTGTGACCCACCAAGAGGAATTCTCTGTCGCTACAGCCCACCAGGACCCAGATTTAAATCTCTGTTTTGCTGCCCATTAGAAACTGCAACATTAAAATGGTTGTCAAGCAGTAGACTGGTAGGCTGTGTTAAGTTTGGCGGGTTACAAATGTGCAAGGTAATAGCAGAGAGTTCTGCTATCTGTTCTGGCTCCTAGGAGGCTCAACTGCAGTTCCTGGGGGCCAGAAAGACAAGAACAATGTGCAAATGACATACCCTGGCCTCTTTCCAAGTCCTTCTCCCAGCCACAATGTGGGAGCAAGGTAGCTCATCAGCAGAACCAAGGAGTGGAGGAGGAGGCAATGGCTGCTGGAAAGAGAGGCGTGGGGAAACCCATTATCCCTTGAGGCACCCAGAACTACCTGTGTGCTGGCCCCTTTCTGCAGCAGAACCTGCTGTGGTCTGAATTACGCAGGTTGATCCATGAGATGTGGTATGTAGGCTACCCTGCATCTAAACAGCGTTAGAGTATCTGGTCTTCTGGTGACTTCCTCATTCTTCGTTTGCCATGTGTCTGGGCCAGAAGGCCCAACCGTGCTGGTTGTGAGAAAGAGAGGTCACAAGTGAGGCAAGTGCAGTAGCAACCAAGATCTGCTTCTTTGAGGCAGGAGCAGAGAAAAGAGGACATAGTCATAATTGTTACTATAGTAATTTACATCACACTTTTAATAAACTGCATGCAGCTGTTGCAATCCTGACCTCATCATGTAACAAAAGTAAAAACAAACCTAGGTTCTGTGCCATGGAAAACGGAATCCTGTAGCCAGTATAATGTAATGCAAATTACATTAGATTTGCATATACCCCTCCCCCAGCCATTGAAACCATAATGCCTAGCAGCTTGTTTTGAAAAGTTAGCTCAAAATTTTCTGGATGCTGAATACAAAATTCAGCATTTCCACAGTGCAGATTACAAAATGCAGGGGAGCCCTGATGACTGGGCTCTCTGAATTTTGACATGGCCATAGGAGGATGGCAGGGACTGGGTAGGGCTGTGAGGTAATATTCCCACACTATTCTGCTTTGGTCAGACTCCACCTGGAGTCCTGTGTCCAGTTCTAGGCACCACAGTTTATGGAGGATATTGACAAGCTGGAAGGTGTGCAGAGGAGGACAACCAAGAGGCTCAGGGGTCTGGAAACCAAGCCTGATGAGGAATAGTTGAGGGAGCTGATTATGTTTAGCTGGCAAAAGAGGACACTGAGAGGTGACAGGATAGCCATCTTCAAATCTCTAAAGGGCTGTCACATGGAACCAAGAAGTTACAAGAAAGGAGATTCCAACTAAACACTCTGACAGTAAGAGCAGTTTGACAGTGGAACAGACTCCCTCAGGAGGTTGTGGACTCTCCTTCCTTGGAGGTTTTTAAGCAGAGGTTGGATGGCTTTCAGTCATATATATTCAGATTCCAGCATTGCAGGTGGTTGGACTAGGTGACCCTTGGAGTCCCTTCCAACTCTATATTCTATAATTTTGTGGTACTTTTGCAAGCCCTGAGTGAGCAAAGTTTGTTTACAGCAGCAAGGACCCAGGTCCCAGGACAGATAAATATAGTCTCCTTGGAGGTGAGCAACTCTTCTCCCTACCAGAGCTGAAGTCATGGGGTCTTTTTGCCGAAGGTAACTTCCACTCTTCCCACTGCAGGTATCAGCTGATTCAAGTTCTTCCATGAACTCTGGTGTGATGCTTGTGCGCCCCTCACGGCTTTCCTCCAGTGGGATCCCAATGCTGGCAGGTGTCTCTGAATACGAGCTGCCAGAAGACCCCCGTTGGGAGCTTCCCAGAGACAGGTAACAAACTCTACTCTTCCTCAGCCAAGCAGGGATGTCTGACACCTTTTCTACTCTGTGTCCTCAGATACTGGTGGGGAAGAAGTTATTGTGTTTGTTGGCTTGGGGTCTGTTCTCTTTTTTCATTGGGGGGTCCGTTCTCTTTTTTCAGTTGGAAAAGGCCAGTGCTCATGACTTGGTGTTTTGGTCCTCTGGGGAGAGGTGAGCAGGAAACCCATTTCCCCTGCACAAAGGAGATTTCTGCAACTTTCCAGAAATTTCAGAAGCAGAGAGAGAAAAGCTCTAGTAATGTTGTATTTCAAAACAAAGCAGAGAATTGCAGATACTATGAAAGTGGTAGCATCTCTCACCATTGTTGGAGACAGAATATTATTCCACAGAAAGTGTAGCAGATTCCCATTTATCTATTGATAACAAAGTACTTTGGAACCAGGATGAGGGAGGGCTTCTCACCCACAATTCCAAGCAGGGGTGGGAAACCTCCCTGGCCCTCAAGTCTCTCCAGGCCATGCTACTTCAGCCACAACCTGCCTCCCCAGACCCTCCCCAGCCCTACTTCATACCCCCATTGGTGCTTTTTCCTGGCTCCAATGTGCCTTTGAACTCTGACCATGCCTCTTGGTTCCTGGCTGGAGGATAGAGAGGGTTGTGCGAGTGTGTGTTGAAACTAGCCTGCTCTACAGAGGTAACATGCACATTTCTTGCTTTGCCCACTTGTCCTCTGATCCTGAGAAAATTGCCCAGATGAGAAGGTGGTCCTCAGTCTGAAAAAGGTTTCCCATCCCTGATTTAAAGGGACAGGAGGCCAAATAATGTATCTCTTAAAGTCTCATCTGGTTTGGCCCTTCTTTTGATGTGATATACAGTGGTACCTCGGGTTACAGACGCTTCAGGTTACAGACTCCGCTAACCCAGAAATAGTACCTCGGGTTAAGAACTTTGCTTTAGGATGAGAACAGAAATCGGGCTCCGGCGGCAGCAGGAGGCCCCATTAGCTAAAGTGGTGCTTCAGGTTAAGAACAGTTTCAGGTTAAGAACGGACCTCCAGAACGAATTAAGTACTTAACCCGAGGTACCACTGTAGGGCAACTAGCAAGATCATGTGCTGCTAATGTAATTCGGAATCACTTTACAACTGGTTCGAATGAGCAGGTGTGTCTCACCAGGGATATGATTAACCTCCTGTTTTGGCTGCTGCCTGCCTAGAACTGTAAAAACAAACAGGCTGACTTTAGTATGTAAAACAAAAACAAAAAACTCTACACACAGAAAAACAGTATATCAGAGAAAACACTAGGCTGAAACCTTCCCCCTGGCATGATAGTTTTGGGTGTGCATGGTAGGTTGTTTTTAGAAGGGAGCATTCAGGCATGTATCCCTTCCCTGTAGCCTAAAGTTGTAAAGTCCTGCAAAAGTTTTACCAGTTAACTGCTGATTTGTATTAACAAGCTCTTACAAACAATTGCTTAACTTGTGCTTAAGGAAGGTAGAATTACTAAGTTATTCTTTCCCCATTTTAAGTGGAGTCAGTACCTGAACTGTTCAATTCTGAACTTTCATTGTAGTCCAGGGATGGGGAACATGTGACCTGACAGACATTGGACTCCCAAGTCCATCAACTCCAGCCAGCATGGCCAGCGGTCAGGGATAACGAGGCCACAAGTCCCCCATCCCATCTTACAACCACGGGTTTTCCAGAAAACTGGAAAACTGCAATATCTTGCCACTCTTCAACATTTTCATTATCAGAATGCAAAAATACCACTTACAGCTGCGTCTGAAGGGTAAAATTCCATCCCAACCACAAATTATTACAGTGGTACCTCGATTTACAAACGCCTCAGGTTAGGGTTATCATGTGCTGGCGGCACAGTGGCAGCAAGAGGCCCCATTAGTGAAAGTACACCTCTAGTTAAGAACAGTTTCAGGTTAAGAACGGACCTCTGGAGTGAATTAAGTTCGTAACCAGAGGTGCCACTGTAGGTCCAGATTGTCAAAGCCAGGACCATCTACAAGAAGAAAGAAATTTCTGTTGGGTGTTGAGCCAAGGCAAGTGAGGACTTGGAGCTGTGCATTTGAGCTGAAGAGGGCAGCCTCCCTGCCATCACCTCCTTTCTCTTGCTCTCCTCTAGGCTGATTCTGGGCAAACCTTTGGGGGAAGGCTGCTTTGGGCAGGTGGTGCTTGCTGAGGCCATCGGGCTGGACAAAGACAAGCCAAACCGAGTGACCAAAGTGGCAGTGAAGATGCTAAAATGTAAGTAGTGGCTTTCCTGCAGCTTCTCTTCAGGCAGCTCCATGTTTCCTTCCAAAAGACCTGCATGTGTCCTTTGTTCCAAGGGCCTCTTGAAGAACAACAGCTGACTTTCTGCCATTGAGGGGCTTAAGTCTGCGTTTTTAACTTTTGGAAATATTTTCATCTGTTCACATTTGTTATGTTCATCCGTTGATGATTGCAATATCAGGTGACTGGCATGTCCCAAAATGGGTTTCATAGCTTGTACCAAAAAGGGCAGTGAATGATCCCATCCCTTCCTTAAGAGCAGGGATGGGGGGAAACTTAGACCCAGGGGCCAAATGGAGTCCTCCAGGGCACACCTCTCAACTGCCCCACTTTGCTGCCTCCTCCTCAAGTGCTTTTGTTTGCCTGGAATGTGTCCAGACAAACCACAAGGAGCAAACTCATGACTTGTCTGGAACAAGGCAGACTATAAGCCTAGGTCCAGACCACATGCTAAGCCAAACCATACCTTAGCTCACTGCAGGGTCTGAGGAGGAGCAAAGTAGTTTTGATTTCCTCCCTGAGCACCTGCCTGCTTCTGCCAAGCCATGGTTTTGCTTTGTGTTACATATGAACAGGATAATGGCAAGACTCTCTAGTTCAGTTGAAAGAAAATGCATTCACATAGGCAATCCTGTGTCCAAATAGGTATCCAAACAAGACTGATGATTAAGTTCTACACCTATATTAATTAAACAGTTAAATCAAGATGGATAGAATATTTTTGCCGTTGAGGCCAGCTTAATGATGTTTATTTGTTCCCTTCGGAATAAGTAAATAAAAAGTTTTTTTTAAATGAGAGAGAGAAAAGAAAGAAAATCCATAAAAACATTTCTGTATGTAGCAATATCACCAACTAAGACATCATGGCTCTGCTTGCCACCACTCCAGGTTTTTTAAAAATATATTTCTTTATATGTGCCTGCTGGCCAAGAGGTTTATGTATCTATCCAAATTATGATATCATAGAAGAGAAATGTGTTCTGAAGCTTCCACAAGCCATGTTTCCATTCCTCTAAACTCTCTGGTTGGCAGCTACATTTTAGAATTACTCAATTGGTGTTCCATTTATATCCTGCTCTGGTGTGGGGCTCCCAGTGTGCTCCCCTCCAAGGGAGCAGCTGCCCAAGTCCACAGCTGCTTCGCTTCAGGGGTGCTCTCGCCTGAGATGCTCCCCACTTGGCCTATGGATCCCGCGCTTGCTTTTCCTTCAGGGCCACGCATCTTGAGAAAGGCATGGAGAGGGACAGTAGAATCATACAGTTGGGAGGGACTTCAGAGCTGGTCTTATGTTCAGACCCCCTATCAGTATTGAAAACCCTCTACTGCAGCATCCCTGATAGCCTCCATCCGACCTCTACTTAAAAACTGCTGAGATCTTCCAAGGCAGCCTGCTCCAAATAGCTCATACCATTCTTCCTAAGGTTTTGTATAAATCCTGTTTTCCTGTCATTTGAACTCATTGGTTCATGTCCTACCCATTAGAGTGACTGAAAACAAATTTTCTCCCCATCTTCTTTCCCCCTTCAAATATCTGAGGATGGATATCAAATCACCTTCACCATCTCTTATCTCTAAGCTAAACATACCCAAACCCTTCCGCTTTGCTTTCCTGGCCATGTTCCAGTTTGCTGACACCTTTATCACATGGCCCCTTTTCTCTCCTTTGTCTCTATCAAAGGGCCAGGCACTACTTTTGGGGGGGGGGCGGTGCCCATGAGCCTTAGCTGCTGATTCCTTTTTGAGCCACTCTTAATCTCGACCTGCCAGCACCAATGTCTTTTTCTTCCTCAGCCGACGCCACGGAAAAAGATCTGTCGGACTTGATCTCTGAGATGGAGATGATGAAGATTATTGGCAAGCACAAGAACATCATCAATCTCCTGGGAGCTTGTACTCAGGATGGTGAGGGCTGAGCACTTCTTTTGAGGGAAGCAGTTGTGGTTCTGTGGAAGAGCAGAGAACAGCAGAATGTCCCCAGTTAAAAATAGCTGAAAGTGTTTCTGTTTAAGGACAAGCCTATCCATTAGTTAAATGTACAGTATTTTAATATATTTTTTGGAAGCTGCCCAGAGTGGCTGGGGAAGCCCAGCCAGATGGGCGGGGTATAAATAATAAATTATTATTATTATTATTATTATTATTATTATTATGTGTTTTATCTCTTTTTAGCTTCCGTTGATTTTTATCATCTCTTGAATGTTTAATCATCTCTTGAATGTTACCTCTTCTTAACTGTTTTTATTGAGAATTTTAAAAAAAATCTTTTTTTTTTTTTGTAAGCCACTTAGAGGTTTTCTTACAAAAAGGTACATATATTTTGTTAAGATGAAAAAAACCCTTGACCTCTCCCCTGAAAGGAATCTCAAGCAGCAGGTGATGGGGAAACCCTTTTCTGCCTGTGACCCTTGGGAGATGCTGCCAGTCAGAGGAGACAGTGCTGAGCTTTAATGGGCCAGTGGTTAGACCTGGTGTAAGAAAGCTTTCTATATTCCTTCCTGCTTGAGAATAGGTGTGAGGTCGTTCCAAAGTCAATTAGAAAGGCGAATAGTTGTGTGCTGGGCTTTGAACTCTGTAAAGTGCTTGTCCTTTAATTTCTTCTTATTGTTATTTATTCAATTTATATACTGCCCTTTATCAAAAGATCCCAGCATCGATTACAACAGTAAGAACACATTTTACGGATCATCAGTAATAAAAAGCATAATAACAAACAGCATAATAATGAAATAATAATCTCTCTCCCTCCCCCCATCTTTAACAGGCCATAGATTATTTAATGGTTAAAGGCCTGGGTAAGGAGGGCTGTTTTTGCCTGGTGCCTAAAGACATGTAATGATAGCGCCAGGTGAGCTTCTCTGGGGAAGAGCATTCCACAGGTGGGGAGCCACGACAGATAAGGCCCACTCTCCTGCTGCCTCCTTCTGAACCTCTCTGGAAGGAGGCACATAGAGAAGGGCATCAGATGGCAAGCTCAGGGTCTGGCCCGGTTTGTATGGGGAGAGGCAGTTCTTAAGGTCCTGAGGTCTTGAGCCGTGTAAGGATTTATAGGTCAACACCAGCACCTTGAATTGGGACCGGAAACTAATTGGCAGCCCGTGCAGTTGGGCCAGGATCAGTGTAATTTGCTCAAACCGTCTAGTTCTGGTGAGCAGCCTGGCCATTGCATGTTGCACCAGCTGAAGTTCCCAAACCGTCTTCTGAGGCAGCCCCACGTATAACAACACACTGCAGTAATCCAGCACAGAGGTTACCAGAGCATGTCTTGCAACTCAAATGTACAAATCCTCTCTGTCTGCCACTGGTCACAACAGAAAGGAGCCCTGTTGAGTGGGAGATTGCCTGAGGACAGGCTCTGCTGTGCTCTCTGAACCCAAGGCCTGTCTCCTCTTCGCCAGGGCCGCTCTATGTGATCGTGGAGTATGCATCCAAAGGGAACCTGAGGGAATACCTGCAGGCTCGGCGCCCCCCAGGCATGGAATATTGCTACAACCCCACCCACATCCCAGAGGAGCAGCTCTCTTTCAAAGACCTGGTGTCCTGTGCGTACCAAGTGGCCAGAGGCATGGAATACCTGGCGTCCAAGAAGGTGAGCAGTCGCAGCAGGAATGGTGGGTGTGCAGTTCATACAGGAGGACGGGGGCTGAGGAGGGATAGAAGGGCCAGGCAATTATTTAAATTGTCTGCTGCAGAAAAAGGCAGAAGGGTTGGGCTGACAATTGGATACTGCCTTTTTGGATGCAGAAGCCCTTGGCTTATTGTTTGATTGGATCTGTAACTTTGTTGTTGTTATAATGGGGGGGGGCTGTGTGGGCTTCAGAATTCCACAGACGAAAAATGTGTAATGGGGTATGGAGGCAAAGAAGTCAGCTTTTAAAAAGTGAGATTCTTTCTCTTGCAACAATGGGGTAGTCCCTCGCATGGGAGGAGGCACACAAATTTGCTTGGTTCACGTCATATATGCAGGCTGCAAGTTAGCTTGGTCAAAAATAATTTTGCCCTCTTTTGCTGTTATGTTCCCTGTTTTGTTTTAAGCTGAAAATGCCCCTGCGTTCCTCTGAGGGAGGTGTCAAGGCCTCCCAGGGCTGCTGCTTCTTTATTGCAGGTCCCTAACAATTTGTGTCTCATCGCTAGTGCATTCACCGTGATCTGGCTGCCAGGAATGTGTTGGTGACAGAAGACAGTGTGATGAAGATTGCTGATTTTGGCCTGGCTCGAGACATTCATCACATAGACTATTACAAAAAGACAACCAACGTGAGTAGCCGATTCAGGGGTTTTGGCCACCACGTCTCACGGCCAGCCTGTATTCTGGACAAGGTTGCCCTCCCCTAGGAAGAACAGGGTCACTGTCTGTGAGGCTGTTAGATCCCACACTGTCAAGGAAGGCTGTGGTGCCTCAGGGCTACAAGTGCCTTGTTTCAGCTGCAACTGGTTTTCCAGCGATGGCACCTTTTCGACAGAGGTGACTTGGCTGCTAGTCACTTCCAGATTGGATGGTTACGATGCGCTCTACATGGGGCTGCCTGTGACAGTGGCTCGGAAACATCCATTGGTCCATAGTGTAGCACCCAGACTTCTAGCTGGGGTTCTGTTTAGATCCCATAAAACCTCTGTTCATTTCTGAGCCCAGTTCGGGGTGCTGTCCCCACAGAGGTGCATCTGACACCTTCATTGCACAACTTTTGGCGACTGCTGACGACACACCTCCGAACCGTGGCTTTTGACTCTAGAGATGCATATTTTTAGGCTCCACCTTATTTCTGTCATAGTAAGTTGTTTTAAACAGTTTTTAATATTGTGTTTTAATTGTTGAAGTCTACCCCCAGACCATGTGGTGAAGGGACCAAAATAAAATATTGGTTATTTTCATCATTATATTCTGCACATAAAAAGTGTGGATGTCATGTATGTGGTACTGTGCAGAAACCTTTCTGAAGCTGAGGAGGTCCGTGTCTGGGCCTGGCCTCTACCTGGATAGCAGATTGTGTGCCACTTCAGGCATTCCTTTCTCCACACAATTAACTAGAGAATGAGGTGAGGACATCTCGTTGCCTCATGACCAAGAAGCCAGGGAGAGAGAGGGGGGAGTCTCAGAAGCTTTGTGGGCACCAGAAGAAGACCTCAATGATGCCTTTGCACGTATGGGCACCATGAAGGCAACCCTAGCTTGAGATCACACATTGAAATTCAAGAGCAAATTTCAAAGCAGAGGAAGCAGAGGCTTTAATTCAATCTGAAGGCTTTTCTCCTGCATGGCTGGCCTTAAACTGTATTAAGAAGCACTTTGACGTGCTTTCGAACTGCTAGGTTGGCAGGATGCCCCATAGTATTATATGTTTAAACTGATTAATGATTATGGAAGGATTTTTAAACATTATTCTTGTTTATAAAATCCAATTAAAAAACCCCCAACAACAACCTTGAGTATCCAATTAGGAGAGCACTATTGCTGCTTGTATATAGTCACTTTTCAACATTGCATAGTTGATTTTGAGATTGTGGGGTGCTTGCCATATTTGTTTAATGTGCTATATATAAGGAAAACAAGATTTAAACAGCAGTTTTTGCTAGAAGTAGAAATGTCAAAACTACACTGGGCACTTCCAGCTCACACCCTTATTTAAAGCTGTGCACATGTTTGATTTTGTTTTTCAGAAGTGATTATTTTTTTCATGATTTTATATATATATTTGTATTGTTTTGCTACGGTGCAACATCATGAGAAATAAACTCTTCTGCATCTAACAATGCACATACTTCAAGGGAAAACTGAAAGGTCTTTCCAGATCTCCAGACACTTTTGTGCTGGGGGAAGTTTCCTTCCTAACCTAAAAACTGACAGTCAATCAGATCCCCCAAGTATAATCAGTGGACTCTAATAAAAGGATAGTGGGACAGTCCTGCATCACAGAGCAAACCCTGAAGTGCTCTGCTAAATTCTTCTTCTTCCTTCTTCTTCTTTGGCGATCCCTGGTAGCCGAGGAAGATGGTTTTCCATGAACACGGTTTTAACAGTGAGTCTGTAAGTGACTGTGGAGGCCAATTCTGGATCCACATGTCTTTCCACAGTGGGGACATAGGTTTCCATGCAGGAGTTGATCACGGTGAGCATGCCTTCCTCTTAGCACGTTTCTCCCTTTTGTCCTGAGTTCGAGTGTCTTCAACTCCCGTGACACCTTTGGTAAAGGCTGTTCTCCAACTGGAGCGCTCGCAGGCCAGTGTTTCCCAGTTGTACGTATTTATACTACATTTTTTTAGATTTGCATTGAGAGAAACTTTGAACCTCTTTTGTTGACCACCAGCATTGCGCTTTCCATTTTTAAGTTCAGAATAGAGTAGTTGCTTTGGAAGATCAGGCATCCACACAACATGACCAGTCCAACAAAGTTGAACTGCTAAATTCATAGCAACACAACACCTCCATATTTATTATTTTTTGCATTATTCACGCACACAGACCCTGGCCTTTCTCTCCTTCCCACAGTTTTGGGCTGATGCAGCTGTCTTTCCTATTTCCTAGGGTCGCTTGCCAGTCAAGTGGATGGCCCCTGAGGCTTTATTTGACAGGATCTACACGCACCAGAGTGACGTGTGAGTATCTCTTGGCTACTTTAGACACGAACCTAACCTGAGCCAGTCCATGGAACTATCCAGATTGTCCTGTCTGGCATAACTGGTTGCAGGGCTCAGGCAAAGACCCATGCGATCTTTTCTCAGACTGGAGGTGCCAGGAATTGGAAGAAGGACCTCCTGCCGGGAAGGCAAGGGCTCTGTCCCAGCCCTGAAGCCTCTGCTCCTGCTAGCCATCTGCTCAGACCTCAAGGGTGGAGGGATTGGGGAAAGAGCACCGGGTTTTGGTTCCACAGTATTCACAGTTGCGCTCCAAGACACCAACTGCTCTGGCAACCCACTCCTGAATGGCTCCTTGTGCTCATGGCTCCTCCAAGGAGTGTGTCTTTGCTTGTGGTCCAATTCACACACAACCTTGGTATGCAGGCAACACCCCCTTAAGCCTCCTGGCATCTCCAACTAAGCCCAGTGTGCTGGATACTATTCCCAAAGATGAAATGGATCAGATGTGGTTCATCTTTGCTTAAGGAAATGCTAATTATTATAAGCAGGAAGAGGGTTTTCAGTCTGGCACTGAGGTTTGTTTGAATCCTGCTACTGATTCCAGCCTTATTGTCAGCCCAATACCTTTTCACCTCCACAAGAAGTCTTAAAAAAAATTTAATGAGACCATTTCATGGAGAAGCAGGCCTATTGACAGTCAAGGGAGCTAGGGGTGCTTGAATAATTTGGTTTTTTGCAAATTCCAATAGGGACTGGCCTGGACTAATGTGCAGATTGCAATAAAGTTGTCTTTTGGATTTTTCCCTTCTCAGAATTTTCCAGTTTTTTCCAGTTCAAAAAACATACCTAAATGATTATGAAATAACATTTTAAGATAAGCTATCCAGCAGGTTTTTCTTTCTCAGCCAAGCAAGCATAACCAAACTACACTGCTACTGCTGTGATTCCTGATGTGCACATGATGCTCAATTTAGAATGTAGGAAGTTCCTTTACTCTGAGCCAGCTCTGTACTGGCTACACTGTCTGGCCATGGCTCTCCAATCATTTTTCAAACCTTGTAACTTAAAGAATAAAAACCATGAAAGAAATAGCACTGTGAGGAGAGATGTGATCATACGGGAGAGCTGGGGGGGGGGGGGGGAATGGTTGGAAAAACACATTTTTAAAATACATACCTTTAAAGAAAAGGAAAAAGCTACAAAAATCCAAACGCTAGCTGGAGACCATTTGCAGAAGGGAACTCTCACGTCCTGGTGTCTTCCCACACCTCCCTCCCCCATGTCAGCGCTGGATGAGCTGAGCCAGGCTGCATGTGCAAGAAGTGTCACATCAGAAGGGGGTGCCCTGCTTCTCTGCCACACAGATGTTGTGAGGAGCCCCGTGAGGACTGGACAGGTGAGTTGGGTGGGAGACCCCATTTCCACACACTGTGTCTCTGCTCTTTGGCCAGGTGGTCCTTCGGCGTTCTGCTGTGGGAGATCTTCACGCTGGGAGGGTCGCCATACCCAGGAGTGCCAGTGGAAGAGCTTTTCAAGCTGCTGAAAGAGGGTCACCGAATGGACAAGCCCAGCAACTGCACCAATGAGCTGTGAGTGTCGCCTCCTGGCTCTTTCCCAGGCTGGCATTGTGCTGGACTCAGACAAGGAACACAGATGGGGTTCTTCCAGCCCTGGTCTTCAGTTCTCGTTAAATAATAATAATAATAATAAATTTTATTTATATCCCGCCCTCCCCAGCCGAAGCCGGGCTCAGGGCGGCTAACAACAATCAAATAATCAAACAATCAAATAATCCAACATTCTAAAAACATTTCATTATAAAAATTAATTAAAATCAAATTAATGGCAACCGTTAAGCAAATTCTGTGCAGGTTGCCAGAGGAGGGAGTCAGGCTGCGCCCTGACCAAAGGCCTGGTGGAACAACTCTGTCTTGCAGGCCCTGTCCCGCAGGGCCCTAGTCTCTTGTGACAAAGCGTTCCACCAGATTGGAGCCGCAGCCGAGAAAGCCCTGGCTCTGGTCAAGGCTAGCCTAACCTCTCTGAGGCCTGGGACCTTCAGGATGTTTTTATTTGCAGACCGTAGGTTCCTCTGTGGGGCATACCAGGAGAGGCGGTCCCATAGGTACGAGGGTCCTAGGCCGTATAGGGCTTTAAAGGTTAAAACCAGCACCTTAAACCTGATCCTGTACTCCACCGGGAGCCAGTGCAGCTGGTATAGTACCGGATGAATGTGATCTCGCAGCAAAGACCCCATAAGGAGTCTCGCCGCGGCATTCTGCACCCGCTGGAGTTTCTGGGTCAGTCTCAAGGGCAGCCCCACGTAGAGCGAGTTACAATAATCCAGTCTGGAGGTGACCGTCGCGTGGATCATAGTGGCTAGGTCATCATAGATCTAAGGGATCTAATGATGTTTTCTTTAAGAGCGGGCGCACCACTGCCTCCTTCAGTTCCCCTGGGAATATCCCGGTGCCAAGGGACAAATTGATGATATCCCCCAGGGGGGCCCGCACCTCGTCTGGACACGCTCTAATCAGCCAAGACGGGCACGGGTCAAGAGGACAGGTGGTGGGCTTTCCAGCTCGAAGGAGTCTGTCCACATCGGCTGGGGATATCCGCTTAAAGTGGTCCAATACTGGACCCGAGGACAGTCGAGGGGCCTCCAGTTCCTTTATTGTATCCAAATTGGCAGGGAGGTCATGGCGGAGCAACAGGACCTTCCCCGCAAAAAAGCTCGCAAATGCCTCACAGCCGTGTGTCAGATTGTTATTTAAATTTGGCTGTCCTTCAAGGGACGTTAAAGACCTAATTATACTAAATAATTGCGCCGGGCGAGAGCTAGCGGATGCAATGGAGGCCAAGAAGTAAGACTTCTTAGCGGCCTTCACTGCCATCTCATAGGTTTTCATAAAAACCCTATAAGATGTCCTTGAGGCTCCGTCACGGGCACCCCGCCATACTCGCTCTAGCCGTCTGAGGTCCCTCTTTATTTTCCAAAGCTCCTCGGTAAACCAGGGAGCCCGGTTTCTGCGGGGTGACAGAGGGCGCTTAGGTGCGATCTCATTGATGGCTGCCAGGAGCTGGATATTCCATCCCTCAACAAGCTCAGTCAATGAGTCGCCAGGGGGAGCAAGGTCTATCAGGGTCCATCAGCCTCTGCGGGCGAGCCCAAATCGGCTCGCCACCTAAGCAGGGTGGGGGTGGAAAGTCAATCCTGGCTTTCAGAGCGTAGTGATCAGACCATGGCACCTTCATCGAAGGAGACATGATCACATCTATACCTATGCCAAAGATCAAATCCAGCGTGTGGCCTGCTTGATGTGTGGGGGGCCCGAAACAAACTGGGAGAGCCCTAGTGTCGCCATGGAAGACACCAGGTCCAGAGCCTGTGAGGAGGGAGTGGCATCAGCATGGATGTTGAAGTCCCCCAATACCAATAGGTTAGGGAACTCCAAGGCCCAGCCGGCCACCGCCTCCAGCAGGCCTGACAGGGTGGCTGCTGGTGCGCTAGGTGGCCGGTACGCCAGCCAGACAGCCAAGCTCACCTCAGAGCCCCACACTAGGCCAACACATTCAATGCCGGGGATCGATGGCGATGGTAGAGCGTGTTGAAAGCACAGCATGAGGCCAATATATTGTACATTGGGTTTTGTGGGGTGTTTATTTTATTTTATTTGCCATTTCTACAGCTCTTAGCCCTTTCCTGGCTCAAAGGCTATTCCTGCTTTGGCCAGAGAGATTCTCAAGTGTTACCAGCTCTGATAGTGGTGCTGTCCGGACAGGACTTCGTTGCAGAATGAGTGGGAGGTGCTCCAAACATACCAGGGCTCGTTTGCCATATCTTGAAGCCAATGAAGTAATACCCATTACCCCCTAAAGAGGAATGCCATGAAAGACCATTAAATCCAGAGTCTAAAAATACCTACCTGCAAAATGGTTCAGAAAGCTTCAGCAAGAATTCTGCTTTGTCAAGGATCAGCCCCTTATGGTCTCTGTGGAAGCATGGGAGGTTGCCTTATACTGAGTCATAGAGTTGGAAGGACCCCAAAGGTTATCTAGTCCAGCCCCCTGCGGTGCAGGAATCTTCCTGCCCAATGTGGGGCTTGACCCTGAGATTAAGAGTCTCAGGCTCTACTGACTGAGCTATACCAGACCATCTGGCTCAGGATTGTCTACGCTGACTGGCAGTGGCTCTCCGGGATTTCAGACTGGAGGGGCAGGTTGCCGAGCCCACCCTGGGATGTCTCATGAGCTTTGGCCCTTCCCCAAAAACTTCCAGGTGAACAGAAATCCTGGAGGAGATTACATGTGATCTAATCTTCAGTGGTTATGTTAGGGGCTATCCCTGTTTCAGCAGTGTTTGTTTGTTTGTTTGCTGCCTCTCCTTGTGCCCAGGGCAGCTTGGGTTAAATCAAAGACTTCATTAAAATGAATGCAACAGCAACAATACTGGCATTTCAAATCGACACAGCATATATCCAAGTGATCCCTAAACACAACAGATAAAATGTTGGAAAAGGCCATCTCGTCTAGCGCCCTGTTTCTCACGGCGTTCTCCCCACTTGCAATTCCCGGCAATTGGCATTCACAGAAGCCATGCCTCTGACCCTGGCCGTTACGGCCGGGGGTTCCCTTCTCCTCCAACCCAAATGCCAAGCAAGTTGGGCTCGTGCTTTCCCCTCCCAGAAGTCAAGAGAGCTGTTGATGCCACCAGGCCTCTTGCTGGAGGCCCTTCCGTAGCCTCGGGGCTGCAGCCATGGCGTCTCTCTTCCTCCAGATATTTGAACTTGCCACGCGACGGCACCTGAAGCAGAGTGGCTTGGTACGTGGGAGCAAAAGGAAAAAGGGGTGATGTGAGCAATTCTGATCCCAAGGTCAGCCTGTTCCTATGACACAAGTTCCAGAGATGGTTTTCCTTGCCCGGCTTGCAGGGCCGGCCGGCTGGAGAGCCCCATCGAGTGCAGCCGCCTGGCACAGCAGAACAGAACCCCCGCTGACCGGCAGATGCATATTATGAGCACTGGCAGGAATTCAGCGTTGTTTTCCCAGCCCTGCTGAAAGCTGTGCGTGATAATAAACCAAGACTTCATTTCCTTTATATTTTTGTTTTTCTCAGCATGATAATATCCCAAATAGGGGGAGGGGGGTAACTTGGTCTTTTGTCTTGAGCGACTCTCAGTCCCTTCCCAGTTTGTTCTAGCCAGCCTGGCCAGTGGCTGCTGTCAACAGATCCGCCTCCCTCCTTCGCCACACAATGAGGAGGATTGTGGTGCTCAGACCTAAGAAGGGGCTTACACAAAGTGTAGTGAGCAAGTGTTGCTGCAGGCTCAAACCTTCTGGTGTCGGGGTTCCCTTGGTTAGCATGCAGAGACAGCCCAGCTGAAAGATCCAGACCCTGCTTCATACTAAATTGCTATTAAATATGCAGTCCTTTTGCATTAGTCTGCATGTTAATAGCAGAAATTAGACTTGCCTTCAGTGCCTTGCAAAATGTTCATCAGTCATTGGTTCATTTGACTCTTATTTATAAAAAGCAGCAACCTTTGATTTACAAGTGGTGTGCATTTATTTACAGCAGTTTAAAAACGTGTGGGGAAGAGAGGGAGGGGGATTTCCACTGCAAAGCAGTCCTGCTCACACAAGGACTTGATGGGATACAAGCCTGTCACATGCTTTCAGTGAAAATGAAGTTTACAGTTTGCAGGCCTGTGTCTCCCCCCGGAGCCAAGAGGTCTGCTTTAGGCGCAAGTGTGGAACTAAGCAGGTCTCAGTTGTCTGCACTGGAGACCCCCTGTGAACCCCACATGCAGAAGAAAGGCAGGCGTAGATGTAACAGAGAAATAAACAGTCTATGATAGACTAGGAAAGACTCGTCACATGTCAGAGGTGGTGGACTGTTGGGTTGAAATAAGCGACAGACGGATGGCAAGGTGTCATACGGGAGGCATCTCCCGAGCAGGTCTCGGCGAGTCTCTTTTATTGAATGTTACAGCATTACCACATATGTGCTTGTTGCTGATTGGTTAACACAAATACAATGCAAGGGCATTAATCATAAAGGTTGGGAAAGGGAACACGTGGTTACTAGTGATTGATATTGCATGACTTGAAAGAACATAACAATCGCAGTCCGTAGATGTGGTCAACAATGCATTAAGAACAGGTCAGGGTGTGATGCTTCATGAACTCAGTGTGAACTGTACATTCTCAGACTCATGTGCAGAGGCAAAAACTTCCCAGCAGTGGACAGAAACCTGGACTTAGATTAGGGTGGAGGACTTTGTTTCAAGGTTCTATGCGATTCGTCATTGTGTCTCAGCTTCCATCTGAAACATTCTTTGTAGGATTGTTGTAAGGATGTATGATCTCAGGAAGATCATGGAGTGTTTGCAAGTTCAGTAAAGTGCAAGTGTCAGGGTAGCCTTGGCCAACCTGGTGCCCTCCAGATGGTGCTTTGGACCCCCATCCCCGCCACCACAACTTGTAGTCCAAAACATCTGCAGGGCACCAAGTGGGATGGAGAAGGGCGTCAGGAGAAAGTGCTGAGACTGGGTTGGTTCATCTCGTTGAACAACCTCTTTCCAACGGTGGCAAACCAAGTGCCCCAGAGAAGTCTGCAGGAAGGATGGGGAATCTTTTTGGAGCCAAAAGCCACATCACCCTGGTGGAAAGCTGTTGGGCATTGCATTCCAGTAGTGGAGGCTGTCAGACCAGCAAAAAAATCCCACACCCTTCACACAGACACACATGCGGGTTATTTCCCATGGAAACAGAGGCATTTATTTAATTCTTGCCAACTCTACTCAAGTTTCACCTTCCATTCTCTCCAATTTTCTTTTTTTACAAAATATGTAAAAAATAATGTCAAATAACGTCAACACACAGCTGAACTGCAGTCTAAAACTTCAAAATACAGTTGCATCCCGAAAATTGCATGCATGCAATCACAAAATGCATGGGCCCTTCTTGCATATGTGCTCCTGTGTCATTTCCCACTCTGCTTTGATCTTGCGGATTAATGAGCTACAGTTGCTGGTTTTGCAAAACATCAGAGGTTTGTTCTTCCCTCTCAGTTGCTGCCCTGAGCAGCTGATGGCCTTAGGGGATGTAGAGAGCATTCCCTGGCATCCATACCAGACCTGGGGGTGATTGCCTTCTTATGCTCCATGCCCACCAAATCTGGCTTTGATGGAATCTGTTGCTTTTGTTGAACCTGTGTATAAAATAGCCATTTCATGGGCTTGTCCATGTTCTGTTACGTGTCCTGCAACTCTGTGCTAAACGTTTTTCATCCGGTTCTCTTATTCTCTCTGTAAAGGTACATGATGATGCGAGATTGCTGGCATGCTGTTCCCTCCCAGAGACCCACATTTAAGCAACTGGTAGAAGACTTAGACAGGATTGTGGCCATGACCTCTAACCAGGTAAAATACATCTTTTTCCAAAGACTGTACGCTCCTGGGTGTCATTCTGTCTGTCTGCAAGGTTGCAGGGAGCCGCTTCCTGGACTAACCATTGATTCAAAGCTCAATGCTTTGAGTCCCCTGGGGACTCTGGCTTTTGGGGCCGACCAGGTCTTCTGTCTGGCTTTGGCTCCTGCTGCTGCAACTAATTCCAGTGTTTCTTGGGGAGGGTCACTGGAGCACACTCTATTTTGATAACTTTGTTCTGATAGGCCCAATTTTCCCTGGGTGTGGGAAAATTTGGGGTGAAGTGATTCACTGTTGCTTTAATGCCCCTTTCTCTTTCTACTGACATTTGTCTCTTGGGGCTCCCCTCTCCTCTCCGAGGCCTCCAGACCCTGGGATGGCCAGTGCTTAAGCCCTCATGGCTCTTTCCTTCCCTCTAGGAATACCTGGACCTTTCCATGCCATTGGACCAGTATTCTCCTAGTTTTCCAGACACCCGCAGCTCCACCTGCTCTTCAGGAGAGGACTCTGTGTTTTCCCACGACCCCCTCCCCGATGAACCTTGCCTCCCCAAGCACCCACCTCAACTTGCCAATGGAGGACTCAAAAGGCGCTGAGACTCCAACTTCTGTGGGACATTTGCAAACCCTCCGTGTACACAAGCGTAGCGTGTTTGTGTGCATGTGTTGAGGAGTGTGTGTGTGTATGTGTGTGCGCGCACTTCGCTTCCAGCTGGACTGGTGGTGGAGCACCACATGGGGCAGCCAGCAGCCCCCTTCCAGCTGCCATAGTCATGATCTGCAGAGACTCCATTTTGAATAACCAAACCCACACCGCCCCCTTCTTCTCAAAGCTGCCATGATTGCAAGTCCTTGACCTCTGGAAGAGGAGCTCACAGGGAATCTGTGCTTGAATATTTCCCATGAACTTGAGTTGAACTGCGTCCCCTGCCCCCCTTTTGGCCAGTGACAAAACAAAAAGGCAGAGCCAGACACCTGGGCTTCAATAGCAACCTGCTGCCACTTCTCTGAAAAGGACTCTGGGGAGAACAACATTCCTTTGGAGAGAGTGGGCATTTTCTGCTCTCTGCTTCCAAATGCAAGCAACAAAACCTCTTCACAGCTCAAGAAGCTGACAGCTAAGCCTGAGGTGCAAAGCCTGTGGCCCACGGACACTCTGGATTCAGCTGTCAACTGGGAAGTCTTAAATTCAGCCAAGCGGCGGCGGCAGCACCTGTGGCTGGAGGGCCTGCTGCGTCTGTGATGCCAGTTGGGATGGCGCAGCGCACTTCTGCGCATGCTTGTGCTGGGACCAAGCCTTCTAGCCCAGCAGGACTTCCTCCCAGGAAAACAGGCATAGGGCACAGCCCTGGTTTGTGCTTTGTGGACCAAACTTGGGAAGTGACCAGGAACCCCAAGGCCTGGGGTATCTTCACAGCACTTGACGCGAAACAGAGAGGTTGCAGCCCAACAAAGCCAGTGCTCGGAAGAGTCTTTTTTTTTTAATTAAACAAGCTTATGTACATAGCTGCAAAATGTATAAATATGAAATATATATTTACATGTCTTTTTTTTAAGAAAATTTGCTGTTTACCAGAGTTAATATCACTTTGGTAGTAAGTTACTAGTGGCTGGTAGGTATCAGTTGCTATAAAAACAAATCATATATTTTGCTACTTTTGCTGGTTTTTTGTTTTGTTTTAAATTATGTTCTAAAACTTATTTCAATTTAGGTACTTCAATAAAATTGCTGCTGCTTCAGTTTTATATGGGGTTATATTAAACAGTGATTTTTGTTGGTTAATGTTGATTTCCCTTTGGAAAGCTGTTATGAAATTATCTCCCTCCTTTCTTAGGCTCCTCCTCCCTTCCCTGCCATTGATTTCTGCCCCGGCCACCAAGTGCAGCCTTTGGATTTGGTGCCCAGCAGGAGGACAGTCAGTTCACCTTACTGGCGCAAGAAAAGGGTGTCTGTGTGCCAATGGTTCAGTTTCTAGGTTCAGAATCTTGGTCCGCAGTGGGGCTGAAGCCCCATGAGGACGAGGAACCCTTTTCCAGCCATGTCTGTGCATTTCTTTGATGTTTTGCAGCTAGAAATGGCTCTTGCCCTTTGGGGGGGTAGAAAGTGATGTTGCCAGAGCAAGCTCTTCCCAGCTGCGTTTTGACATCCTTTTGCTCTGGCAACTTGGAACCCAGAGCAAGACCAGCTCAAGAGCTGCCTCTGGCCCTGCTCCCGGCTTCTCATGACGCTTGGGTCAGCCCCAGCGTCTCGTTTTGTCCAAACAAACTTTTCCCCTGCCCAGGCAGTGCCAAGGAAGAACTCCACGAGTGCCTTAAAATGAGCTGTGGAAACTTGCATGTCCATACAAGATGAGAGGAAGTGCACTCGTCCCTCCCTCCCTCCCTCCCTATCTTCCATGGGAGCAACCTAGCAAATTAGTCAGAATTCTTCATTTCCTACCAGTTCTTTTCCAATAGCTAGTTTGGCCCTGAAGCCTTATCCGGGTCTCCTCTAAAGCAGCCGGGAACACCTGAACTAGAACTGCACATTTTGAGCCATGAGGTAGGGCAAGACCATTCCTTGTGCCCAGTGCTATTTTTCAAGAAAAAGAGGCACCAGAACTCACCATGAATGCATTCTGTGTTCTCTTAGAACGGTGATGGGGCCCACCTGAGAGGGGCCAGAACTGAGTTCCGGCTGGAAAAAAAGCCCTGTTTGCACCAATACTTTAAGCTCTTCCAGGACTCACTATATCAGCCATTGCCAACCTGGTGCCCTCCAGATGTGTTGGGTTACAGCTGCCATCAGCTGGGGTTGATGGCCATTACAGCCAAAAATATCTGGAAGGCACTATGTTGGGAAGACTGCTCTAATTTTCACGTTCCCCAAATAATCGACATGGCCCTTGGCTTCCAGAATGGCATGCAGACTCCCAAGCCCTCTTCCTGCTTTCTCCCCCAGTCTAGACTAAGAAACAAGAGTTTGCTTTCTGTTCCTCAGTGGTATCTTGGAAGCCAGAGCCATGCCAGTCATACTTGAAAGCTTGCCCTGCCTTTGTATAGAGTCAGATTATTGTGCTTTTTAAAAATTCTGTAACAAATTTGGTGGTATTGTAATTTATTTTTTATTTTTAAAGATTTTAACAGAGTCCTGCAACCCTCCTTGACATTAGCTGATATTCTTGTTCCCTCTCCCCTTTGTGTGCCTTCTTTTTCTTATGGGGAAAATGAGAATAAACCATGCAAATTTATGTAAATGTTACATATCTTATTTGAAGTCCAGAATCTGTGGGTTTCAGCCTGTGGGCTTGAACATCTGGAAGCCAAGAGCAGCTAGGCTTCTGGCTTGGGGGATCCACTCTCCCCCCCCCCCCCCCCCAGTTAGAAGAAGTCATGACATGGTACTGTATAGTCACTGCAGGGCAGCACAGAGGAGGAGACACTCGCAGAACGACTGCTTGGGGCACAGGAAAGAAAGGCCATTAAATGTTCTGTTCATCTCAGCAGCAGCAGCAGATCAACCTAACAATCCACACATGACAATAATGCATGTTGTTAAGAAGCTAAGCATTTAGAAGTCTTTCTAGAAAAATTAACACATTTTACAAAGCAGAAAGAGAGTCAGGTGTAGCAGTTAAGAGTGCTCTATTAGGTCTTGGGGGACCAGGGTTCAAATCTCCATGCAGCTGTGAAAGTGATGTTGGGCCAGTCACTGTCTTCTAGCCTCACCTACTTTACAAAGTTGTTTTGAGCATATACACACCATATTCAGCTCCTTGGAAGAAAGGTGAATGTAAAGGGACCCCTGACCATTAGATCCAGTCGTGGCTGACTCTGGGGTTGCGGCTCTCATCTCGCTTTACTGGCCAGCATGACTAAGCTGCTTCTGGCGAACCAGAGCAGTGCACGGAAACGCCATTTACCTTCCCGCCGGAGTGGTACCTATTTATCTACTTGCACTTTGACATGCTTTCGAACTGCTAGGTTGGCAGGAGCAGGGACTGAGCAACGGGAACTCACCCCGTCGTGGGGATTCGAACCGCTGACCTCCTGATCGGCAAGCACTAGGTTCTGTGGTTTAACCCACAGTGCCACCCGCGTTCCATGAAAGAAAGGTAGTGTGCCTTAAACATAAGGCTAGTCCCAAGGACCATAATTGAATCCATGGCAGAGCAGATAACTCCAAAAGTGAGCCAAGCCACAAACTGTGATGCTACTTAAACACATGCATTATATGTGCTTAAGGAATTAAGCAGTGAAGCCACAAGACAGATGGGCACGGGTATAAATGTGCACATGAGCCAGACATACATACTCGCAACCTGTCCATAGCAAACTCAGCACAGGAGAAGACCTGCAGACTGCACAAAACACATAAGAAAAGGGATTCTCTGTCTACCTGCACCCTGGAAATGCCTTAGCACTCTGCTCGCACCAAGTTCATGCAACCTCTCTTGCACCCACGGGCCTCCAGAGCAGTCAGGAAGAGGCATGTGGTGGCAGGTCGAGGTGTCCCCAGCCATCCCAAGTTCAACTGCTGCTCCTGGAACAAGGGGTGGCATCTAGTCTAGCCTTATGTTCTCAGAGCAGCCGGCCAGCTGCCTCTGGCCAGGTCATATCATAAGCAGGACATGAACACAAAGCCTCCCCCCTTGATTTCACGCCTTTGGGGGCTACAGCACGTAAGAATTTTTATTTCCTTAGAGAGAGAGAGAAAATGGCAGCTGAGAAAGAGGGGGTGGCCTTGCCACCAGGAAGAAGCTCCCAGCTGATCACCGCCAATGGAATTCAGCCCTTGGCAGGAAAAAAAATGGCTCTCCACTTCTGTTTGAAGCCTTTACCAATATATATATATTCTTTAATTTGCTTGCTCTATGCAGGGTGTGCGGGGCTGAATGAAAGTTATCACTGAGAGGGGGAGAAGGTTAATAATAATAATAATAATAATAATAATAATATCAGAATTGTAGAGTTGGAAGGGACCCTGAGGATCATCTCGCCCAATATGCAGCTGTCTCGTGCAGAAATCAAACCTGTGACCTTGGCATTATCAGCACAGTGCTCTGACCAATAATGATACTTTTATTATTGATACCCCACCCATCTGGCTGGGTTTCCCCAGCCACTCTGGATCAATCTCCCTGTGAATCAATCTCCCTGTGGCTATTGGGAGATGTGCATTATTTGGGTAGAGATGGAACAGACTGGGAGTGTCACTATTTTGAATGAAGATTTGAAAACTTAAAACTTTGTCCTCGTGGGAAATGCTGAAATTAAATAGAACTGGTTTGTCAGTAGAAGATGTCTGCTTTTAAACTGATAAGGGGTTCTGCATATGGCGCTACTTACATTTTCTTCGTAGCACACACTTTCCCACTGCATCTTCCAATGCAATTTGGAAGTGTCACATTCATAAAAATCCAGTTGTAATGGAAAGGGGAGATACAGCTGAATGGACACTCCAGAGAGTGAACTCCTGCAAATCAAGAAGAGATTGAGCTGTAGTTCTCTGATAAGTAAATTTATTACAAATCTCACTGTCACAGTACATGGGGAGCTGGGTCCATCTAATTCAGCAACAGCTCTGTAGGATTTTGGGAAGAAGCCTCTCCCAGACC